GAACCCCACTGCTCCAGTCTAACCCTGCAGTTATTTCATCCCTTTAGAATCAAATGTTAGTTACTTCCCCCACTCCTCCAGTCTAACCCTGCAGTTATTTCATCCCTTTAGAATCAAATGTTAGTTACTTCCCCCACTGCTCCAGTCTAACCCTGCAGTTATTTCATCCCTTTAGAATCAAATGTTAGTTACTTCCCCCACTGCTCTAGTCTAACCCTGCAGTTATTTCATCCCTTTAGAATCAAATGTTAGTTACTTCCCCCACTCCTCCAGTCTAACCCTGCAGTTATTTCATCCCTTTAGAATCAAATGTTAGTTACTTCCCCCACTGCTCTAGTCTAACCCTGCAGTTATTTCATCCCTTTAGAATCAAATGTTAGTTACTTCCCCACTCCTCCAGTCTAACCCTGCAGTTATTTCATCCCTTTAGAATCAAATGTTAGTTACTTCCCCCACTGCTCTAGTCTAACCCTGCAGTTATTTCATCCCTTTAGAATCAAATGTTAGTTACTTCCCCCACTGCTCTAGTCTAACCCTGCAGTTATTTCATCCCTTTAGAATCAAATGTTAGTTACTTCCAAGTGTCAACAGCTCATAGCTTAGCTTTGTGTCTGTTTTCCATCTTGTGACGTTTGTGGAGCTTTACTGCAGCGACACCCACGTCAGTTACACATGGGACAGAAAAATTTGGCTGGAATACAGAAATGCCCCACCCCCCCCCCCCCCCCCCCAAATGCAGCCTCAAATGCATAATCTGTTGTTCTCACCACAAGAGAAATATAATGCCCAGAAACCAAAAAAAAGCTGTCTTGGTTAACTAATGCCTACAAGGTAAATACAAATAAATCTTTCAAAAATGTTCATCAACATATGTACAGATAACAAACAGAAAAAACAGGGCGTCCTTGCTGGGCCTCCAGACATCAGATAGACACAACAGGGCATCCTTGCTGGGCCTCCAGACATCAGAGAGACACAACAGGGCGTCCTTGCTGGGCCTCCAGACATCAGAGAGACACAACAGGGCGTCCTTGCTGGGCCTCCACACATCAGAGAGACACAACAGGGCGTCCTTGCTGGGCCTCCAGACATCAGAGAGACACAACAGGGCGTCCTTGCTGGGCCTCCAGGCATGAGAGAGACACAACAGAGCGTCCTTGCCCAGGCATCAGAGAGTGGTCCCAGCACAGTAGGAAAAACTGCCCACATACTCTAGTTACAGTGATATTTGAATGAAAGCAAACATACGCATGAATTAACAGACACCAGCGACGAGTATTTCTGGCTACAATACTGAAGCAATTGGTCAATATCTTTGAAGCCTGCAACCAAAAGTTTGCAACAAATTAATGAGGCATAATTCAATTTATCTGACTTCACTATATGAAACTTGTGTCTTCCCCCCCTCCCCTGGAGCAGGGGCTCATTAGCAACTCATGCCAGCCATCTTCTTCCCAACCCTAACCATAAATATTAATGTCTCTGATCTCTGTGTTTATAGGTCACCCTGTATTTTTCCACGTGGCTTCCAATGAAAGGACTTTCTAGTTATAGTAATAAGTTTTCACAATGTGTGTTTCTTTGCAGAACCTGGATATTTTTCCAAGGTAGTTTGCTAAAATGTATTTAGCTCCTGGCCAAATACGTAACAGTAGCACTACAAATGTACCCTTGACCTCCTGGCCAAATACGTATCAGTACCACTACAAATGTACCTTTGACCTCCCCACAACACATATCAATACCAATACAAAGGTATCCTTGACGACCACACTACACACACAAGCAAATCATATATTCAAGAAAAACACCTGGCCCATCACAGATCAGAGGTCCATCTGCAGATAAATATGCCAGTCAGGCTCAGCGTAAACACAACATCAGAGACAGAAGCTTCCCACTCAACCACTTGAGCACTGTGCCACACCTACAGTGTATATATAATTCATTGTAATTATATTTATGAAAATGTACATTTATAATAAACTGCTTACAGCAATATAAACATGGCTTAACCGCCCCTCACAGCACCAAGCTCTATTCATAGTGGCAGCAGCAGTATCTGAAGCCAGTATTTCCAAGTATTCACCCCTAGATCTGAAGCCAGTATTTCCAATTATTCACCCCTAGATCTGAAGCCAGTATTTCCAAGTATTCACCTCTAGATTTTCCAAGTATTCACCCCTAGATCTGAAGCCAGTTTCTCCAAGTATTCACCCCTAGATCTGGAGCCAGTTTCTCCAAGTAATCACCCCTAGATCTGAAGCCAGTATTTCCAAGTATTCACCTCTAGATCTAAAGCCAGTATTTCCAATTATTTACCCCTAGATCTGAAGCCAGTATTTCCAAGTATTCACCCCTAGATCTGAAGCCAGTATTCCTAAGTATTCACCACAAGATCTCAATCCAAGTATTCACCAACAGATCTGAAGCCAGTATTTCCAAGTATTCACCAACAGATCTGAAGCCAGTATTTCCTAGTATTCACCACAAGATCTCAATCAAAGTATTCACCACGAAACAAACTTTATTGGATTGTGTCCTATACATTTTAAACACACAACTACAGTGCAGACCTGATAAGAACTCACCAAGGACCCAAGAAATAGTTCTTCTTATCAAGAATTTTCACTTACCTAGATAAAAGTTTAAGCAAGAAACATTGCCTAAACAAATTTTTCTTCACAACAGAAATTTGCCACATCCAAGATTGCCTTAAGCACTCAGACACTGGGATCTGTTACACTTTCTCAGATACTGGGATCTGTTACACTTCCCCAGATACTGGGATCTGTTACACTTTCTCAGATACTGGGGGTCTGTTACACTTTCTCAGATACTGGGATCTGTTACACTTTCTCAGATACTGGGGGTCTGTTACACTTTCTCAGATACTGGGGGTCTGTTACACTTTCTCAGACACTGGGGTCTGTTACACTTTCTCAGATACTGGGATCTGTTACACTTTCTCAGATACTGGGGGTCTGTTACACTTTCTCAGATACTAGGATATGTTACACTTTCTCAGATACTGGTGGTCTGTTACACTTTCCCAGACACTGGGGGTCTGTTACACTTTTAGACTTGACAATATTGGCCTCAGATACTGCGGTCTGTTACACTTTCTCAAATACTGGGATCTGTTACACTTTCTCAGATACTGGTGGTCTGTTTCACTTTCTCAGACACCGGGGGTCTGTTACACTTTCAGACTTGACAATATTGGCCTCAGATACTGGGGTCTGTTACACTTTCAGACTAGACAATATTGGCCTCAGATACTGGGATCTGTTACACTTTCTCAGATACTGGGGTCTGTTACACTTTCAGACTTGACAATAATGGCTTCACTGGGGTCTGTTACACTTTCAGACTTGACAATAATGGCTTCAGACACTGGGGTCTGTTACACTTTCAGACTTCTAGTCAAGGAAAGATGGCAACTTTTTTAGGCTGATAAAGAGATCACCCCAGCAACATATTTGCTGCAGAGATATACTTTAAAATACCCAACTAACAGCTTTTATATTTTGTAATGTTATATTTGCTGTAAAAGTCTGGCTCAATGTTCAAGTCTGTGTGTGTCTTCTGTTCATATTTGATTTATAAGTGGTATCTGGTTCAATGGTCAAGTCTGTGTGTGTCTTCTGTTCATATTTGATTTATAAGTGGTATCTGGTTCAATGTTCAAGTCTGTGTGTGTCCTCTGTTCGTATTTGATTTATAAGTGGTATCTGGCTCAATGTTCAAGTCTGTGTGTGCGTCTTCTGTTCATATTTGATTTATAAGTGGTATCTGACTTAATGTTCAAGTCTGTGTGTGCGTCTTCTGTTCATATTTGATTTATAAGTGGTATCTGGTTCAATGTTCAAGTCTGTGTGTGCGTCTTCTGTTCATATTTGATTTATAAATGGTATCTGGTTCAATGTTCAAGTCTGTGTGTGCGTCTTCTGTTCATATTTGATTTATAAGTGGTATCTGACTTAATGTTCAAGTCTGTGTGTGCGTCTTCTGTTCATATTTGATTAATAAGTGGTATCTGGTTGAATGTTCAAGTCTGTGTGTGTCCTCTGTTCATATTTGATTTATAAGTGGTATCTGGTTCAATGTTCAAGTCTGTGTGTGTCTTCTGTTCATATTTGATTTATAAGTGGTATCTGGTTCAATGTTCAAGTCTGTGTGTGTCCTCTGTTCATATTTGATTTATAAGTGGTATCTGGTTCAATGTTCAAGTCTGTGTGTGCGTCTTCTGTTCATATTTGATTTATAAGTGGTATCTGACTTAATGTTCAAGTCTGTGTGTGCGTCTTCTGTTCATATTTGATTTATAAGTGGTATCTGGTTCAATGTTCAAGTCTGTGTGTGTCTTCTGTTCATATTTGATTTATAAGTGGTATCTGGTTCAATGTTCAAGTCTGTGTGTGTCCTCTGTTCATATTTGATTTATAAGTGGTATCTGACTTAATGTTCAAGTCTGTGTGTGCGTCTTCTGTTCATATTTGATTTATAAGTGGTATCTAGTTCAATGTTCAAGTCTGTGTGTGTCTTCTGTTCATATTTGATTTATAAGTGGTATCTGGTTCAATGTTCAAATCTGTGTGTGTCCTCTGTTCATATTTGATTTATAAGTGGCAACAGCTCAACCAGAGCTGACTAATGGTCAGATGCTATTGTAACACCCCAACCCAGCAAAATTCTAGCAACAACTGTTTCGTACAACCAACAAGCCATTTCTAGTGCATGATGGGATGCAGAAATGTGTTTGTCTTTAAGATGAGAACTAGAAAGCAGACAATCCCCAGAAAATCAACAAGTATATAATGCAATACGTGTCGTCAGTGTGCAAGGTCAGACAAAGCTGGCTACTGGGTCATCATCTGGAAGAAAACATTCAAAACCAATGGGTAGATGTGATATCTTGTGACACAACAGCCAGCTGGACATGAGCAACATTCAAGTGTCCATCTGGAGGCTGTCGTGTCCCTGGATGCCAGACCTGGTCACGCTATCAGCAGCCAGAAAATGAATATGATGGCCACCCACAGAAAAACTTTGCTGAGAAACTGCTCTTCTGCTTGCTGCGGGGAATTGGGGGGCGCTGCAATTGGTCAACAGAAATAATACAGTATTTATAAAACTTATGTGATATCATCAACTTCTTGTCTAAGCTGATAAAACTCATTGGGTATCATCAACTTCTTGTCTAAGCTGATAAAACTTTCATTGGGTATCATCAACTTCTTGTCTAAGCTGATAAAACTTTCATTTGGTATCATCAACTTCTTGTCTAAGCTGATAAAACTTTCATTGGGTATCATCAACTTCTTGTCTAAGCTGATAAAACTTTCATTGGGTATCATCAACTTCTTGTCTAAGCTGATAAAACTTTCATTGGGTATCATCAACTTCTTGTCTAAGCTGATAAAACTTTCATTGGGTATCATCAACTTCTTGTCTAAGCTGATAAAACTTTCATTGGGTATCATCAACTTTTTGTCTAAGCTGATAAAACTTTTATTGGGTATCATCAACTTCTTGTCTAAGCTGATAAAACTTTCATTGGGTATCATCAACTTTTTGTCTAAGCTGATAAAACTTTCATTGGGTATCATCAACTTCTTGTCTAAGCTGATAAAACTTTCATTGGGTATCATCAACTTCTTGTCTAAGCTGATAAAACTTTCATTTGGTATCATCAACTTCTTGTCTAAGCTGATAAAACTTTCATTGGGTATCATCAACTTCTTGTCTAAGCTGATAAAACTTTCATTGGGTATCATCAACTTCTTGTCTAAGCTGATAAAACTTTCATTGGGTTTCATCAAATTTTCTACTCTAGGTTTACACATCTAGGTAGGTTAGATTAAGGGCTGTTTGATGTTCATGGACCATGAAATAAGAGGACAAATCTGCAATCACAAATGTGTGTATACAACAGTTTCCAGTACTCATCATCACATGACTTAGTGACTGACATCACGTCAGTGCCAGACCTACGTTGTACATACCACTCAACCCTGGGTGACAGATGTGGTCCGCATCACACCAACCGCCTTTACTTTCCAGGACTTTGCCTGGTGTCGATTTAAGGCTGTGTCGACCTGGGAGTGAGGGTAATTTTTTTTTAAAGTTCGGCTGTTTGGATTTCAACCCACAACCTTTGGACCTGCAGGCTAGTGTCTAGCTGCTATACGGCCGACTGGCACGGGCAATCATGTTCCTCTACATCTGACCCTCTCCAATGACAAATGTCAGTTTGTGTGTTCACACTTTTCTACGTTCGAACAAAAGGCTGGGCTATCCAGAATATCTTTCGTGCTGTCCTTTATGATCTCAGACGGCTGAGAAATATTTAGCACATACACCAGGCAAATTAATGCCCCCCCCCCCCCCAACTTCAGAGAAATTGGGGCACCCAAGCGACCGACTGAAAAATGAGATTCCCATCAAGGTTTTTTTTTTTTTAGTTTTATGTATGCAGGATATTCTTCTACACACCCGTAAAAGGGCGGGTTGGCAGTTTTAGATACAGCCAGATGCCCAACATATCAAATTTCAGCAAAGTCTTAATTAGTCGTCCTATACGACCTACGTTTTTAAGAAGCGGTGGGTCAATTCTCTCCCCTTGCAACTGGGAAACTGAAACCCACATGAGGACAAGAGGAAACCAGAACATTACTACCAGCTACCTGAAACCAGAACATGACTACCAGCTACCTAAAACCACAACATGACTACCAGCTACCTAAAACCACAACATGACTACCAGCTACCTGAAACTAGAACATGACTACCAGCTACCTAAAACCACAACATGACTACCAGCTACCTGAAACCAGAACATGACTACCAGCTACCTGAAACCAGAACATGACTACCAGCTACCTAAAACCAGAACATGACTACCAGCTACCTGAAACCAGAACATAACTACCAGCTACCTAAAACCACAACATGACTACCAGCTACCTAAAACCACAACATGACTACCAGCTACCTGAAACCACAACATGACTACCAGCTACCTGAAACTAGAACATGACTACCAGCTACCTGAAACTAGAACATGACTACCAGCTACCTGAAACTAGAACATGACTACCAGCTACCTGAAACTAGAACATGACTACCAGCTACCTGAAACTAGAACATGACTACCAGCTACCTGAAACTAGAACATGACTACCAGCTACCTGAAACTAGAACATGACTACCAGCTACCTGAAACCACAACATGACTACCAGCTACCTGAAACTAGAACATGACTACCAGCTACCTAAAACCACAACATGACTACCAGCTACCTAAAACCACAACATGACTACCAGCTACCTGAAACTAGAACATGACTACCAGCTACATGAAACTAGAACATGACTACCAGCTACCTGAAACTAGAACATGACTACCAGCTACCTGAAACTAGAACATGACTACCAGCTACCTGAAACCAGAACATGACTACCAGCTACCTGAAACCAGAACATGACTACCAGCTACCTAAAACCACAACATGACTACCAGCTACCTGAAACCACAACATGACTACCAGCTACCTAAAACCACAACATGACTACCAGCTACCTGAAACTAGAACATGACTACCAGCTACCTGAAACTAGAACATGACTACCAGCTACCTAAAACCACAACATGACTACCAGCTACCTGAAACTAGAACATGACTACCAGCTACCTGAAACTAGAACATGACTACCAGCTACCTGAAACTAGAACATGACTACCAGCTACCTAAAACCACAACATGACTACCAGCTACCTGAAACTAGAACATGACTACCAGCTACCTGAAACTAGAACATGACTACCAGCTACCTGAAACCACAACATGACTACCAGCTACCTGAAACCACAACATGACTACCAGCTACCTGAAACCACAACATGACTACCAGCTACCTGAAACCACAACATGACTACCAGCTACCTGAAACCACAACATGACTACCAGCTACCTGAAACCACAACATGAATACCAGCTACCTAAAACCACAACATGACTACCAGCTACCTGAAACCACAACATGACTACCAGCTACCTAAAACCACAACATGACTACCAGCTACCTGAAACTAGAACATGACTACCAGCTACCTGAAACTAGAACATGACTACCAGCTACCTGAAACTAGAACATGACTACCAGCTACCTGAAACTAGAACATGACTACCAGCTACCTGAAACTAGAACATGACTACCAGCTACCTGAAACTAGAACATGACTACCAGCTACCTGAAACTAGAACATGACTACCAGCTACCTAAAACCAGAACATGACTACCAGCTACCTGAAACTAGAACATGACTACCAGCTACCTAAAACCACAACATGACTACCAGCTACCTGAAACCAGAACATGACTACCAGCTACCTGAAACTAGAACATGACTACCAGCTACCTGAAACCAGAACATGACTACCAGCTACCTGAAACCAGAACATGACTACCAGCTACCTGAAACCAGAACATGACTACCAGCTACCTGAAACTAGAACATGACTACCAGCTACCTGAAACTAGAACATTACCAGCTACCTGAAACTAGAACATTACCAGCTACCTAAAACACAACACCCTGAGCTGCCCTGACAATCTTCTTCTTCTTTCCTCTACTCCTGGAATGCCTCGCTGCATCACGGCAGGAAGAGATCTCTAGAACAGGCCCTTCTATTCCCTGCGCACAGTGTCTCTGATATTTCTGCGGTCCACTTCTGGCTCTGTTTCCATTGTATCGGTATAACACTGCTCTCTGTGGGGCCCTGTCTGATGCCAAGTCTTGTTACATGGCCAAACCATCTGACCTGCTGTCTAGCTATAAAGTTCAGCACTGGTTCTGACTCTCCTCCTGATATCACCCTTCCTAATTCGATCTTTTCCTGACAATCCAACTCAGAAAACTCCCACTCTGTGTGTTACATGGTGTTGTGTGCAATATATGGGAAGGGAAGTTCATTATTGAACGTAAAACTTGGTGTGGTGCAGCACACATTGAACGGAATGAAGGTAGAGAGAGAGAGAGAGAGAGTGAGTAACGGTGGACTCTACGACGCTGTGTAGAAGGCCTGTTCTAGTCTGGATGGATCCAGGCTGGTCCTGCATAACTGTGTTACGCTGGCGGTAGGGTACGGGCTGTCTGTGAGTGTTGTTACAGCGGTCGCGCCAGCGTGACAGACGCTCGTGTGGCCGCAGACGGAAGGTCTGGACAAGTTTCACAATGTACTGTGCATCGGCCTGTATGATTCTGCTATGTCAGTGTACCCAAGGGATGGGTGTCATAGAGGTAGACACATAATCACGAGTAGTGAGTTTGCACGAGCAGGTAATGTTTGCTCGTAGTTGACCACGGGACAGGGTGGCAGTAGAAGTAGCCCAGAGCGTCCGTAGTGTGTGTTGCCTTGCCAGTAGGAATGACGGTGGCGGTGTAATGTTTTATTCTCGTGATGCCTTTCATTGTTTTGGCGTTGGAATTAGAAATACATTAATTCTGTTTTTGACGTTCACATGTATCCGGCGTCCTTATTGCTGTTGGGCGGGAATGGTGACTTGTTACTGTAACACTATTTAACATACCATGGATGCTTGGCAAGTGTGCGTTGTATCAAGCAAACATTCGCACTCGTCACATGGCAATAGTCAACAAACCACACATTTATGAGCTCACAGAATCAACAGGAAATATTTACGAATACTTACGAGGCCCTGGCCTGCCATCATTAAAGTTGAATGTCGATGCAAAGATTCCAAATGGGAATGCACCGATGCCGAAAGAAAACTGAAAATTGCCATCACCACCAAACCCTAAGTTTTGAAAAGGCTGGGGAGAATAAAAACATGCACCTCTAAAAATAAGAAAACTGGCACCCTGTGCTTGTACAGTAGTCAATAAAGCAGTTTTCCTGGAAGACACACACGCACATTTTTATAGTAGAATGTAGACAATGCCTGGAGTCATCTAAATGATTTGATAAAAGCTTGGATACAAAGATAACTGAAACAACAGACATAAGAAAAAAGCAGTTGAGATTCCAGAAAGAGGCAGGTGAGATTCCAGGAAGAGATAGGTGAGATTCTAGAAAGAGGCAGGTGAGATTCCAGAAAGAGGCAGGTGAGATTCCAGAAAGAGGCAGGTGAGATTCCAGAAAGAGGCAGGTGAGATTCCAGAAAGAGGCAGGTGAGATCCCTGACCCATGAGATGAGGGGTTCTCTCACGAGTTATGAATCAATATGTGATGTGTTCCTTGATACTAAAATAGTTAAACTTCTTGCATTTTACTTTGAAGATCAAGGGTTCTATTTGAAATGTGTGATTTGGTACAATCATATAATAACTGTGACAGAGACCCATAGGTCTCTTCGCTGGAGCTAAAGGGTTTGTACTTTGTGTGAGACTCTTGGCATGAAGCTATTGGTTTGATCAAACGATGCAAGGAAATCTATCATTTTACCCTGAACTCTGTAGCACTGAACCGGTTTTCTGACTTGACATCTCTGGCTAGTGGCCTTTATGTGCATGTGACAGCTTTTGTACTGTGAGGCACTATCTGGGTTAGACATGGTGGCTATTTTCATATTGACAAACACACGTTTTTGTGAGGCACTATCTGGGTTAGACATGGTGGCTATTTTCATATTGACAAACACACGTTTTTGTGAGGCACTATCTGGGTTAGACATGGTGGCTATCATCATATTGACAAACACACATTTTGGTGAGACACTATCTAAGTTAGACATGGTGGCTATCATCATATTGACAAACACACATTTTTGTGTCTGGGTTGAAGATTGTTTTGACATCATGATGTGACATTTATGATGACATCATTGTGCTCTCTGTGGCCATGTCAACCAACCCACTGATTTCTTGGTCAAAGCCAGGCAAAGCAGAGAGGCCATCTTGACTCTGTTTATATTCAGTGATTAATTAGCTTTGTATATAGTTTTTTAAATACACACTGTGGGGAAAATAATGACTCCAAATATGAAAAATCCCTCTTTTTAGTGACCCGGGGGGGGGGGGGGGGGGAATGCATGAGGATGCAGTGGGTAGCTGGCTTGCCTGTTTACTCTGTGTTCAAAGGTTTCAACCTACTGGAGTTGTATACAACTGCCCAAGACTCCAAATTCTTAAGACAGGGTTTCAGACAATTATAACGATGCATTTTCTTCCTAACAAACTTTTGAAATAGGTAATTTTAAAGATTTGTATGGAGTAAAAGGGTTAAATCAATGTATCCACCTTCATTCCATCCATCTATCTGCCCCCCTCCTCCCCCCTTTCCACACACACACACACAAATAGGCCATCAAGTAACTGTGTACACACAGCACTAGAACATGAAACAAGGCACTCGCCATCTACAAGCTTACATTTGACGATTCTGGTTCTGACCTCTGACCTGCAGGCCGGGGCGGTAATTTTTCTCTGTAGACAAACACAGACACAATCACATTGCTGATTTGCTCAAAAAACAATTTGCTTAAACCAAGAATGTGAGCCATCATACAGAGAACATAAAATAAGTGACCGCACAAAGACAAGACAGAGAACATATAATAAGTGACCGCACAAAGACAAGACAGAGAACATATAATAAGTAACCGCACAAAGATAAGACAGAGAACATATAATAAGTGACCACACAAAGACAAGACAGAGAACATATAATAAGTTATCACACAAAGATAAGACAGAGAACATATAATAAGTGACCACACAAAGATAAGACAGAGAACATATAATAAGTTATCACACAAAGATAAGACAGAGAACATATAATAAGTTATCACACAAAGATAAGACAGAGAACATATAATAAGTGACCACACAAAGATAAGACAGAGAACATATAATAAGTTATCACACAAAGATAAGACAGAGAACATATAATAAGTTATCACACAAAGATAAGACAGAGAACATATAATAAGTGACCACACAAAGATAAGACAGAGAACATATAATAAGTTATCCGCACAAAGACAAGACAGAGAACATATAATAAGTTATCACACAAAGATAAGACAGAGAACATATAATAAGTTATCACACAAAGATAAGACAGAGAACATATAATAAGTTATCACACAAAGATAAGACAGAGAACATATAATAAGTGATCACACAAAGATAAGACAGAGAACATATAATAAGTTATCACACAAAGATAAGACAGAGAACATATAATAAGTAACCACACAAAGACAAGACAGAGAACATATAATAAGTTATCACACAAAGACAAGACAGAGAACATATAATAAGTTATCACACAAAGACAAGACAGAGAACATATAATAAGTTATCACACAAAGACAAGACAGAGAACATATAATAAGTTATCACACAAAGACAAGACAGAGAACATATAATAAGTTATCACACAAAGACAAGACAGAGAACATATAATAAGTTATCACACAAAGACAAGACAGATTCTAGTAACATTGTGACGTGATTTTCATGTCTGGAACATGTTCCATCAGACACCAGTCTAGACTGGATTCTAAACTCTGCCTGATTTATTTTCACAAACTCACCTAATTATTGTCTAAACACACAGAAGTAAAAACACATGTTCAGTTGATTGCCTGACACATGTTTCTGCATCTCCTCAGGTACATTACTACAGGACATCACCACTTCTTCTTCTTCGGGTTTACCCATTTAAAACTCAGGTGGAAAAGTTCTGGTTGTTCAGCCAGTTCTGGACTTTCATCATGATCCAAAACTTGATTTTGCAAGCACATTCGTGTTAGAGATTTGACTAATTTCTGTGTAGATTGTTGGTTCCTCGCCTCTCAACCAGATGCATTCCAACTTTAAAGGAAACAGCCCTCTCTTTAGTCAACTTTTAGGACATGCTTGTATGGTGGCAGTGAATCTATCCTCCCCTCCCCCCACCAAGAGAATGTACACAGACAGCATCAACATTTAATGAAGCCTTTTCCCGTAAACACACAAATCACGTGGTCTTCTCCAGTCATACTGAACATCACTGTACAATAAAGTTTATTTGTCAATATTTGATTCTGAAAGCTTGATCATGACTGGTTAAATTTTAGGATTGACATTGTGGTTTGGATCACCTATGATGCAGAAATTAGACCTCACATCTTTGGGCTCCCAGATGGAATCTGACAAAAATGGTTACCACAAACAGGAAATGTTCCTGGAAATCAAGGCAGTCAAGAGTGAAACTGACCACACTGGCATTGAGTGTCAACTGATCTACCAACACCATATGCTCATCACACTGTGTGTGTGTGTGTGTGTGGGAGGGAAGGGGGTTACACATGTGTCACACAACAAAACTCTCTAACCAACTAGCTGTGACAAGAAGCAGTTGATGAAGGCTGAATGTAAGCCACAGTTGGGTGGGGGGGGGGGGGGGGGGGGGGGGGGGGGGGGGGGGGGGGGGGGGGTGGGGGGGGGGGGTTACACATGTGTCACATAACAAAACTCTCTAGCCAACTAGCTTTGACAAGAAGCAGTTGATGAAGGCTTTGACAAGAAGCAGTTGATGAAGGCGTTGACAAGAAGCAGTTGATGAAGGTGTTGACAAGAAGCAGTTGATGAAGGCTTTGACAAGAAGCAGTTGATGAAGGCGTTGACAAGAAGCAGTTGATGAAGGTGTTGACAAGAAGCAGTTGATGAAGGCGTTGACAAGAAGCAGTTGATGAAGGCGTTGACAAGAAGCAGTTGATGAAGGCTTTGACAAGAAGCAGTTGATGAAGGTGTTGACAAGAAGCAGTTGATGAAGGTGTTGACAAGAAGCAGTTGATGAAAGCGTTGACAAGAAGCAGTTGATGAAGGCGTTGACCAAAAGCAGTTGATGAAGGCGTTGACAAGAAGCAGTTGATGAAGGCGTTGACAAGAAGCAGTTGATGAAGGGGTTGACAAGAAGCAGTTGATGAAGGCTTTGACAAGTGCAGTTGATGAAGGGGTTGACAAGAAGCAGTTGATGAAGGGGTTGACAAGAAGCAGTTGATGAAGGCGTTGACAAGAAGCAGTTGATGAAGGCGTTGACAAGAAGCAGTTGATGAAGGTGTTGACAAGAAGCAGTTGATGAAGGTGTTGACAAGAAGCAGTTGATGAAGGCGTTGACAAGAAGCAGTTGATGAAGGCGTTGACAAGAAGCAGTTGATGAAGGTGTTGACAAGAAGCAGTTGATGAAGGCGTTGACAAGAAGCAGTTGATGAAGGTGTTGACAAGAAGCAGTTGATGAAGGCTTTGACAAGAAACAGTTGATGAAGGTGTTGACAAGAAGCAGTTGATGAAGGCGTTGACAAGAAGCAGTTGATGAAGGCATTGACAAGAAGCAGTTGATGAAGGGGTTGACCAGAAGCAGTTGATGAAGGCGTTGACAAGAAGCAGTTGATGAAGGCGTTGACAAGAAGCAGTTGATGAAGGCTGAATGTAAACCACAGTTAGGCCAGAGAGGCAAATGAAGCTCTTACCTGGGATCCTGAGGGTTTGGATTGCCACGCCCATATATGGGTATTACTTTGTCTTTGCTGATGCCTGCTTTACAAACTGGACATGTCTGCCTGTTTGGCCTTGTTTCTAACCACTGGTGCAAGCAAGGCCAACTGTGGAAGGTCACATTTACATCAAACATTTGGGCTATCCTCCGAATAACGAAACAAAATTATCGAGGCCCAAAATATACCCTAACAGGGCCTCAGTCACATGTCAATTGCGGACTTTTGGCGACTTAAACTGCGCACTTCCGGCCACACCGAGAGTATCTCCTATGTCGCTACACACGGCGTGGATTGGGGCTAAACTAGATGGCTGGGACTCCCGAGTAGCAGCTACCGGATCTCCTGCAGCTTCCTTCATTTTATTTGCTCATGAGTCCCAGCTATCTAGTTTAGCCCTAATCCATGGTGTGCGTAGTGGCGTGGGAGATACTCTCGGCAGTGGCGATATAGTCCCCGGAAGTCCGCAACTGACATGTGACTGGGGCCCTGTTAGGGTATATTTTCGGGATTGATAATTTGTGACCGTTATTTGGAGGATAGCCAACATTTGATCATGAGCAGAGATTTCTGATCAAGAAAAATCTTGTCTTTACTTGTGTTTTAAATAAATCTATTGGCTTGTTTGCTGACTTTAGCTATGGTAACCCAATCTGAAATTACTCCAAAACCACTGAATGACCTAGATGTGTCCTTGTCAAAATGTTCATTTCAGACATTTTTAGTGTGAACCACAAGTACACTAGTCTCCTGTTATTTCAGTTGTTAGGTGTGAGCTCCCTCCCATAATACCAAATGTTCCACTTAAACCTTACAACGACTGCCCCGCTTGGCTTAGGGATAGCCTACCAACAGTCAGAACCACTGTAACAGGGGTCTCCTCCAAATCATCAATGAGCAGCACTGATATGAAATCAACTACAGAAGGAGAGATCAATAGACTTTACCCACACCAGAGTTGGATTCGAGTGTATACAGATGGTTCAGCCAAGAGAGCAGTAAGAGACGGAGGAGGAGGAATATACATAGAATGCCCAAATGGTTTAAAAATCAACCAGGCTGTACCAACAGGTTCATATTCCTCCAATTACAGAACAGAGGCAGAAGCACTTCTAGCGGCATGTTCTTTCCTGAATGGACAACAGCACAGCAAATATAGCAGAGTGGTCTTTCTGACTGATGCTATATCAGTTCTACAAGCAATTGTTAACCCAAAAGACACTCAGTTTGTAGACTTGACGCAACAGCTGATTTACTTAGGCTCTTCAGTAGAACAATCTGTACTGCAGTGGATTCCAGGTCACTGTGGCTTGGAAGGCAATGAAATACGGACAGATTAGCCAGAAGCGGCAGTGACATGGTACAACCAAATAGCAACTTAACCCACCAAGAGATGAAAACACTAATACAATCTAGTATCCAAGAAAGGTGGCTGGATACCCACACCAGATTTTCTCCCCGAGACTCACTTCATCGCCTCTCTAGAGAGGGACAGTCTATTATATTCAGACTAAGGACAGGGCACAACAGATTTCGTCAACATATGTTCAAATTTTTCGGTGTAGGAAATACGGAGACGTGTCCCTGCAGCATGGCACCCGAAAATACTCCAACACTGTCAACTGTATGCTGACAACAGAGACGCAATCTGGCCTGTTCCAACCACAATAAAGACAAAACTGTATGGTACACAAGAGGATATGGATTGCACAATAGCTTTCATAAAGGCTACCGGCCTCCTGATATAAGTTTTCTGACAGAAGGATCGAAGAAGAAGAAGAAGAACCACAAGCACACTAGTCTCTTGTTATTTCAGTTGTTAGGTGTGAACCACTAGCACACTAGTCTCCTGTTATTTCAGTTGTTAGATGTGGACCACTAGCACACTAGTCTCCTGTTATTTCAGTTGTTAGGTGTGAAGACTAATTATTATATTAGTCCACTCAACATATTGAGGATACTATAAATAGCTAGCAATTACACTTATACAAATGCTGTGCTATCCTAGAAAATGCCAGGAAGGATAACTTTTTAGGCATGCCACTCGCAGTGATATGCCAATTGACTACACAAATCTATACATTCGTCTTAATTAAAATTGAGATCAAGTCTTTAATGAGAACTACAAAATAACATTTCATTAGCTTCATCCAATTGCAATGTCATTTTTTTTATTTTCCTATTTTGATATAAAAAGTAAGATTGGGAAGATATGGCCATTTGTAAGAACATTCTGTTTAAACAAATTTCTCCTTTTGCTTTCAATCTCAGTCAGCAATTACAGATTGACATTGTTGTCAATACTGTGATCCCCATAATGTATGTCTTTATCTGCATTAAAATTTACAGAGGAAACTCAAAGTGGCAGAGTTTGGTCTGTGACTGACTGACACAGTGAGGGCTTTACATAACATACAAACTGTGCTTTAGCCAGCTGTTAGTCAATGTTGTGCCTCTAACATAAGCTCTACTGAATGTAAGCCCAGGGGTCAACATATCCTGTCTCTAACATAAGCTCTACCGAATGTAAGCCTAGGGGTCAACATATCCTGTCTCTAACATAAGCTCTACCGAACGTAAGCATTGTGGTCAACATATCCTGCACCGAATGTAAGCCAAGCCTGGGGGTCAACATATCCTGCCTCTAACATAAGCTCTACTGAATGTAAGCCTGGGGGTCAACATATCCTGCCTCTAACATAAGCTCTACCGAATGTAAGCCTGGGGGTCAACATATCCTGCCTCTAACATAAGCTCTACCGAATGTAAGCCTGGGGGTCAACATATCCTGCCTCTAACATAAGCTCTACCGAATGTAAGCCTGGGGGTCAACATATCCTGCCTCTAACATAAGCTCTACCGAATGTAAGCCTGGGGGTCAACATATCCGGCTTCTAACATAAGCTCTACTGAATGTAAGCCTGGGGGTCAACATATCCTGCCTCTTACATAAGCTCTACCGGACGTAAGCGTAAGCCTGGGGGTCAACATATCCTGCCTCTTACATAAGCTCTACCGGACGTAAGCGTAAGCCTGGGGGTCAACATATCCTGCCTCTTACATAAGCTCTACCGAACGTAAGCCTGAGGGCCAACATATCCTGTCACTAACATAAGCATGATAGCTCTAGCGAAATGACTGTAAGCCTGGCAGTCAACATATCCTGTCTCCAATAGAAGCAAACATTTACCAGAATAAATGGCCACACATGCTGACGACTGGATCGTTGGCTGTCTCCAGGCAGATATTGCATTCGTAAGTTCCATTTTGATCCTCTTCATTTGGAGTTTTTGGGTCATTTGACCGAGTTGAAGCTGACGTCGCGTCCGCGCTCATTGTGAATCTCAGATGGCAAGAACTATTGTGGTCTTGAGTATGCCCACTGACTGCACATGACAAAACTGTAACAATCGATAGGTAGAGGCGATCAGAGACAAGAGGCAGGTTTCCAATTGCTCGACTTTCTTGATGTTTACTTCCAGACTTTTCTGATCAACGTAGCATTACGCATGCGCGCTGAGCTAGGGGGACATAACCATACTTCCGGTAGCTCTTCTTTCCTGGAGGTGACTTTCTATGTCCGTCGTCGTCGTCATCATCAGTGTTGCCACTTTGGATGTTTTACATCCAGATTTAGAGGCTTTTTCTTGCATTTAGATGAATTAATCCAGTAACAGAAAGTGTATTGATCAGCAAAAGAATAGGGATGGCCAAAAACATTTTCAACAACATGCAAAAGCTACTGACATCAAAAAATGAGAATTGTCAAATGTTATGTATACTCAATCTTACTGTATGGCACAAACAAGTGGAAAATCGTATCAATTCTTTGGAGATGTGGATATACAGAATATTAGGTCGTATTTCATGGAAACAAAAGCTATCAAATACAGAGGTACTGAGAAAATTGGGAATGAAAAGAGAGTTGCTAGGTGAAATAAAAAAGAGACAAGTGAAAAATTTTGGCCACATTAAAAGACATAACAGTATTGTGAAGATCATCCTAGAGGGAAAGGTTCAAGGTACGCGAGCAAGAGGCAGATAACGTTACAAGTGGGAGGATAACATCAAGAGATTTACGAACAGCAGTATAAGTGAGTGTACATCAAGAGCAAGAGACAGGGCTTGTTGGAGATCCATTGCAGCCAACCTTCATTGTGGAGACGGCACCTGATTGATTGATTGATTGATCAGCACTCATAGAAAAAAGTAGGTAGATAGAAGAACACACAAGACAACATAAAAATCGAAAACTTTAGTTACCGTGCCGGGGATTGATAACTATAGCTTATAGGGTGTAACATCGGAGGAGTTTGTAATAAAAAATGGAGTGACGCAGAAATGTGTACTTGCTCCTACCCTCTTTGGAATATACTTCTCACTTCTTGTGGAACCTGCCTTTTGAGGTCAAGAGGGTAGTATATTCAACTATTCTTGATCTGATGGAAGCCTTTACAATGCTAGTAGGCTGAAGGCCAAAACCAGGATAAGAACGGTACTTATCAAAAAGCTGCTGTTTGCAGATGTAGCAATAACCACCCACTCAGAAGAGGAGCTGCAGTGTTGACTGTTTGCAGATGTTGTAGCAATAACCACCCACTCAGAGGAGGAGCTGCAGTGTTGACTGTTTGCTGATGTTGTAGCAATAACCACCCACTCAGAGGAGGAGCTGCAATGTTGACTGTTTGCAGATGTTGTAGCAATAACCACCCACTCAGAGGAGGAGCTGCAGTGTTGACTGTTTGCAGATGTTGTAGCAATAACCACCCACTCAGATGAGGAGCTGCAGTGTTGACTGCATTTGCTGATGTTGTAGCAATAACCACCGACTCAGAGGAGGAGCTGCAATGTTGACTGTTTGCATTTGCTGATGTTGTAGCAATAACCACCCACTCAGAGGAGGAGCTGCAATGTTGACTGTTTGCATTTGCAGATGTAGCAATAACCACCCACTCAGAGGAGGAGCTGCAGTGTTGACTGTTTGCTGATGTTGTAGCAATAACCACCCACTCAGAGGAGGAGCTGCAGTGTTGACTGTTTGCTGATGTTGTAGCAATAACCACCCACTCAGAGGAGGAGCTGCAGTGTTGACTGCATTTGCTGATGTTGTAGCAATAACCACCCACTCAGAGGTGGAGCTGCAGTGTTGACTGTTTGCAGATGTTGTAGCAATAACCACCCACTCAGAGGTGGAGCTGCAATGTTGACTGTTTGCAGATGTTGTAGCAATAACCACCCACTCAGAGGAGGAGCTGCAATGTTGACTGTTTGCAGATGTTGTAGCAATAACCACCCACTCAGAGGTGGAGCTGCAATGTTGACTGTTTGCAGATGTTGTAGCAATAACCACCCACTCAGAGGAGGAGCTGCAATGTTGACTGTTTGCAGATGTTGTAGCAATAACCACCCACTCAGAGGAGGAGCTGCAATGTTGACTGTTTGCAGATGTTGTAGCAATAACCACCCACTCAGAGGAGGAGCTGCAGTGTTGACTGTTTGCAGATGTTGTAGCAATAACCACCCACTCAGAGGAGGAGCTGCAGTGTTGAATGCATTTGCTGATGTTGTAGCAATAACCACCCACTCAGATGAGGAGCTGCAGTGTTGAATGCATTTGCTGATGTTGTAGCAATAACCACCCACTCAGAGGAGGAGCTGCAATGTTGACTGTTTGCTGATGTTGTAGCAATAACCACCCACTCAGAGGAGGAGCTGCAATGTTGACTGTTTGCAGATGTTGTAGCAATAACCACCCACTCAGAGGTGGAGCTGCAATGTTGACTGTTTGCTGATGTTGTAGCAATAACCACCCACTCAGAGGTGGAGCTGCAATGTTGACTGTTTGCTGATGTTGTAGCAATAACCACCCACTCAGAGGTGGAGCTGCAATGTTGACTGTTTGCTGATGTTGTAGCAATAACCACCCACTCAGAGGAGGAGCTGCAATGTTGACTGTTTGCTGATGTTGTAGCAATAACCACCCACTCAGAGGTGGAGCTGCAATGTTGACTGTTTGCTGATGTTGTAGCAATAACCACCCACTCAGAGGTGGAGCTGCAGTGTTGACTGCATTTGCTGATGTTGTAGCAATAACCACCCACTCAGAGGAGGAGCTGCAGTGTTCTGCGAGTTTGGACTAACAATCAGCAAAAAGAAGACAAAGATTACAGTTCAAGGTGTTAATGATAGTGTGTTTGACAGTAAAAGCTGGAGACAGTATACCATTTTAATTATCTGGGTTCCACTGTGAATAACAAACTATCGCTGGATAAAGAAATCAACACCAGGATAGGTTAGCCAGCAACAACAATGAGCAGATTAACAAAAAAAAGTTTGGGAGAACAGAAAGCTCACAATTAAAACACACACCAAAAAAAAAACCTTGTCTATCAGGTTTGTGTTCTCATCACTTTGCTTTATGGCAGGGAAATTTGGTCAGCTGAAATTTGTACAAGAAGAGATGGCTAAAAAAAGCTTTTACATGCGATGCCTAAGAAGAATATTTGGTATTCGGTGGCAGGAGAAGATGACAAACACTGAGGTATTGGAAAGAGCAGGTACTACAACAGTCTTCTCAATGTAAGCCTGTCCTGCCTACGTCTACAAAGGTTCAGGTGGCTGGGCCGCACTTGGAGAATAGAGGATGCCCCCAGGGAGATTCTTTATGGTGAACTAAAGACGGGTAGAAAATCTAGAGACCAACCTCTACTGCGATATAAAGATGTGTCCAAGCGGGATATGAATAATACAGGCACAGAGGTGGACTCGTGGGAACAAAATGTAATGGAGCGTGTTATGGTTCGTATGGCCTCATTCTGTATGCGCTCATTTCCCCTAGCTAGTATTCACATGCCAACCTGTGTAGCGTAGAGGCTGAAAATGACAACTGTAATCCCGAATGACCTTGATCTATTCTAGCTGATGACGATTTGGCAGCAAGCCGTTTTGCGCTGATTGCGACAATGGTATGTAGCAACTGGCCGTTCAAAGGCAATGTCAAGACAATGGTATGTAGCCACTGGCCGTTCATATGCAACGTCAAGACAATGGTATGTAGCAACTGGCTGTTCACAGGCAATGACAAGACAAAGGTATGTAGCCACTGGCTGTTCACAGGCAATGACAAGACAATGGTATGTAGCCACTGGACGTTCAGGGGCAATGACAAGACAAAGGAATGTAGTTACTGGCCATTCAGGGGCAATGACAAGACAGTGGTATGTAGCAACTGGACGTTCAGGGGCAATGACAAGACAATGGTATGTAGCCACTGGACGTTCAGAGACAATGTCAAGACAATGGTATGTAGCTACTGGCTGTTCACAGGCAATGACAAGACAATGGCATGTAGCCACTGTACATTCAGGGGCAATGACAAGACAATGGCATGTAGCCACTGGACATTCAGGGGCAATGACAAGACAATGGCATGTAGCCACTGGACATTCAGGGGCAATGACAAGACAATGGCATGTAGCTACAGGCTGTTCACAGGCAATGACAAGACAATGGTATGTAGCTACTGGACATTCAGGGGCAATGACAAGACAATGGTATGTAGCTACTGGACATTCAGGGGCAATGACAAGACAATGGTATGTAGCTACTGGCTGTTCAGAGGCAATGACAAGACAATGGTATGTAGCTATTGGGTGTTCAGAGGCAATGAAAAACTGAATGCAGAATTGCCTAGAAAACCACAAACTGTCAGAAGGTAATGTGGTAATCTTAGTTTCAGCTTCATAGCAAACGGGTCACCCCATAGTTGCTCCGCTCCAGTGCCAACGAAAAACACATAGAATGTTTATCACAGTCCCTTGTGAAAAGATTGACAGACTGCTGTCTCAGCATATCTAGCATACACACGCATTAAAGGCATACGGTAGCCATCCAAATTTATAATACAAACAGTCTGACATTAGAAATGCAGTTCATCAGGGATGGTAGCAGAAGTCACCAACAGATCAGCAGTTGCACACGCGATCAATTTTAATCACATACGGGCACCACCAACATTGCGACAACAGGCATTACACCATTTTCTGAATCTACAATTCTTCACCACGTTGTCACAGTTGAAAAACATTCCAAATGAAATGCGCAGCTCACAGTGTCATGCCATGCACTCAACTCAGAAGCTGGGCAACGAAACTATATCCTTTTAATCTACAAATGGAGCAAAAATGCAACAGCCACCGTCTGGCAAAAGCAAAAAAAATTGCCACGGATCAAAACAGTGGCCGTGCCTAGCGTCCATTTTGAGTGCTGGGATTGGTTCTGCAAAGCCCTGTCAACTTGTAAAGAACACGCAGTTGAACAGAAAACAGCTTCCCCAGGCTGCAAGTGTTGGGAATGGTCTGGAAATGTTGCTGAATCGGCGGGACATTAATCACTAGCAGTGACATTTCTGGATTTATTGCAAGATGATTTATCTTTCTAAACAAATTTTGCATCCAAAAAGTAAATTTATTTTAAAACTTTTATTTATGTAGGCCTTTATATATTGACGTCATCAGGACCAGTAAAACTCTGTATAACAATAAAGCAATGAAAAGTACAGTAACATATTTTCGCAATGTTTTAGAGATCGATTTTTAAGTACATTTTGTTTGTTAAAGAAGAGACAGGAGAAATTCTGGGCTGGGAACGGATTCAATAATTTTTTACTGGTTCTTATGGGTAAAGCTCATTTGATGTTCATCTTTTTAAATATTCCCCCTCTCTCAGGAATGAATTTTGACGAATACTGGAGCTCCACAGTATTTCATGACTCTCTTTCTGGCAGGCCTATCTGACGCCATCATTGTGTAGCAGGTCATTCACACAACGTTTAGTTGAAGAGTTTAGTTTTTAAAGAGCAGAGGAGTTTGTACTTTGTGCGACTCTTTTGGCAGACACAGAGTGAGATAGTGAATCTATTGGGATAAAACCCACTGCAACAAAATGAATCAACTTGAATTTAAACAACATGTCACTCATCTGACTGCTGAAGGAATCTCAGTGAAATGTGACTAAAAAGCTTAACAAAACGGAGAAGCACGAAACAATATTTCGCCCGGTTGCCTTTCCTGAACAAATAATGAACTAAACTATTTGGTAGTTCATCACTTGTTTGAGAAAGGCCACTGTGCGAAACATTGTTTTGTGCACGTTTTTCTGCTTCCCCATTTTGTTAAACATTTTAGTAAAATTTCACTGGAATTCCATGGTATTAACTTGACTGCAGTCCCTCCCCCCCTCCCCCCCCCCATATTTTTACCACTGTCTAGTGTCGGCACTAACACCACTAACACGGCACTGTGTGGAAGTTATTCCCATACAGAGCCCCACATTTGTCAAACAAGGCACCAGTAGCCAGTCAGTAGCTGTCTGTCTCATTTGTTGTTAGGGTTTAGGATTCATGTTTTATTTATTGACAAACTGTTTCAAACATCAATTTTAGTCTGTGCGTGACGGTGATAAAACTAGACATCTTACACAAATCATTTTGTTGCACTGAATTTATGACAATGTATTAAATCTGTCATGAGATAATGAAAGACACAGTTAACTGAAGGTCAGTTAATACAAAATATACAGTTGTAGGAAATGTCACAATCACACACAACCAGCCAGTCTTCCAGAATCTGTTGCAGGTCATGGTCAACAGATAGTATCTAGGTGCATATATAAAAATAAGCAGTGTTCTAGTGAACAAACAAGCGTGGAATGGAACATGTCTGTAGCTTCAATGGAACATGTCTGTAGCTTCAATGGAACATGTCTGGAGCCTCAATGGAACATGTCTGGAGCCTCAATGGAACATGTCTGTAGCTTCAATGGAACATGTCTGTAGCTTCAATGGAACATGTCTGTAGCTTCAATGGAACATGTCTGTAGCTTCAATGGAACATGTCTGTAGCTTCAATGGAACATGTCTGTAGCTTCAATGGAACATGTCTGGAGCCTCAATGGAACATGTCTGGAGCCTCAATGGAACATGTCTGTAGCTTCAATGGAACATGTCTGGAGCCTCAATGGAACATGTCTGGAGCCTCAATGGAACATGTCTGGAGCCTCAATGGAACATGTCTGTAGCTTCAATGGAACATGTCTGGAGCCTCAATGGAACATGTCTGGAGCCTCAGTGGAACATGTCTGTAGCTTCAATGGAACATGTCTGGAGCCTCAATGGAACATGTCTGGAGCCTCAATGGAACATGTCTGGAGCCTCAATGGAACATGTCTGGAGCCTCAATGGAACATGTCTGGAGCCTCAATGGAACATATCTGGAGCCTCAATGGAACATGTCTGGAGCCTCAATGGAACATGTCTGGAGCCTCAGTGGAACATGTCTGTAGCCTCAATGGAACATGTCTGGAGCTTCAATGGAACATGTCTGGAGCCTCAATGGAACATGTCTGGAGCCTCAATGGAACATGTCTTGTAGTTCCAACAATCACAGCATGGACAAACAAGAAATTACTGCTAGACTGCAAGAGAACTGTCATACACACACACACACGTACATATAAATATGTATTTATATGTGTGTATATATATATATATATATAGGCGTTATGAATGGTCTTTGTGCCGGGTTCGATCCCAGCTGTGGCCCTTCACTGGTTTTGACAATGGTATCGAGACGCTGAACATCCAGAAAGCAATGGCAAACTACTGGATGTAAATTTGCCTAGAAAAACCACAACAGCCCAACAATGCTGGGGTTGGTTCTGCAACATCCTGTAAAAAATGTGCAACTATATATATATATATATATATTTATATAATTATGTGTGTGTGTATGTATATATACATAAGTTACGCAGATTATATTTTCTGGGATAATAGCTTGTCTACATCAGAAATTATATCACAACTGGTATATGATGAATCACAAACAACCAACCCCTATCTTCAGGATTAACCCCCCCCCCCTTGATATATACATTAGGAAACAGGTACTGTCACAACCAACCAACCCTGCTCTTCAGGATTTCTCTCTCCCTCTCTGACAAATAAATCAGGAAATATGTATTATCCTAACACAGTCAGGCCCAGTGTCAAATGTTGCAAGTCTGCATCAGGACGACAAACTCAGATCTGGTCTCCAATGTTGCAAGATTGTGTCAGCAAGTCAAATTCAGGCCCAGTCTCCAATGTTGCAAGTCAGTGTCAGCACTTTAAAGTCAGGCCCAGTCTCCAATGTTACAAGTCTGTGTCAGCACTTTAAAGTCAGGCCCAGTCTCCAATGTTACAAGTCAGTGTCAGCACTTTAAAGTCAGGCCCAGTCTCCAATGTTGCAAGTCTGTGTCAGCACTTTAAAGTCAGGCCCAGTCTCCAATGTTGCAAGTCTGTGTCAGCACTTTAAAGTCAGGCCCAGTCTCCAATGTTGCAAGTCTGTGTCAGCACTTTAAAGTCAGGCCCAGTCTCCAATGTTACAAGTCAGTGTCAGCACTTTAAAGTCAGGCCCAGTCTCCAATGTTGCAAGTCTGTGTCAGCACTTTAAAGTCAGGCCCAGTCTCCAATGTTACAAGTCAGTGTCAGCACTTTAAAGTCAGGCCCAGTCTCCAATGTTGCAAGTCTGTGTCAGCACTTTAAAGTCAGGCCCAGTCTCCAATGTTGCAAGTCTGTGTCAGCACTTTAAAGTCAGGCCCAGTCTCCAATGTTACAAGTCTCTGGCAGCAGATGGCTGCTAGCATCACTGGCAGACCTCTCTGGCAGGGCATCAGGAAGGCCATGGACAAGCTCACTGTAGTGAACTACATGACTGTATTTTAGGACACCCTTGCGGACATGGAACCGGTAGCCGGGCTATGAACATAAAAAAGTCATGACAAATACATTAGTCATTTACATGTGCTCACTTCTTTCTCTGCTACTCTAAGATGTACAGGAGTAACAAAGGGGAGCGGTCAGAGGTTAACAGGTACCATAAGTGCTAATAAACCAGGAGAATTGACATGGAAGCGTGAGATAGGAGATGTCAGACCGCACTGAGATACACAAGGAAACACTGATTGTCAAGTTTAGAAAGACAGACTGCTTTAAGTATGACAACCAAAGTTCTAAGAACAGGTGTTGCAATGAAGAGGAAGCATAAATCTTTCAGTCAGACAAGCAGTCAACATGAGAGACAGACAAGCTTTTAGAAGAATAAACATAACCATAAAGCAGGAGGATAATACAGTACTCAAGGGGTACTCAAGGCAGACAGCCCAGGCTGCCCAGCAAGATAGAGAGATGAGAAAGTAGCAGAGAATCAAAAGATGACAGGTGATAGGATAGACAAGTGGGCCACTGGAAAAGAACAAAGGATAAAAGAGGGCTGGACAAGGATGAGAAGAAAACGAGGGTCAGCTCTTGAGGAATCATGTTGAAGGCGTTGTAGCCGAATGGCGGTCGAAAAGACAAGCTTATGGAGAGAGAGTTGACTATATGGCAGAGAAGAAACTTGGTTAGAAAGAAAGATATTTCGATAATAGGTTGAGAAGAGACTTTATGAAAGGTCTATAAAAAAGAATGTTAGCCACTTATACTTGAAGTATAAGAATCATCATTGTATTAAATGAACTCATCATCATATCTGAATAGCCAGCAACAAGATACTGAAATGTTGATCTTTTGTTTAAAGGAAACATATTCGTCCAGCTTGAAGTGACATTATATTGCTTAATAAACAATCTTGTTTTCAATTGATTTGTTGGATCACTGGCTGTGTTGATAAGCACCAGAAAGACACAAGAACACTATATGACCACCTGTCCGTTAGGCATGCTTAAAACTTGGGGAGCATAGAGATACAACTGTGTCACACAGGGATATATTGTTGATCAAGATTTAGGCAACATAACAGAATATAGGTACCCATTTAAAACTATGATCCAGATGGAGAAGTTTAATAGTATGCAGTCACATCCAATGAATGCAAGATTAGATGATTTGGCATTGGGGCATCTCAAACATAGCAGCTTTGTAAATCGGGGGAAAAGACTTAGAAGACAGTATCAAGCAGATCTACCCCGAGAATAACACCACTGAAACCTTCTGTTTCCATGCACCTTGGGAAACAATACAGATAACGACTTCAGTCAGTGTATTCACAGCTGGAGATGAGGAAATGACATTCAAAAACGGACAGTTGCTCTGAGCAGGATACAGGAAAATATCCCGAACAGTCATGGATACATGCTTACAGCTGAGGTTCTGTCATCTCTATCACACATCCAGACAACCACAGCCACACAAAGTATCTACTAGAGCAGGCTGCCGAAATGTTACACAACACAGCAGAGGTCCTAGCACTAGTGGGGCTAGTAGTAGTATTTTCAAACACACAATTAGTGGACTAGCCAAAATGGCTTACAGACCCTGATTTTGCTACCAAAGGATCCCTAATAATTGTAATATCATCATTGGGTGTTTCCGTCCCTAAGATAGTTGTTGCACAGCTGTGTCTTGCAGTGTTCTTTCAGTCTTGGTATGCCTGCAGCAAAATATCTGTTCTACCTGATTTTCTAGGTCTATTTCTTTGTTGTCCAGTATTTCCCCTAGAGTGCTCTCTACAGCGCTTCTTTCTGGGTCTGTCCATTTCTTTGTTGTCCAGTATTTCCCCTTGAGTGCTCTCTACAGCGCTTCTTTCTGGGTCTGTCCATTTCTTTGTTGTCCAGTATTTCCCCTTGAGTGCTCTCTGCAGTACTTCTTTCTGTTTAGAAAGAGCCTCTTTTTTTTCTTTCTTCTTTTCAATTTTTGATTTATTATTATTTTAAGTAGTCTTTTTCTATTCATTCTTGTCCATTTTTCAAAACTTTTTGTTTGCCATTTGTTGACATTCCTGTCATATTTTAAAAAACATCTCAAATACTTCCACACATTACAGAAAACAAAGACCGGTTAAAATATAGACTTACTTTAGTTAACCGTCGACAGGTAATGATGCCATTTCCTATCCGAAGATCACTTCTGAACATCACTTTGAGTTTCTTCATTGGCGGTGCTCCGAAACTGGGCTCCACAGAAAAGACGCGGTTGTCCTCTTTTATCATGACACCAGAATCATCCGACCAGTGTCCGCTGGAGTCATTGTCATGTTCCATGCAGCAGCCATGATCAGTGCGGCCTAAAGATTCACTGACTTCCATGTTTGTGTGCAGGGACTCCTAGAAAACATTACACATGAAACTATGACTACTGATTACAGAGGACCGGCTCTACTAGATATGCCTAGATGTAGCACTATATGGTTGGCAAATACGCATGATCAATGATGAAAACACAAACTCATGGAAAACTGAGTACATGGGAAGAGTAAACCTGAGAGAAAGAAATATCAAACAAGTTCTCAACTATTTCAGCAAGAAAACCACAGCTGTATAATTGTTCTCTTGTACATATCAAGTACCTTATCAGATTATTTGTTTTTGTTCACAGAGTCAGATCCGTCATAAGAAAAGCTTGTCATGAGATGCATACATATTCTGTGCATGTCACTCTTACATTACACACTGGTGACTGGTTACAATATATTCTTAGGAAGATGTAATCTCGTGGTTTTGACCTCCACATCAACCTATTGTATGTCTTTTGGTGAATGACACTTCCATCAGGGCCAGCTAGAATCTCCCCCTTGGCCAGCCACAATCTCCCACCAGGGCCAGCTACAATCTCCCACCAGGGCCAGCTACAATCTCCCACCAGGGCCAGCTACAATCTCCCACCAGGGCCAGCTACAATCTCCCCCTTGGCCAGCCACAATCTCCCACCAGGGCCAGCTACAATCTCCCACCAGGGCCAGCTAGAATCTTCCCACAAAGCCAGCTAGAATCTCCCCCTTGGCCAGCCACAATCTCCCACCAGGGCCAGCTACAATCTCCCACCAGGGCCAGCTAGAATCTTCCCACAAAGCCAGCTAGAATCTCCCCCTTGGCCAGCCACAATCTCCCACCAGGGCCAGCCACAATCTCCCACCAGGGCCAGCCACAATCTCCCACCAGGGCCAGCTACAATCTCCCACCAGGGCCAGCTACAATCTCCCACCAGGGCCAGCTACAATCTCCCACCAGGGTCAGCTAGAATCTCCCACCAGGGCCAGCTACAATCTTTCACCAGGGCCAGCTACAATCTTTCACCAGGGCCAGCTACAATCTCCCATCAGGGCCAGCCACAATCTCCCACCAGGGCCAGCCACAATCTTTCACCAGAGCCAGCTACAATCTCCCACCAGAGCCAGCTACAATCTCCCACCAGGGCCAGCTACAATCTCCCACCAGGGCCAGTTACAATCTCCTACTAGGGCCAGCTACAATCTCCCACCAGGGCCAGCTACAATCTCCCACCAGGGCCAGCTACAATCTCCCACCAGGGCCAGCTACAATCTCCCACCAGGGCCAGCCACAATCTCCCACCAGGGCCAGCTACAATCTCCCATCAGGGCCAGCCACAATCTCCCACCAGGGCCAGCCACAATCTCCCACCAGGGCCAGCTACAATCTTTCACCAGAGCCAGCTACAATCTCCCACCGAATGTAACAGGGTCCGCACCCCAGCCCCCTCTTTTTATTAGTATTGTGCTCTCTGCACGGTAAGACCCTGGTCGCTTTCACCCTTATTGTAAAACTTTCCATTAGTCCATACTCTTGTTTCCCACGTACTATGAATCGCATGATCTGACATGTGACTCTCCCCGTCCAATGTCCAAAGTCATTAATTAAATACCGACCCGGCCAGCTCAGGTGATTGCACTAGCTGCAAAACAAGGAGGGGTAGGAGCCCCCTAGTAACCCCTTTATAAACGATTGCCCGTAACCTTTGGTGGGACACACAGAGAGAGCGCTTAGCTCAGATAGACAGACAGACAGACCAGAGGAGCGGTTTGCTCAGATAGATAGACAGATAGATAGACTTAGATTCAGGGATTGGAGCTCACAGAAACAGATAGACGCACGCACAGTCAGGACAGACGAACACGAGACGAACAACAGAGGATAGTTGAGCAGTGACAGAAGAAAGAGGACAGCAGAAGACAGCAAAGAACAGATGAGGGACAGCCTAGAGACGGAGTGAGGAGAACAAGTGACTAACACCGGCCGATTAAGCAGGGAAGAGAGTATAGATAAGTAGATTGACGGTATTACTTAATGAACCTTTTAGCCCAACCTGCACTAGTAGCCTGGTGGCAGTTAAAGACTCTAGTTTAAATTTACAAAGTGATTAGTGATAAAAGAACACAACGCGAATTTTATAAGTGCATAGATGTGATTTTTCTCAATTTTGTGACATTGATGTAATCTTAAATTAAAGAAAAAGGAGATTCAGAGAACTTGGGCACTTGTTTTCAGAGGCTTTGTTGTTCAAGCATTATAGTGCACGTGAGAAACATGCAAGTAACACAACAATTACTTTCAACAAAATCCCACTATCGTCACGACCATCTTTCTCCTGGTCTGTCAACAATCACCCGCCACCCTCGACACAAAAGATTTGGAGAGCCTGGGTTAGAACTTCACAGAACACTGTTGTGTCACACAGAGCCAGCTACAATCTCCCACCAGGGCCAGCTACAATCTCCCACCAGGGCCAGCTACAATCTCCCACCAGGGCCAGCTAGAATCTCCCACCAGGGCCAGCTACAATCTCCCACCAGGGCCAGCTACAATCTCCCACCAGGGCCAGCTACAATCTCCCACCAGGGCCAGCTACAATCTCCCACCAGGGCCAGCTACAATCTTCCATCAGGGCCAGCCAGAATCTCCCACCAGGGCCAGCTACAATCTCCCACCAGGGCCAGCTAGAATCTCCCACCAGGGCCAGCTACAATCTCCCACCAGGGCCAGCTAGAATCTCCCACCAGGGCCAGCTAGAATCTCCCATCAGGGCCTGCTGGAATCTCCCATCAGGGCCTGCTAGAATCTCCCATCAGGGCCTGCTAGAATCTCCCACCAGGGCCTGCTAGAATCTCCCACCAGGGCCTGCTAGAATCTCCCATCAGGGCCTGCTAGAATCTCCCATCAGGGCCTGCTAGAATCTCCCATCAGGGCCTGCTAGAATCTTCCATCAGGGCCTGCTAGAAAAACTCTGAACCTGCCTCATATATATATATATATATATATATATATATATATATATATATATATATATATATATATATACACATGTGAATATCAGGAACAGTTAAGTTTTGTTTGTTATAAAGATATAAAACAAAACTCAGAGTATACCAGCAAGCTTCACAAATAACAAACACAAAGTTAATGTGTTATACATGTTCCTGTTCAAGGATATTCTCTGTTCTATGACCAACTTTGTGCTTGTGGAGCCCTGCCTCATCTTCTAGGAGCCACGCCTTACATTATTAAACCACAGGTGTTCAGCATGGCTGAAGTATTCCCATAATTCAGATAAACAAAACTAGTTAAATACTCACCTGTGGATCCAGGTATGATGAACACAGCTCTGTCAAACTTTCTGTCTGACTTATAGCGTCCAACTTGTCTGTCTGTTCCAGTTGGATTTCCTTCTGTCTCTGTCTAAGCTTCTCCAGAGATGTCCGAAATCTCCGCCATCTGACCCAGTGACTTACAACTGCAGAGATTGATTTCAAAATATAGATCATGTCAGTAAACACTCTCTTAAATATTGAAGCAATTAAAGCAATTAGTCTTGAATATTCACGTATAACAAATGTACTCTGAAACAGTGACACCAGAGTCAGTATTGAATCTCAGCTAACACATGAAGAATTACACCTCATCAAAACACTGAAATATTATGATACAAATGTATCAAACATTAACAAATGATTCAGACTGCCAAATCTGTCATTGTTAAAATGTCAAAAAACGCATGTGACCAGACTGATACCGACAAGATGGAAAGTCTAAAGACGGATGTGACCAGACTGACACTGACAAGATGGAAAGTCTAAAGACGGATATGACAAGACTGACACCGACAAGATGGAAAGTCTAAAGACAGATCTGACCAGACTGACACTGACAAGATGGAAAGTCTAAAGACGGATCTGACCAGACTGACACCGACAAGATGGAAAGTCTAAAGACAGATGTGACCAGACTGTCACAGACAAGATGGAAAGTCTAAAGACGGGTGTGACCAGACTGACACTGACAAGATGGAAAGTCTAAAGACAGATGTGACCAGACTGTCACAGAAAAGATGGAAAGTCTAAAGACGGATGTGACCAGACTGACACCGACAAGATGGAAAGTCTAAAGACGGATGTGACCAGACACAAGCATCTGAAACCTAGGAGATGGAAAGTCTAACACAGCAAAACTGGTTGATGATTCATAACCAAAACTGGTCCACCTCCCAGAAACAAAAATGAAACGTCATCTCTGCATGTTTTCCCATGGTCAGTGCTCTGTTAGTGCACCCCAGAGAACAGACTTATACAAGTAAAGTAAACTAAGATCCCTTTTCACGTCTTTAGGTGCATCGGGCATTTTGGAAGAGCACCCATATTTTTACAGACCAATCAGTACTAGGTGGGTAATGTGAACAGCATTAGGCCAGCCCTCTTTACTTCCTCAGGACATACATCCTGGTACCCATTTTAAGCTGGGTCGACCTGCAACGCCCCATACCATGATAAAAATCTACGCAGACAGCAATAGGTTTATATCGCGGTACATTGTAATTACGAGTGGGACTGGCAACGCCTAAGCAGCGGACGCCTTAGTGTTATATAGATACAGCAGTGTTATACAGATGTAGCAGTGTTATACAGATGTAGCAGTGTTATACAGATGTAGCAGTGTTATACAGATGCAGCAGTGTTATACAGATGTAGCAGTGTTATACAGATGTAGCAGTGTTATACAGATGTAGCAGTGTTATACAGATGTAGCAGTGTTATACAGATGTAGCAGTGTTATACAGATGTAGCAGTGTTATACAGATGTAGCAGTGTTATACAGATGTAGCAGTGTTATACAGATGTAGCAGTGTTATACAGATGTAGCAGTGTTATACAGATGTAGCAGTGTTATACAGATGCAGCAGTGTTATACAGATGCAGCAGTGTTATAAAGATGCAGTAGTGTTATACAGATGCAGCGGTGTTATACAGATGTAGCGGTGTTTATACAGATATAGCAGTGTTATACAGATGCAGCAGTGTTATAAAGATGCAGCAGCGTTATACAGATGCAGCAGTGTTATACAGATGCAGCAGTGTTATACAGATGCAGCAGTGTTATACAGATGCAGCAGTGTTATACAGATGCAGCAGTGTTATACAGATGCAGCGGTGTTATACAGATGTAGCGGTAACAGAGCCAGAGGTGGACCACACAGAAGACAGACTACATGAATATAGGAGACACTTAAAAAGTACTTTATATGTGGGGAAGATGCAAAAAAAAAAAAGAAGTGCTATATTTGGGAAATGTAGCCTTTGGTGAGAATCAGTGAAGATGTCACCAAACAAGACTTACATCCTGTTAACAAGAAGCACAAAATGCTATAACAGATGTGTGTGAAACTTGGTGACAACTGGTGAAGATGTCACCAAACAAGACTCACATCCTGCTAACAAACTGCACGCTATAGTGCTATAATTGATGTTGGTACATGCTGAGAACAAAACTGTTGATTCTGTGGCGGTCATCAAAAGCAAACAATCTACAGACTGGGTCCCACAGGTAGCTGAAGGTGCTGGCTATAACACCCATAAGCCGCCCCTACTTTCTTGAGGGCTCTTAAATGCTGCAGATATTCCAGCAGCAGAAACCAAACGTACAACATGACAACATAATCAACTTTCCTTCTCTAACCCTTCCTCTGTTATGCTGCAGTGTAAAAGTCATTAACAGTTTGGTATTTAAAGTCTTGGTGGACTTGTCTGCTGGTGGGTACCACCCGTAGACAGAGGACAGTATCCTACAGAACTATCTGGGAACACTGACTAAATAACATAATGCCAGAATAAAGTCCAATATGTCAGCTGAAAGACACAAATGTAGCAGCATTCAATACTTCAAGTTTGTCCTACACAGACAGAAAACTGGCAGAAAACAGAAGAATCTGAGAGTGTATACATCCATAAAGCAAAGCAAGCTGTATAATACTCTGGTGTGTTTTGTCTGCCTTCTAGAGCAGTATTGCTGACTCTAGGGTCTCTTCAGAGGTAGAGCGGACTCATCATTCTATACCTCAGGAAGTGGCATAACAAACTGGTCTGAGTAGTTCACCACTGTACCCATGTGAGCTGTACCTACAAACTTGTCTGAGTAGTTCACCACTGTACCCATGTGGGCTGTACATACAAACTGCAGAACATATCCAGCAAAAATGTCTCTTGCCCAGCCTATTAGGACCAATAAGTCAACACTATACTCAAAGTTGTATAGAACTAAAGATGACCACCAAAGAATGGTCAATGTTATCAGAAGAACTCGTCCGTCAGTTTAAATCAAGGAAGCGATTACAAGAAGAAGTTAGGTATCTACCTAAACATAAACATAGGTTTCTCCGTATCCCTGAAACTCCCTACATCAATTATGACTACTGCTTAAAGACCAGTACTAAAGAAGTAAAACTAAAGACCTGACACAAAATAAAATGCATTACATTTCTTGATTATGTGTGAAGATTTCAACAAGTGTTTCATGGCTTGTCTCATCCTGTGTAGCCTCCAAGCCCGCTGTATCTGCCGGACTGCTGATCTCATGTGATTAAACTGGTGTCTAGTCACACGTGCTTTCCAACATGTCTGCAATGTGATGGCTGCTGCTCTGAGCTGACAGAACCGCTGTCTCTGTCGAACCCTGCGCCAGGTGGCCTGCAGCTTGGTCACTAAAGCTGAGATCACACCTGCTCTTGTCTGCTCCAGATATTCCAACTGCCAAAACAAAATGCAGAACATTGCAACATACAGTAAAACTTTTATTAACCGCCACTCGTTTAACCGTCAATTACTGTTATCCATCTTCGTCTTAAAAACAAAAACAAAATGATCAGCTCTGAACCTGAGACCTACAACTAGCCACTCAGAAACAGAAACAATGTTATCAAAGTGCACTGACTGGCTTGAAATGCAAGAGAAGGCAAATGCAACACAGATCCTACTTTTGCCTAAGATACGGAACATCGCCGCACAAAAAGTGAAGACAGATTATTTCAAAGTATATAATACGGTTTATAATACTGCTATACATCAACATTTCAGAGCAGAAAGCTCGAGCCTCAAAGAAGGAGATGACAGATTATTTTAAAGTATCATAGGTTTATGGAATTACAATACAATTCTGTACAATAATACTCTTATATTGTTGACTATATTGACAGTTTTGTAAAAGTAAATACAATATGTATATACTAGTCATTTTTCAAGGATTTAATTTTCATCCTCTCTGTGGCTAAGTCGATGTGAATGCTTCGTAATGTCGGGTTCGATCCCTGCTGCAGGCCGTGAGCCTTGCGTTGGTTTCAATAGTAGTATCTAGAAAGCTGACCGTCCAGAAAGCAATGGCAAACTACTAGATGTAAAATTGCCTAGAAAAACCCCACAACAGCTAGGGGCTGTTGAGGTTGGTTCTGCAACGTCCTGTAAAGGATCCCCAACTAACCTATTTTCATCCCAAGTCCACAGTAAAATCACCTTACTGTACAGCATATGCATTCAGAGATTTATATCATCCATCAAAGCCCTGTTCCAGACAGTGAGAGTGAATCAAATTTACAGCAGTTGAGTTGAGCCCAGAATTGACATCACAGCACTCGGAGCATACCCAGGCATACTTTGTCCTCATCTTCGGCAGCCAGCGCAGAGTTCCAATACTGATACCCTTTCTCTTCTATGCTGCAGTGTAGAAATAATTAACAGTTTGGTAAATGAATTCCAGCACAACACATCCATGCTGCGTGTTACTTGGACACACAGGGAATGTAAAGCAAGTAACATTTATGTGCATTATCTAGATAAGTGTGATGGCTATACCAGGTTATTTTAGGCAGTCAGTGAAGGGTTCTGGAACCAGAAATCACCGGTCAACACAGGTTTGGACCAGCCCACGAACCACTAGATCAGTGGTGTCCAAACTTGTTCAGGTGGTGCTCCCCCAGACTATTTGGCAAGACTCCCCCACTCCCCTCAACCAATAAGAAAATGTGATTACAAAGAGGAACACAAAAAGAAAAATCTCAAGCACTGTTAACAAGAATGAGGAGAGAAACTTGAACATAAATCAGTGTCAAATAACAAAAGTAACATTCACCAACAATTGGCAATTCAGTGTCAAATAACAAAAGTAACATTCACCAACAATTGGCAATTCAGTGTCAAATAACAAAAATAACATTCACCAACAATTGGCAATTCAGTGTCAAATAACAAAAGTAACATTCACCAACAATTGGCAATTCAGTGTCAAATAACAAAAGTAACATTCACCAACAATTGGCAATTCAGTGTCCAAATATCCATGTTATGGTAGACACTGTTTTGTTTACATGATACCTGCTTTGGGGGGGGGGGGGGGGGGGGGGGGGGGGGTTCTGGTGCTGGACAAGGCACAACAGAAATCACTCTCCACATTAAGCTGTTAACAGTTTTGTTTTCTAGACTGCTAAGCTGGATATACAGACTATTATAACACTCCCCCCCCCTTTCCCCCAGGTAGCAGACCACTGCACTAGGGGTAACTATCCACTAGGGCTTGCAGAAAGCTTGCAGTGCGGATTATCAAACCCTACCTGTGTTTGTGTGAGGAATATCTTGTGGAGACCAAACTGTAGGTGACAATCCTGAAGCTGCTTGAGGCCGAATGCAACCATCAAGGTCCGGGCACATACCTTGAGTTCTTGGTTAAATGTCCCTGTTTCAGGATAAGTCAATATTTATGTAATCTATATATACATAAATCAATGTTTGTGTGTTTGTTTATGACCTATAGACTCGGAAACTACTGAACAGATTTAGCTGAAATTTTCAGGATATGTTGGTTTTAATACCGGATGTTTACCCATTATGGTTTGAAATTCTACCTGTCATTGTTAGAGATAGTGTGCGACAATTGTTGGGAAAATCTCTAAAACTAATATTTCTATTTTTAGTGACATTTAATTATAGCCACGTTAGTAAATGCGCATGCCTGATCGACTTTCACCAAACATGCGCAGTAGTGGCGCTCCATCGTCAACATGCGCCCGCGACAAGGAAAACAATTGTCTGCGGAATCTAGAAATATCTCAAAAGGTAAGCGCATTTACTTTACTACCATTAGTCAGTATGTACATTCTTTTTGTCAACTTTAAACATGTGTGGACCACTCCTTAAATCACGCAATGATAAATGTATACACATTATCTGTTGGCTTTCTCATACTGTCTAGCGTACTATTATGATTGTTACATGTTTACATGTCTACACAATTTCGGTTGGCTTTCTTCTGTTATTCGAAAGAATTATATACATTTACATGAATTTCCGTTGCAGGTCAACTGCAGGTTGTCTGCAGAGTGTAGTTATGTTGATTATTTCAGTCGTAAGACTTATATACCCCAGAATCTTGCTGCTACACTGGACACCTATTCATGAGTTGAAATAGATTGTTATCTCATGCTCATATTTTCATTTATTTGAGCTAGGCACTGGACACCTACCTATTCATATCGTTTACCGGCTTTTCAGAATATTTGTTGCACAGTTTCTATGCATTTCCTCTTGAGTCGAAATAGAATGTTATCATATTTTCATTTTTTTGTTAGATACTTCAAGTTACATTTCATTCAGTGCGTGGGGATGAACAAGCTATTGACGATCAACGCTCTCTAAATTCCCACGCTGTTCACTATTTTGTCAAACATTTGCAGTTATACCTCCCAAACTACAAGGGATTGGCCCATCTACACCTAGAGCACGCAAGAGAAGGGGATTAATTGCTTTAGAAACAGATGAGCAACATGAGGTAAGACAGGAAACCATTCGAGTGCGCATTGCTGAAGCCTATTCGTCTTAATCAGACCAGCAACGGAGAGCAAGACTAGAGAACGTTCAAATGCACACTGCTGAAGCTAGATCGTTTCAGTCAGACGAGCAACGAGAAGCAAGACTTGAAACCAATAGAGTACGCACTGCTCAAGTCTGTATATCAGAAACAATCGAGCAATGGAAAGCAAGACTGTAAACCATTCGAATGCGCACTACTTTATCCAGGCGAACACCGCATGTTGATTTGAGCAAGATTTCTATTTTCTTTCTTTTCAATTTAGCCAAACTATGCCACAGCAACGCGTGGCCGGGTACAGCTAGTACACAATAAAACAGATGTGTTGGTTGGAGTCTGTCTGTGTTGGTTGGTGTCTATCTGTGTTGGTTGGTGTCTGTCTGTGTTGGTTGACATCTGTCTGTGTTGGTTGGTTGTCTCTCCAGACAACACTGTTTTACTGTGCTATAGTGAGGTATGAGAGTCACAGCCCGTGGTGATACAAGCATGTGCCAAGACCAGTCAAGACCTGGGATAAAGTTTCATCTCTCTCTCCACAACATCATCAGTTTTTTTGTAAATACTTTACGACAATCAATGTTTCCTATGTGCACGAGTTAGTCATCATTAGAGTAGGTCTCTTTGTGCAGACAAATTTCAATGTTTTGCATGACATCTGGAAGTCTTTTCCTTCAACGCCCCTTGCACCTCTCTGAGTGTCGAGGGAGAAAGAGGTTCTGTTTCTCACTCTTCTGGCCACCTTGACCATAGAGACACAATGTTGTTGTAGTCTCTCTGATGTAGTCATCCAGTGATCTAAACAACACACAAACTGTCACAGTATCACATTCAGCAGTACGCTGATAGCACACCCACTTTGTTAGCTCAGTAATTAAAACACTCCTAAATATTTACATAAAATGTTTCCTTACACATCTACTCGAGCAGTAACTATGTGACACACTTATTTCCCTCAAACTATTTACAGAAACTTTTCTCACATATATTTATCTACGAGGAACTTTTCTTGCGCATTTATTTAACTTTTCTCTCATACAGGAACTGATATTTTCCTCAAAATATGTATAGAAGCTTGCCTCACATATATTTATTTATCTACTAGGATCTTTTCTTTTGGAAACTGATATTTTCCTCAAAATATTTATAGAACCTTTCCTCACAAATATTTATCTACTAGGATCTTTTCTTTTGGAAACTGATATTTTCCTCAAAATATTTATAGAACCTTTCCTTACAAATATTTATAGAACCTTTCCTCACAAATATTTATAGAACCTTTCCTCACAAATATTTATCTACCAGGATCTTTTCTTGCACATTTATTGAATCTGTCTCTGATATAATACATAATACTTCTCAATTTACGCACCTGATCGTTTTCTCAGCCTCCTGTGTTCCTTGTGAAACTCGTGCCCATCATGATACGACAAATGGGACTGGATTCTTTGGTAGAATGTTTCCAGATTCTCCTTGACATCCTCTTCCGAACACTGCCCCTTCTCATGTCTGCAACAGGATGATGATGTGTCATGGGGACCCCGGCAAGAAAATAACCTTTGGAGCTTTGTAAACACTCCATATCGATGAATGAAATCCTGGTACACCATTCTGAAAATTAATATCAATGAATTGTTCATTTAGTCGTGTTTATCTGTGACCTGAATTGGTCTTGCAGCATACAAACTATAATCTTGCAGAAACCTGGTGTTCTCATGGAGGCCAGTCGAATATCTTCATGTACAAAAGCAACGTCTGGACAGTAGAGACACTCTAGCGTTTCAATGTGTGACTACAAACGAATTTGAGTTGTTATACATCATAGGGCTTGGAGTCAACTCAATAATTCACCCTGGTGTGCAGTTATATGTCATACAGGGCTTGGAGTCAACTCAATAATTCACCCTGGTGTGCAGTTATATGTCATACAGGGCTTGGAGTCAACTCAATAATTCACCCTGGTGTGCAGTTATATGTCATACAGGGTTTGGACTCAACTCAATAATTCACCCTGGTGTGCAGTTATATGTCATACAGGGCTTGGAGTCAACTCAATAATTCACCCTGGTGTGCAGTTATATGTCATACAGGGCTTGGAGTCAACTCACTAATTCACCCTGGTGTGCAGTTATATGTCATACAGGGCTTGGAGTTAACTCAATAATTCACCCTGGTGTGCAGTTATATGTCATACAGGGCTTGAAGTCAACTCAATAATTCACCCTGGTGTGCAGTTATATGTCATACAGGTCTTGCAGTCAACTCAATAATTCACCCTGGTGTGCAGTTATATATGTCATACAGGGTTTGCAGTCACACAAATGTCAGTAATGTTGAGCATTACAGTGGATAGGAAAGAATAGTAATAGAAGACATGGTTCCTGGGGGTTGAGGCAGGGGTCAACTAACAGGAAGCTGGTCACAGGCCACTGAAGATACTTTAAACATGAAGGAATATGGGGCAGTAGTTAACCAGCAAGAAGATGGTCACAGGCCACTGAAGATACTTTAAACATGAAGGGATATGGGGCAGGAGTTAACCAGCAAGAAGATGATCACAGGACACTGAAGATACCTTTAAACATGAAGGGATATGGGGCAGGAGTTAACCAGCAAGAAGATGGTCACAGGACACTGAAGATTCCTTCAACATGAAGGGATATGTGGCAGGAGTTAACCAGCAAGAAGATGGTCACAGGACACTGAAGATACCTTTAACATGAAGGGATATGGGGCAGGAGTTAACCAGCAAGAAGATGGTCACAGGACACTGAAGATACCTTCAACATGAAGGGATATGTGGCAGGAGTTAACCAGCAAGAAGATGGTCACAGGACACTGAAGATACCTTCAACATGAAGGGATATGTGGCAGGAGTTAACCAGCAAGAAGATGGTCACAGGACACTGAAGATACCTTTAACATGAAGGGCTATGAAGGTAGGGAATAGGCAAGTCATGGAAAGGCTTTGATGGGAGCACACTGTACCAAGGGCCTGCTATACACTGATGATGATGAATGCTGGTATAACAAGTGTCAGAAAGTCAAGCAGACACTCACCGAGCAGGATAGCCCATGCGGCAGATTTCCACTGTCTCCAGAACTCCACAAGCCTGAAGCTGTTGCAGCACATAAGGCCTGTCAAAGTGGTCAGCCTGGTTACCTGAGTTGGGTTTGATACATCGGATGTAGTGGGTGTCGGACCGCTGCAGGCTGGAGATGAGGCCGTCCAGGGAGCTCTGCACACAGATATTGCCTTAATTATGTGACAATAAATTATTAGAGGTGATAACATATGTATTACAAATACGATTGTAGTGATCCCTCTAAGCCATATTGGGTGTCACAGTATTGTATGGCTATGGGAGGATGTGAGGGTAGTGATGTGATATCATAGCACTGAGGACAAGCCCACTTTAGCTCCGTTGTCTCCTCAACAGCCAGCACATCAAAGTGCTGTGATACTGATAGTACCTGTTGTCACCGGGTTAACTACTTGTGTTGTCTTCATCCTGAGTCCCTAGTGGTGCCCGGAGCCCGCTGCAACTTCCTCTCTAGCTACAGGTTCTCAGTACCTCACATTTTACTTGTTACCTTGTCTCACAGGTGAGAGATCACCTCTGCCTTAAGCAGTTGTAGTTAACAGATATCGTTAACGCTGTACGTACTGGGCTAGTGGATAATATCGAATCCCTGACACTAACACGATTGCGTGACATGGGAGTTAAGCATGGTGAAGCACGTCTTTGCCGTCTGCGAGGCCGAGAAAGGAGACAATATAACCAGCTTCTCATGGGGACAATTAGTAGAAGTACTTTGGAGTGGCTGCTGCTTCGGAGGACTGCGCACGCATGGGTATGCCCAATGTGCAGTGACGTCGATTGTGATAACAAAACACAAAATAACATTTTATAGGAAGTCGGCATTCTGAAACCCAAGTTCAAGGTGTCTCCTTCGTGCCAAAGAACTGCATGGCTGTTGGGTGAACAGTCGTTAACGAAGGCAGTCAGGTCGTTGTAGGGGCGACGCCTGCTGGTGGATGTAATGTCCCAAGTCCCTTTCCCAGCTAATAGTGAGGGTACTGCTGGGGTGACCATTTGTTAACCCCTCACATAATGCTTCAAGTCACAGTGGACACTAGGCACGACCACATTTTTTTTTTTTTTTTTTTTTTTTAAAGCCGTGGCAGTTCTGCCAGGCGGTGGCCGTTGCATTTTTGCTCCATTTGTAGACTGGAAGGATATAGTTTCGTCACCCAGCTTCTGAGTTGAGTGCATGGTGTGACACTGTGAGCTACGAGTGTTTTTCGTTGGCACAGGAGCGGAGCAACAATGGGGTGACCCGTTTGCTATGATGCTGAAACTAGGATTACCAGATTACCAGATTACCAGTTGTAGTTAACTCCTAAATGTGGCCAGTGCAGTCAATCTATCATATCTGCCTGCTCACGACTGGGACTACAGGTTCGGGCTGGAGTCAACAGTGACTGAATTCATTCACAGCAATGTTTCTAGTCCTACAATGTCTGGTCACCAAACTCCAGACTCTCCTTCTCCTTTGTCTGAGCTGGTCTTGTATTTTGTCTCCTGCATAGTAAAAATATCTGTCACAGTGCTGTTGTAATCTCTGATTTACTGGCAAGGCTAACCCAGTCAACAAATGCCTGCACAAGTCAGATGTGTCGGCCGAAAGGTGCAAATATCGCATCCATGCTGTAAACAGGTACAAATTATATCTTTAGATAAACACAGAAAAAGAAGAATTTATGAATTCATTCATGTTCCAGGATTGGAATGGTGAATAACGCAAAGTAAGAATGATGTCAACACCAAGAACTGAAAATAAACATGAGGTGGGGTCGCTTCATGGAAACGCTCAGAAGGCCACAGACACATAAGTAACATCCCTAGTAGAATCACTATATTGTAGCAGATCTTTTGTAGAAGGTTGCCTTCACCGGTCCACTGTACAGACATGTTTCATCTTTCATCTGGCAGAATGACATGTAAGATGATCAGCAAGTGAACCAATCAGAAACAGAGACAAAGGGTGAAAGTTCAGCCTGCCTTGAACAGAACTGCAAAGAAACTGGTTAGAACTCACAAGAAAATCAAATCTAATGGAATTTACTTTATGAACAAAACTGAACTGTGTATACTGTTTGTGACACACAACTAACCTTGAACTTGGTCAGCACAGTTTTCTTCTTTTTAACCTTAGCCAGTGTCAAGGACTGCTCAGTTTGTGAAAATTCTTCATCGGAGAAAAGATTGAGGACAAAACTGTTCTCACTAGTACCCAGAAGTGAAAACAGTTCAGCTGGAATGTTATCCTAAGATGAAACATAAGTACCAACGTTAAAAAAAAAAAAAAAAAGTTGATTCAAAGCAAGGGGGTTGAGGTCACTGAACTGGGTCCTTTCTCATCCATGCTGTGTGCTAAAGTGGGAAGACAGCACACGACCAGGTATCCTGGATATGATTCACACTCCAAACTGTTGAACCCAACTTATGCATAAAATGTCAGAAAAACTCAATGACGTGTTGCCACCATATATGCACATTTTACTTCACAACGACGATCGGGTACACACAAACCCACACATAGAATAATGCGAGCGAAGCAATCATACACACAATGAATGTCCCACGCTTCGCTCGCTCAAACTGGTTAAGTGTGGCTCTCCCGGAGGCCTACACTAGCTGCCACTAAACGCTGAAAATATGGGGGTGACTGCAATCAAGCTATACATGCATGGTCACCCAAGACAGTTTCTTCTTGGAGTAGTCCAGTTCTCTTGGCCCAAATCAACCAACTAGATTTCCTTTCCTTCAATTGCACTCTCGCAAGTGCTTTCATCTCAAACGCTCCCAACTCAACTGGTCGGAGTTCTTTCTCTCAACTGAACTCAGCCCCCAGTATAAACACATGCCTGCCCCTGCAAGCTCTTCCTTGTAACACAAGACGCTCTTCATATGGGTGATTCCCCTTTCATTGAGAAACCCATATTTTTTGTGCGACTGCTGCTATCCAAGCACTGATAATTCACCCTGCAATAGGCTGACACTTCATGAACCAACTGGTCCCTCTGGCCCTAAGTCAACAGCAACTTATAATTTTGACTCAAGCCGAACTGACATCTCCTGGCTTAAGGCAACACAGCCCCAAATATTGACTCAGGTGTGCGCACACAGGCAGGCAGGCAGGCTCTCTCTCTACTTGAGCCAAAACTGTTGAATGATGCCACAGTCTGAAATAGTAAACTTTAGATAGGCAATCTCAAGACATGTTATCACAATCAACATTTGTTGCACACTGGGCATCCCAGTCCTCAAATGTAGCAGCCACTCCAAGGAACCTCTACTGTGATGGGGGATATTTTCACCCTGATTAGGAAGGTTGGGGGGAAAGCCCAAGGATAACAAGGATACCGAGAGAAGCCAGATACTCGGATTAACCAAGGTTTTCAAGATAGGGGATGATCACGAGCTATCACGTGGAACCCCATGAGAACGGCCACAGGGCGCCACATGGAACCCAAGAACAACCACATGTTGCCACGTGGAACAAACAAACACTGGGTATAAGTTCAGACCCCAGTCTAGTCAAGTTAGTATGTGTTGACCATCAGAACGAGAGGACGTGAGAGTGTTTGTAAGAATGACAACAAGAGACTGACTGTTGTGAGAGGAAGACCAGACGACAACATCCATCGAAGCCAAGTCCAGCCAGGCCAGTCTGTGTGAAGTCTGTGTTAACAACCAGATCCATCTATATGGCGATGTGGAAGTGAAGGCGCCGAACTCTGGTCCATGAATGTTTGAGAAGTCAGTATGTTGGAGTCTGAACAGTGTGGTGCGTGTAAGCTGTGAATTAGGACACGGGCAGGACTTTCTATGTAAGTGATAAGATGTCAATAAACTGTATGGTATTTTGAAGTCGGTGTCGGCTTGTCCCAGTTATGTCATCTTAAGAATGTGTGCAAAGATCATTCACTAGACACATCATCCCCTAGACGACAACTTACTGCAGACTTATTGCAAGTGGAGCTCGGATGGGAGCCCACTTGCAATAAATCTGTTTGCAATAAGTCTGTTGACCTGACAAACATGTTACATGAAGCATGGCCTTCTGTAGCTCCAGCCACAACCCCCCAAGGATATCAGAAACACCTGCACTTGCACACTGTAGCAAGGAGTTTAGAACTGAACCCATAACTTTCACTGAGAGATAGAAGCAGGAAGTACCATGCCGGCTGAAAGATAGAACATAAATAACGGGAGTACCAACTGTAAACAGTCATTCAAGTGGAGAAGAGAAGTAGCATGCCGGCTGAAAGATAGAACATAAATAACGGGAGTACCAACTGTAAACAGTCATTCAAGTGGAAAAGAGAAGTAGCATGCCGGCTGAAAGATAGAACATAAATAACAGAGTACCAACTGTAAACAGTCATTCAAGTGGAGAAGAGAAGTAGCATGTCAGCTGAAAGATAGAACATAAATAACGGGAGTACCAACTGTAAACAGCCATTCAAGTGGAGAAGAGAAGTAGCATGTCGGCTGAAAGATAGAACATAAATAACAGAGTACCAACTGTAAACAGTCATTCAAGTGGAGAAGAGAAGTAGCATGTCGGCTGAAAGATAGAACATAAATAACAGAGTACCAACTGTAAACAGTCATTCAAGTGGAGAAGAGAAGTAGCATGCCGGCTGAAAGATAGAACATAAATAACAGAGTACCAACTGTAAACAGTCATTCAAGTGGAGAAGAGAAGTAGCATGTCAGCTGAAAGATAGAACATAAATAACAGAGTACCAACTGTAAACAGTCATTCAAGTGGAGAAGAGAAGTAGCATGCCGGCTGAAAGATAGAACATAAATAACAGAGTACCAACTGTAAACAGTCATTAAAGTGGAGAAGAGAAGTAGCATGTCGGCTGAAAGATAGAACATAAATAACAGAGTACCAACTGTAAACAGTCATTCAAGTGGAGAAGAGAAGTAGCATGCCGGCTGAAAGATAGAACATAAATAACAGAGTACCAACTGTAAACAGTCATTCAAGTGGAGAAGAGAAGTAGCATGTCGGCTGAAAGATAGAACATAAATAACAGAGTACCAACTGTAAACAGTCATTAAAGTGGAGAAGAGAAGTAGCATGTCGGCTGAAAGATAGAACATAAATAACAGAGTACCAACTGTAAACAGTCATTCAAGTGGAGAAGAGAAGTAGCATGTCGGCTGAAAGATAGAACATAAATAACGGGAGTACCAACTGTAAACAGTCATTCAAGTAGAGAAGAGAAGTAGCATGCCGGCTGAAAGATAGAACATAAATAACGGGAGTACCAACTTTTTGTCACAACGCCCACTCCCTTTTCCTCAGCAACTGTCACAATGAATACCTTGTTTTTTGTGACAGCTCCAGCCACAGTATAGAGCACTTCCCCAGCGTAGTGACGGACATAGAATCCAGTGTTGTGGGTACCTGCCAAAGACTTGCGCACCACACCATGCGTAGCACAAGCCGCAACAATTCTCCCACAGATGCCAGTATCCACAGATTTTCGACTCAGGTGCACTTCCTGTTCACAACAAGAATCAAGGCATGAAATTATTGAGGACAACAAATTTTACTACAGACTAAACAATGTAACTGATATAACAGTGGCACTTGGAAACCTGAGCTGTCAATCCATCAAGATAGCTCTCTCTCTCTCTCTTGTATCTATGTATGTATGTTTGTGTGTACGTATGCCTGTGTGTATGTGTGTATGCATGTTCGTTTGTATGTATCTGTGTATGTATGTATGTAATGTATGCATGCATGTTTGTGTGTGTAAGTGAGTGGGTGAGCGCGTGTATGTGGGTGTATGTATGCACGCGCGGGTTTTTGCATGCCCTTTACAACTCATGCTTTTGTGTTCTTTTATAATATTCATAATATGCATAACATCATATGATCATAACATGCTTTATTAGTAAAACACAACTGCTGTGCGAAAGATGGTTGACTGGAAGGGCCGAATGTAAGACGGGCCTGCGTGCCCAATTTGTGACCCTTTGAAAATAAAGTTCGTTCGTTCGTTCGTTCCCTTTTCTCTCAATCGTTCGTTCTAACATTAATATTACTCAATTCTTGTGTTCTTTGACCTGACCTTTTCCCACTACCAAAGTTCTGACCAGTAAGGATTCTCCATGGACTTTTATGTCATTTCTTATGATAAAAATATGACATCATCATCACGTGACATGCCACAAAGTGCAGGTGGTCATGCTTCTTCCTCTCATTTCTACACAGAAAACGTCTAAAATATTTAAACTATCTACATGAAATTGTGTGGCTGAGGCGTTGCAAACGTATCGGGTTTTGATCACACCTGCAGACAATCTCTCTTGCATTGGTTGTGACAGTGGTACTAAGAGAGCTGACCATTCAGTAAGCAATGGCAAACTACTGAGCTTAAAATTGCTCTTTAAAGAACCCACAATTTCCCCACAAAACTGCTGGTTCTGCAATGTCATGTAAATGATACACAACTAACTTTCCTTCCAACAATCAATGTCCTGTAAATGATACACAACCAACTTTCCTTCCAACATCCAATGTCCCGTAAATGATACACAACTAACTTTCCTTTCAACAATCAATGTCCTGTAAATGATACACAACCAACTTTCCTTTCAACAATCAATGTCCCGTAAATGATACACAACCAACTTTCCTTCCAACATCCAATGTCCCGTAAATGATACACAACCAACTTTCCTTCCAACATCCAATGTCCCGTAAATGATACACAACTAACTTTCCTTCCAACATCCAATGTCATGTAAATGATACACAACCAACTTTCCTTCCAACATCCAATGTCCTGTAAATGATACACAACCAACTTTCCTTCCAACATCCAATGTCCCGTAAATGATACACAACCAACTTTCCTTCCAACATCCAATGTCCTGTAAATGATACACAACCAACTTTCCTTCCAACATCCAATGTCCTGTAAATGATACACAACCAACTTTCCTTCCAACATCCAATGTCCTGTAAATGATACACAACCAACTTTCCTTCCAACATCCAATGTCCTGTAAATGATACACAACCAACTTTCCTTCCAACATCCAATGTCATGTAAATGATACACAACCAACTTTCCTTCCAACATCCAATGTCCTGTAAATGATACACAACCAACTTTCCTTCCAACATCCAATGTCATGTAAATGATACACAACCAACTTTCCTTCCAACATCCAATGTCCCGTAAATGATACACAACCAACTTTCCTTCCAACATCCAATGTCCTGTAAATGATACACAACCAACTTTCCTTCCAACATCTAATGTCCCGTAAATGATACACAACCAACTTTCCTTCCAACATCCAATGTCCTGTAAATGATACACAACCAACTTTCCTTCCAACATCCAATGTCCTGTAAATGATACACAACCAACTTTCCTTCCAACATCCAATGTCATGTAAATGATACACAACCAACTTTCCTTCCAACATCCAATGTCCTGTAAATGATACACAACCAACTTTCCTTCCAACATCCAATGTCCCGTAAATGATACACAACCAACTTTCCTTCCAACATCCAATGTCCTGTAAATGATACACAACCAACTTTCCTTCCAACATCCAATGTCCTGTAAATGATACACAACTAACTTTCCTTCCAACATCCAATGTCCTGTAAATGATACACAACCAACTTTCCTTCCAACATCCAATGTCATGTAAATGATACACAACCAACTTTCCTTCCAACATCCCATGTCCTGTAAATGATACACAACCAACTTTCCTTCCAACATCCAATGTCATGTAAATGATACACAACCAACTTTCCTTCCAACATCCAATGTCCTGTAAATGATACACAACCAACTTTCCTTCCAACATCCAATGTCCCGTAAATGATACACAACCAACTTTCCTTCCAACATCCAATGTCCTGTAAATGATACACAACCAACTTTCCTTCCAACATCCAATGTCCTGTAAATGATACACAACTAACTTTCCTTCCAACATCCAATGTCCTGTAAATGATACACAACCAACTTTCCTTCCAACATCCAATGTCATGTAAATGATACACAACCAACTTTCCTTCCAACATCCCATGTCCTGTAAATGATACACAACCAACTTTCCTTCCAACATCCAATGTCCCGTAAATGATACACAACCAACTTTCCTTCCAACATCCAATGTCCTGTAAATGATACACAACCAACTTTCCTTCCAACATTCAATTCCTTCATTACTGCACGGTTTCCAGCTTGAAGACCATCTGATTCATTGTCCATAAACCCAAAGTATTCCTTGCATGTTGGTAGGAAACGATATGACCCCATGCTGCATCAAAATATCTCCATGCTTCACTTGTTCTCTAAAACAGTGTTTTCAAACCCATAATCATGTGACGAGGTAGTTTTTCTTGTCCAGAATTGCAGTCTTTAGGATGAACAGCTCAAGGATGAGAATCAAACAGGTACAAATCCTAGCAGCAGATGTCACATTAGCTGAGCATTGTCATTATTTTACATCGGATTTAACAAATAAACTGCTATCTATACTTGTTATTTGATTTTGCATTTGGTTGGCTGTCAGGTAGGTCATGAAACAATTTCTCCCATTTTGGTGGGCCGCAGCTGTAAAAAGGTTGAAAAACACTGCTATAAAATATGACACAGATTTATATTTTAACTGGAGCAATTTTCTGCATTCTTTATCTGCCAAGATCTCAGTATTACTCTAGGATAGTATCATCAATCTAACCAGTGATAGGATCACAAAGAATATCAGAGAAGAATATGATGAGTGAGTACCTCATTGAGAACACCAAAGACACCAGCTGGTCCATCCAGTGATTCAACACAAGCTTTATTATCTCTGTACGTGACACAGCTCCAAGGAATACGTTCTATCTCATATTCTGTCTGCAAATATATCAAGTTACCTGATTAGGAACATATTTTCTCATGCATTTTTTACAACCAAAAAACACCTAGAGCAGTTTCTGATTATATGTTGAGCCAACAGACTTCTCTCACAATTTTATTTTGTTAAACCTTGAGGAAGACCAAGAAGAAGGTGAAGAGATATACAGGCAGACCTACAAACACACGGGGTCTTCAACTAGAAAGAGAAGAATAATTACAGAGATAAGCGTTGCTGGGTGATATCTGCAGCAATGAACATCAAGGGTTTGGAATGCCGAAGGAAAAGAAGAAGAAATATTGTAATAATCAGTCAAGAAAACAGTCTTTTATCAATAAGTTATAATACACATAACAGAAACAAAGAACAGGTGACAATGTCATCTATTGTGTATGCTTGTGTAAGATGGCTACCACAGAGGGACTGTGAGAATGACTACCTGACACTGTATAAGATGGCTACCACAGAGGGACTGTGGGAATGACTACCTAACACTGTGTGAGATGGCTACCACAGAGGGACTGTGAGAATGACTACCTGACACTGTATAAGATGGCTACCACAGAGGGACTGTGAGAATGACTACCTGACACTGTGTGAGATGGGTACCACAGAGGGACTGTGGGAATGACTACCTGGCACTGTGTAAGATGGCTACCACAGAGGGACTGTGAGAATGACTACCTGACACTGTGTAAGATGGCTACCACAGAGGGACTGTGAGAATGACTACCTGACACTGTATAAGATGGCTACCACAGAGGGACTGTGAAAATGACTACCTGACACTGTATAAGATGGCTACCACAGAGGGACTGTGAGAATGACTACCTGACACTGTGTGAGATGGGTACCACAGAGGGACTGTGGGAATGACTACCTGGCACTGTGTAAGATGGCTACCACAGAGGGACTGTGAGAATGACTACCTGACACTGTATAAGATGGCTACCACAGAGGGACTGTGAAAATGACTACCTGACACTGTGTGAGATAGCTACCACAGAGGGACTGTGGGAATGACTACCTGACACTGTGTAAGATGGCTACCACAGAGGGACTGTGGGAATGACTACCTGACACTTGTAAGATGGCTACCAGAGAGGGACTGTGGGAATGACTACCTGACACTGTGTAAGATGGCTACCACAAAGGGACTGTGAGAATGACTACCTGACACTGTGTGAGATGGGTACCACAGAGGGACTGTGAGAATGACTACCTGACACTGTATAAGATGGCTACCACAGAGGGACTGTGGGAATGACTACCTGACACTGTGTGAGATGGCTACCACAAAGGGACTGTGAGAATGACTACCTGACACTGTGTGAGATGGGTACCACAGAGGGACTGTGAGAATGACTACCTGACACTGTATAAGATGGCTACCACAGATGGACTGTGGGAATGACTACCTGACACTGTGTGAGATGGCTACCACAGAGGGACTGTGAGAATGACTACCTGACACTGTGTAAGATGGGTACCACAGAGGGACTGTGGGAATGACTACCTGGCACTGTGTAAGATGGCTACCACAGAGGGACTGTGAGAATGACTACCTGACACTGTGTAAGATGGCTACCACAGAGGGACTGTGGGAATGACTACCTGACACTGTGTAAGATGGCTACCACAGAGGGACTGTGGGAATGACTACCTGACACTGTGTAAGATGGCTACCACAGAGGGACTGTGGGAATGACTACCTGACACTGTGTAAGATGGCTACCACAGAGGGACTGTGAGAATGACTACCTGACACTGTGTAAGATGGCTACCACAGAGGGACTGTGGGAATGACTACCTGACACTGTGTAAGATGGCTACCACAGAGGGACTGTGGGAATGACTACCTGACACTGTGTGAGATGGCTACCACAGAGGGACTGTGGGAATGACTACCTGACACTGTATAAGATGGCTACCACAGAGGGACTGTGAGAATGACTACCTGACACTGTGTGAGATGGCTACCACAGAGGGACTGTGAGAATGACTACCTGACACTGTATAAGATGGCTACCACAGAGGGACTGTGAGAATGACTACCTGACACTGTATAAGATGGCTACCACAGAGGGACTGTGAGAATGACTACCTGACACTGTATAAGATGGCTACCACAGAGGGACTGTGAGAATGACTACCTGACACTGTATAAGATAGCTACTACAGAGGGACTGTGGGAATGACTACCTGACACTGTGTGAGATAGCTACCACAGAGGGACTGTGGGAATGACTACCTGACACTGTGTAAGATGGCTACCACAGAGGGACTGTGGGAATGACTACCTGACACTTGTGAGATGGCTACCACAGAGGGACTGTGGGAATGACTACCTGACACTGTATAAGATGGCTACCACACAGGGACTGTGGGAATGACTACCTGACACTGTGTGAGATGGCTACCACACAGGGACTGTGGGAATGACTACCTGACACTGTATAAGATGGCTACTACAGAGGGACTGTGGGAATGACTACCTGACACTGTATAAGATGGCTACTACAGAGGGACTGTGGGAATGACTACCTGACACTGTATAAGATGGCTACTACAGAGGGACTGTGGGAATGACTACCTGACACTGTATAAGATGGCTACCACACAGGGACTGTGGGAATGACTACCTGACACTGTGTGAGATGGCTACCACAAAGGGACTGTGAGAATGACTACCTGACACTGTGTGAGATGGGTACCACAGAGGGACTGTGAGAATGACTACCTGACACTGTATAAGATGGGTACCACAGAGGGACTGTGGGAATGACTACCTGACACTGTGTGAGATGGGTACCACAGAGGGACTGTGGGAATGACTACCTGACACTGTGTGAGATGGCTACCACAGAGGGACTGTGAGAATGACTACCTGACACTGTATAAGATGGCTACTACAGAGGGACTGTGGGAATGACTACCTGACACTGTATAAGATGGCTACTACAGAGGGACTGTGGGAATGACTACCTGACACTGTATAAGATGGCTACCACAGAGGGACTGTGGGAATGACTACCTGACACTGTGTGAGATGGCTACCACAAAGGGACTGTGAGAATGACTACCTGACACTGTGTGAGATGGGTACCACAGAGGGACTGTGAGAATGACTACCTGACACTGTATAAGATGGGTACCACAGAGGGACTGTGGGAATGACTACCTGACACTGTGTGAGATGGGTACCACAGAGGGACTGTGGGAATGACTACCTGACACTGTGTGAGATGGCTACCACAGAGGGACTGTGAGAATGACTACCTGACACTGTTATAAGATGGCTACCAAAGAGGGACTGTGGGAATGACTACCTGACACTGTTATAAGATGGCTACCACAGAGGGACTGTGGGAATGACTACCTGACACTGTTATAAGATGGCTACCACAGAGGGACTGTGGGAATGACTACCTGACACTGTATAAGATGGCTACCACAGAGGGACTGTGGGAATGACTACCTGACACTGTGTAAGATGGCTACCACAGAGGGTCTGTGAGAATGACTACCTGACACTGTGTAAGATGGCTACTACAGAGGGACTGTGGGAATGACTACCTGACACTGTATAAGATGGCTACCACAGAGGGACTGTGGGAATGACTACCTGACACTGTATAAGATGGCTACCACAGAGGGTCTGTGAGAATGACTACCTGACACTGTGTAAGATGGCTACCACAGAGGGACTGTGGGAATGACTACCTGACACTGTATAAGATGGCTACCACACAGGGACTGTGGGAATGACTACCTGACACTGTATAAGATGGCTACCACACAGGGACTGTGGGAATGACTACCTGACACTGTATAAGATGGCTACCACAGAGAGACTGTGGGAATGACTACCTGACACTGTGTGAGATGGCTACCACACAGGGACTGTGGGAATGACTACCTGACACTGTATAAGATGGCTACCACACAGGGACTGTGGGAATGACTACCTGACACTGTATAAGATGGCTACCACACAGGGACTGTGGGAATGACTACCTGACACTGTATAAGATGGCTACCACAGAGAGACTGTGGGAATGACTACCTGACACTGTGTGAGATGGCTACCACAGAGGGACTGTGGGAATGACTACCTGACACTGTATAAGATGGCTACCACAGAGAGACTGTGGGAATGACTACCTGACACTGTATAAGATGGCTACCACACAGGGACTGTGGGAATGACTACCTGACACTGTATAAGATGGCTACCACAGAGGGTCTGTGAGAATGACTACCTGACACTGTGTAAGATGGCTACCACAGAGGGACTGTGGGAATGACTACCTGACACTGTATAAGATGGCTACCACACAGGGACTGTGGGAATGACTACCTGACACTGTATAAGATGGCTACCACACAGGGACTGTGGGAATGACTACCTGACACTGTATAAGATGGTTACCACAGAGAGACTGTGGGAATGACTACCTGACACTGTGTAAGATGGCTACCACAGAGGGACTGTGGGAATGACTACCTGACACTGTGTAAGATGGCTACCACAGAGGGACTGTGGGAATGACTACCTGACACTGTATAAGATGGCTACCACACAGGGACTGTGGGAATGACTACCTGACACTGTATAAGATGGCTACCACACAGGGACTGTGGGAATGACTACCTGACACTGTATAAGATGGCTACCACACAGGGACTGTGGGAATGACTACCTGACACTGTATAAGATGGCTACCACAGAGGGACTGTGGGAATGACTACCTGACACTGTATAAGATGGCTACCACAGAGGGACTGTGGGAATGACTACCTGACACTGTATAAGATGGCTACCACAGAGGGACTGTGGGAATGACTACCTGACACTGTATAAGATGGCTACCACAGAGGGACTGTGGGAATGACTACCTGACACTGTATAAGATGGCTACCACAGAGGGACTGTGGGAATGACTACCTGACACTGTATAAGATGGCTACCACAGAGGGACTGTGGGAATGACTACCTGACACTGTATAAGATGGCTACCACAGAGGGACTGTGGGAATGACTACCTGACACTGTATAAGATGGCTACCACAGAGGGACTGTGGGAATGACTACCTGACACTGTATAAGATGGCTACCACAGAGGGACTGTGGGAATGACTACCTGACACTGTATAAGATGGCTACCACAGAGGGACTGTGGGAATGACTACCTGACACTGTATAAGATGGCTACCACAGAGGGACTGTGGGAATGACTACCTGACACTGTATAAGATGGCTACCACAGAGGGACTGTGGGAATGACTACCTGACACTGTATAAGATGGCTACCACAGAGGGACTGTGGGAATGACTACCTGACACTGTATAAGATGGCTACCACAGAGGGACTGTGGGAATGACTACCTGACACTGTATAAGATGGCTACCACAGAGGGACTGTGGGAATGACTACCTGACACTGTATAAGATGGCTACCACAGAGGGACTGTGGGAATGACTACCTGACACTGTATAAGATGGCTACCACAGAGGGACTGTGGGAATGACTACCTGACACTGTATAAGATGGCTACCACAGAGGGACTGTGGGAATGACTACCTGACACTGTGTAAGATGGCTACCACAGAGGGACTGTGGGAATGACTACCTGACACTGTATAAGATGGCTACCACAGAGGGACTGTGGGAATGACTACCTGACACTGTATAAGATGGCTACCACAGAGGGACTGTGGGAATGACTACCTGACACTGTATAAGATGGCTACCACAGAGGGACTGTGGGAATGACTACCTGACACTGTGTGAGAAAACACAGCAACATAGATGTTAATGTAATCCAATTATATTGTGAAATAAACTTCACATCAGAAAGACTTTTACCTACAGAAAGGCAATGACAGTTTGTGTGTTGTCCATCCAGATGATGATGATGACCACTTTCTTGTCATCAAGTATGAGTAGGAAGATGACTGATGAGGGCCCGAAAAGTTCTTGGACAGTGAGGACAGGGAATGAGCGTTGTGCCAGGGAGGGGATCTCCTGCAGTCGCCTTTCTGTCCATCCCTTTCAAAGGCAATGACAGTATATGCTGATATTAACAAAGTTTGTTTGTAACTGAAGTTTATGTTTACAGACTTTTCTCCCCATTGTGGGTTCCAGCTCCCCATTGTGGGTACTGGCTCCCCATTGTGGGTTCTGGCTCCCCATTGTGGGTTCTGGCTCCCCATTGTGGGTTCTGGCTCCCCATTGTGGGTTCTGGCTCCCCATTGTGGGTTCTGGCTCCCCATTGTGGGTTCTGGCTCCCCACTGTGGGTTCCAATTTCCCATTGTGGGTTCCAGCTCCCCATTGTGGGGCGGGGGGGGGGGGGGGGGTGGGGGTGTGGGGGGAGAGCTAAGAACAGACCAACTGACTCCTGAAATGCATGCTGTAAAAGTCTACACATCAGGGCTGTTTCCTTCAAAGAGTCGACCTGTCTGAGAGATGAGGGACTGTCTGCATACAAATACGCCAATCTGTCAAATGGATGTGAAAGATAACACAAGTTTTCGACCAATACTTAAATCCAAAAGTGGATGAACAACCAGAACCTTCTGCAGAGTCAGATGGTGAATGACATGTGACTAAAACATGAGGGACTGTCTGCATACAAAATACGTGAGATTTGACGGTACAGGTGTTTCCTAAGAGTAACTGGCAGATTCAACAAAAGCTTACCTGTAAATCTCGTAGAAAATAGGTCACATAGTGTTGTTGCAATCTCTCATTTGCATAATTGATGCACAACTGCTCCAGGCCATTAATACTGAACACTTCAAAGCCGTAGATGTCTAGCAAACCTGCCAGAATGTACAGACAAGGGAGCACTACAATCTAAAACACCTGGCAAGGACATCAAACAATTGTGCAACCAAAGCGCTTTACACTGGCTCATCCCCTAGTGTATGTAGTTCACACTTTTCTACTTTTATTACTCCAGTTATCTTATCAAAACGTCGTTTGGGTGGGGGTGGGGGGTTGTGGATCTTCTGTGTGCTCTTTCTAATGCGCTGTACTAGCTGATCTTAATTTCTTTAAGGCTGTTCTTGATGCTCTCATTTCATCATGTGCATGGTATTCCCCTTGCCCTGTGGCAGCTGGTAACAGGGCATTCTCATCAGTTGGCCAAACCATCCCACCTGTGACTACTGCATGAACCTGTCCTTGTACAAGCTTAGCTTAGGGAGTCAATGTTGACCCAAGATTGCTCAAAACTTTTCTCGCAACGTCTCAGAGATGTAGTTCTACATAATAATGTTGGAAAATCTTCGGCCAGTGAAAACACAGCTAGCAATTATGGAAAAGGCTAAAATACCACACTAACTCCTCACAAACTTTACACCGAGGCAGCTGTCATTTTTTGGCCACTGGAAAAGAAGAATAAGTGACAAGTGGAAAGAGTTATGGAAAGAGATAGAAGAAAAGTCTTGTCAGCCTGCTGTTTTGCTGAAGAGCATGGAAAAAACACTGTTAGCCTGCTGTTTTGCTGAATGGCATGGAATACTGTCAGCACACATATTTAAACATGCAGTTAAAAGTCGTCAAATCTGGAGAAGTATGGCTGCCCATGCCAGCTGTCAAAAATACCTGATGATGAGGAAAGATGATGAGGAAAGATGATGTCAAATCATGGTATATTTTTTTGCTGTAATTCTTACTTGTCAAACTACCATATTTTAAGTGTTTATACTTACTAATGCAACTGTCAGTGTGCACAATATTTGATGATGTAACACTTACTAATGCTTCTGTCAAACTGTGTGGCTTTGATTTGATGGTTGATGAAATTTACAAGCCATTCAAACAACCTGTGAAAACACAAGACATGAACACTGTTTCAATAAACATATCTGTTACCTCAAACATACCAAATCAGCACAATGCTGAAGGTGACAATACCTGTGACAATGAGTACCTACAAAAGTAAAAAAAAAGTAAAGTAAAGATCCCTTTACACGCCTTTAGGCGCATCGGGCATATGGGAAGAGCACCCATATTTTTACAGACCAATCGGCACTCGGTGGGTATTGTGGTCAGCATTACGCCGGCCGTCTTTACTTTCCCAGGACAGCCCATCCTGGTACCCATTTGAGGCTGGGTCGACCTGCGACGTCCCATACCACAATAAAAATCCACACAGAAGTACCTACAATAGAACATATTTATAACAGGGTGAAGTTACCGTTCACCTGTCTCAGGGCTACATTTTCAAGTTGAGGTCTCAAAAGAATAGAGTCATGTCATGAACAGACCATACCACAGTAAACAAATGTCTCAATAGAACAGACCATACCACAGTAAACAAATATCTCAATAGAACAGACCATACCACAGTAAACAAATGTCTCAATAGAACAGACCATACCACAGTAAACAAATGTCTCAATAGAACAGACCATACCACAGTAAACAAATGTCTCAATAGAACAGACCATACCACAGTAAACAAATGTCTCAATAGAACAGACCATACCACAGTAAACAAATGTCTCAATAGAACAGACCATACCACAGTAAACAAATGTCTCAATAGAATAGATCCATGTCATGAACAGACCATACCACAGTAAACAAATGTCTCAATAGAGCAGATCCATGTCATGAATAGAGCTGTGAACCTACTTGTTGCCTGGGGAATCAGAAGAACATCTCTGACTCCAGTGCCCAAGAGTTAGCAAGCTACTCCTCCACTTCAGTACAGACCAGCAGACGCTCAAATATTGATGAAGTCAATATCCTTCTGGCCGCCTTGACTTTCCTGATAGCTATTTTAGGGTCAACCCAGGTCAATTTAAAGGTCCACTTCTAGGATTTGTATTTCTATGGGTGACTGTTACAAATGGGCAGGAAGGAGGAGGTGTACTTGTTTCAGAGTTAGCAAGCTACTCCTCCACTTCAGTACAGACCAGCAGACGCTCAAAATTGATGAAGTCAATATCCTTCTGGCCGCCTTGACTTTCCTGATAGCTATTTTGGGGTCAACCCAGGTCAATTTAAAGGTCCACTTCTAGGATTTGTATTTCTATGGGTGACTGTTACAAATGGGCAGGAAGGAGGAGGTGTACTTGTTTCAGACCAGCAGCCACAGGTTCTTATTCATATTGGGTATGCCATGTTGTTACTTGTGTTGCCACCCTAGCAAGAGATGCTTCAATTAAAGCCGGCCCAGTTGTACCTCAGTCTGGCCTATACTGCTTGAGATACTCACATTTCAGTGTTGGTCATTAACCCTTTAAGCACGGGAAGTTTTTCAGATGTCTAGCCAAAAACACGGAGCATTTTTTTCAGTAAATTTGGTTATTACTCTATTTTATTTTTTTGACACATTTCTATTATTCTGACCCCCAAGAAATAAAAAATTTATTTGAAGGATATAGATTGAAGTTCATGATTTTCACAATATCGGTAAAATAAATTGATGTATATGCAAATTATCTCATTTGCATATCTAAAAATAGCAAATTAGAATATGAATTTTAAATTTCAATGCATAAAACACATAACTAAAAACCAAAATATATTTTATTTGAAATCTTTTCATTGATCTTTGGCCTTTTACATTTCAAAACAATAGTGGTGAATACCTTTCCCACAGGAGGAATAGGGTATGTTTTCTGTTCAACCCATGTTCAAAATAATTGCAATAATTGCCTTTATTTCTGAGATCATCGTTGGCTTCCAGTACTGAACAATAGATCTATGCTTCAGGATATTTGCACTTTTTGCAATAAACTGAGCTGCATATCTGTTGGTTTCTGTTAAAAATGTTGTAAGTAATTCAAAAACAGTCAGCAAAACTAAAATAATTTCTTTCAGTGTTTCAAAATAGGAGATTTCTAATGGTGTCGAAGCGAAACATGATCGGGCTGATGATCGGCCGTTCCGTGTTTTTGGCCGGACTGCCAATGGCCAAAAATCGGCCGGTCCATGCTAAGAGGGTTGAAACATGATTTAGGAAGGCAGACAAACACATGGATAAGAATTATAGAAGATGCGGATGAAATGGTTTATGGTTTATAAAACAGATCAACATCAAGGCCCACTGGTAGTAACCTATAAGGGTCCGTTCTAATTCTAACTCAAGCCTGAGCCTGAATCTCAGCACAGTGCACGAACTCATAGCACCGGCTAAGATCCTGAAATACTTTGGGTAGATTTTTTAACTCAAATTTTGCCCGGGCAGCCCATTAGGCTACTCTTTTTGATTTCCAACTGCCAAAGGAATTTTTTAGGTGTGCAACAATATACACGGAGATGACATGGAGGCAGCTGGAGATGGACCACGGGGATGACATGGAGGCAGCTGGAGACGGACCACGGAGATGACATGGAGGCAGCTGGAGATGGACCACGGGGATGACATGGAGGCAGCTGGAGATGACATGGAGGCAGCTGGAGATGACATGGAGGCAGCTGGAGACGGACCACGGTGATGACATTGAGGCAGCTGGAGATGGACCACGGGGATGACATGGAGGCAGCTGGAGACGGACCACGGAGATGACATGGAGGCAGCTGGAGACGGACCACGGAGATGACATGGAGGCAGCTGGAGATGGACCACGGGGATGACATGGAGGCAGCTGGAGATGACATGGAGGCAGCTGGAGACGGACCACGGGGATGACATGGAGGCAGCTGGAGATGGACCACGGGGATGACATGGAGGCAGCTGGAGACGGACAACGGAGATGACATGGAGGCAGCTGGAGATGGACCACGGGGATGACATGGAGGCAGCTGGAGATGGACAAAACAGGAAGTCGTAAGTAGAGCTGGTTGAAGGTCTGTGTTCTACTTGCAGTAAACAATTTATCAGATGAACGTAGAAGGTGATGATGATTTTCTTTATATAACATGTTTCCTCTACTCAGCCTACCTGGCATCCAAGGCATCAGGCTTGAGTTAGAGGTAGAACGGAGCACTTATGAGTTACATCTGTGTGCCATGATGTTGGTCCCTTGAAACAGGCTTGAGTTAGAGAGAGGTAGAACAAAGCACTTATGAGTTACACCTGTGTGCCATGATGTTGATCCGTTGAAACAGGCTTGAGTTAGAGGTAGAACAAAGCACTTATGAGTTACACCTGTGTGCCATGATGTTGATCCATTGAAACAGGCTTGAGTTAGAGGTAGAACGGAGCACTTATGAGTTACATCTGTGTGCCATGATGTTGATCCCTTGAAACAGGCTTGAGTTAGAGGTAGAACGGAGCACTTATGAGTTACATCTGTGTGCCATGATGTTGGTCCCTTGAAACAGGCTTGAGTTAGAGGTAGAACGGAGCACTTATGAGTTACATCTGTGTGCCATGATGTTGGTCCCTTGAAACAGGCTTGAGTTAGAGGTAGAACGGAGCACTTATGAGTTACATCTGTGTGCCATGATGTTGATCCCTTGAAACAGGCTTGAGTTAGAGGTAGAACGGAGCACTTATGAGTTACATCTGTGTGCCATGATGTTGGTCCCTTGAAACAGGCTTGAGTTAGAGGTAGAACGGAGCACTTATGAGTTACATCTGTGTGCCATGATGTTGGTCCCTTGAAACAGGCTTGAGTTAGAGGTAGAACGGAGCACTTATGAGTTACATCTGTGTGCCATGATGTTGGTCCCTTGAAACAGGCTTGAGTTAGAGAGAGGTAGAACAAAGCACTTATGAGTTACACCTGTGTGCCATGATGTTGATCCGTTGAAACAGGCTTGAGTTAGAGGTAGAACAAAGCACTTATGAGTTACACCTGTGTGCCATGATGTTGATCCATTGAAACAGGCTTGAGTTAGAGGTAGAACGGAGCACTTATGAGTTACATCTGTGTGCCATGATGTTGATCCGTTGAAACAGGCTTGAGTTAGAGGTAGAACAAAGCACTTATGAGTTACACCTGTGTGCCATGATGTTGATCCATTGAAACAAGCTTGAGTTCTAATAGAGGTAGAACGGAGCACTTATGAGTTACATCTGTGTGCCATGATATTGGTCCCTTGAAACAGGCTTGAGTTAGAAGTAGAACGGAGCACTTATGAGTTACACCTGTGTGCCATGATGTTGATCCGTTGAAACAGGCTTGAGTTAGAAGTAGAACGGAGCACTTATGAGTTACACCTGTGTGCCATGATGTTGATCCGTTGAAACAGGCTTGAGTTAGAGGTAGAACAAAGCACTTATGAGTTACATCTGTGTGCCATGGTGTTGATCCATTGAAACAAGCTTGAGTTAGAGGTAGAACAAAGCATATGAGTTACACCTGTGTGCCATGATGTTGATCCATTGAAACAAGCTTGAGTTAGAGGTAGAACGGAGCACTTATGAGTTACACCCGTGTGCCATGTTGTTGATCCATTGAATCAGGCTTGAGTTAGAAGTAGCACGGAGCACTTATGGGTTACACCCGTGATCCATTGAATAAACAAACATAAACAGCCTACCTTGCATACAGCAACATGGCCAGACAGTCCCTTCGGCTGTGTGCCTCTTCCATACCCACAGGTTTCACGTAGACACTGTGATGAGATCTGGTTCCAGTCACAATGTTACGATTTAGCAACGCGTGGTGCAGACTGAGAGGAGAGATTCCAAGTAATCGAGAGCTTTCATCTCTAGCCCAGTCACACACTAAAATAAAATATTGAAAACTGATCAAATAGATAACTTTGCTAAAAATAAATGCAATTCTATGTTAAAAGCTTATTATTAAATGTCTCCTTCTGTATGACAATGTACTAAATCTAGTCAACAATATGAGGCACACCTGAGCTTGAAAAATTAACTCATATCTGAACAGTCACACACAGCTTTAACAGCTGTGATGTAGAGGAAAACAAAGAGCTTCTGAACCGTCACATACAGCTCTAACAGCTGTGATATAAAGTGAGACAAAGAATTGACACCTAGATTGGCTGGCCACATGCCACAACCTAGACAAGGACACACCTGGGCACGCAGAAGTGAATGCTAATGAAAAAGCTGACCAGCTGGCAAGTAATGCCCCAGTGCAAATGGGAAGAAGCATGGAGAGAGCTGATATCAACTATGTACGCAATAAGTTGGAGGATAATGTGAAATCTCTGACACTAAGACAACTGTGTGACCAATGCTTGGTGAAGCATGTCTAAGCCACCTTTGATGTAAAGACAGGAGTTTAGTGCTCCTGGCGACACTATGAGCTGTGGTTATCGGTAACTGAGTTCCACATTCGTACATAATGGCAATGATGGGGATGATGTATTTTTCTTGGTTGTGTTCCTGGGACAAGGCGCGTGCTATAGCTGCTATTTATTTGCTGGCCGTGGCTGCAACTTGGCTGAGGACATGTGGAGAATGGTCAGGAATAGTTTTAATCTACTCATCGTCCAGCTATTCGTCGAATGAAGTTGATTTTCAGCAATGACGCCTGGTCTCCCGGTGTGTTTAAGAAAGCATGCACCTTATGGTTTGCCAGATCAAATCGCGTGTGTTTCGCTGACTGAGGACACTTTGTATGGCTAAGACATTCACTTGAAATATCCAGTGTATCTGACTCTGTGACTGGAATAACTGGCATAGGCGGCTGAGCAATCATGGACCAAGTTCATTTGCTGTGGTGCCAGAACCATAATGACTAACAGGAGATACTATAACTAGCGTCTCAAAGGAACAATCAGTCGAGGTGCCTTGAAGTGGCTGCTGCATCAGATGACTGAACATGCATGGGGATGACCAATGTGCATGGACGTCAATTGTGATAACAAAACAAAGATGGACAAATACACAGACCTGTTCTTAGACAAAGGTGGCAGTGAGAGGCTGTGAACCCCGACCACTCAAGGTGATCATTATGACACTCATCCTTACCCGCCCACACAAAACTGCAGGTTATGCCAAACTAGTGTGGCCATTATAGGTGTCCCAATTATAACTTCGTTGTAGGCTGAACAGAATACCTGGCATTTGTCTCCCTCTTCGCAGCCAGCAGCTGTAAACTAGGGCAGAATCTTCTGGTTAATCGTCCACCAGCAGACCTAAGTCTGGTTCTAGAACTTGAATGTTGCGTACACATCCGTTTTACAGATTTAACTTCTTTGTAGGCAAATTGTTGGTTCCTTGTCTCTTAGGCAGATGTGCTCCGACTTCGAAGCAAGCTCAGTTAGTTACAAAACCTGAAACTAGTGCTTTGGGCTGACAATGTCTACACTGACAGCACAATTACAAAATATGAAACTAGAGATTTGGGCTGACAATGTCTCCACTGAAAGCACAGTTATAAAACATGAAACTAGAGCTTTGAGCTGACAATGTCTCCACTGAAAGCACAGTTACAAAACATGAAACTAGAGCTTTGAGCTGACAATGTCCCCACTGAAAACACAGTTACAAAATCTAAAACTAGTGCTTTGGGCTGACAATGTCTCCACTGACAGCACATTTCCTTTTTTAAACTAACATTCATAGTAAAGGCGGCTTAGAAATACAATATTAGTTATCATGCTGAAGAAGACATTAGTTTGAAATAGCAAATAATAAATAAACAGATAAAATAATTTTGCAAGAGAAAAACATAACAGAGATTATAGTCCAATAATGAATTTACAAGAACTATAAACACATTACTGTAGAGACTGTAATGAAAGAAAATAGAGACCTAGAAACAGAAAAAAAAATAAGAACAAAAAGAAACGGAACAACTATAACAATTAATGTTGACAATGAAACAATCATGTCAAGTAAAATCTTTTTTAAAAAAAGGTCTACCATACCAATGTCTGCAGGACTGAACTCTGTAATGAAAGCAATAATCACAAAATAATCCTGTCCCAACTAGAGACCGAACCTGAACTACTGTCTTGTGAACAAGGACACTAACAACCACACCACTGAATTTCTAGTTCATCAGTATACAATATGTTTCTACAGTATACCATCCCCCTCCCCCCAAGTATAAGACACACTTATTTTCATAGATGGAGATTACCTACAAGGGGTTTCTTATACAATGATCATAGAGTTTTATCACATTACCAGTTTTTAGAAAACATCTGCCTCATTTGGGAATACTGCTGCCATGGCAACATTAAATGTTGTCATGAAAGATGAATGAAACCAATGGATGAAGGTTTCTAGGGGACAATTTGGCACCAGCAGATATTGTGAAGAATCATGGGTGAAGTCTTCTGTGGACAATTTGACACCAGCAGATATTGTGAAGAATCATGGGTGAAGTCTTCTGGGGACAATTTGACACCAGCAGATATTGTGAAGAATCATGGGTGAAGTCTTCTGGGGACAATTTGACACCAGCAGACATTGTGAAGAAACATGGATGAAGTCTTCTGGGTACAATTCTGTGATGAATAAAGCTTCAATATTTTGTGTAATTTCTTTTGTTTTTATTGTCCGAAAAAAAGGTGCATTTTATACATTAGACCGTCTTATACTTGGAGAAATATGGTGTGTCTTCCTCTGCCACAGCTGTGGTTACAGAACTCTAGTATGTTAAATGTATGTTGCCGTAATTGAAAGACAAAAAGTTTAAGGAGATTAGATAAGATCTTACCTTCATCCCCAGACATGGAACTGGCTTCATCATCCCTAGAGGAAACAAACTTCAGCTGTGTCAAGTGAAGGATGGCCAGCAGCACCTGTCAGGCAACAACAACAACGTGTACAGAATGGTTGTGATGATTGTGTTAGCAGAACAACATGTACAGAATGGTTGTGATGATTGTGTTAGCAGAACAACCTGTACAGAATGGTTGTGATGATTGTGTTAGCAGAACAACATGTACAGAATGGTTGTGATGATTGTGTTAGCAGAACAACCTGTACAGAATGGTTGTGATGATTGTGTTAGCACAGCAACATGTACAGAATGGTTGTGATGATTGTGTTAGCAGAACATGTACATAATGGTTGTGATGATTGTGTTAGCACAGCAACATGTACAGAATGGTTGTGATGATTGTGTTAGCACAGCAACATGTACAGAATGGTTGTGATGATTGTGTTAGCAGAACAACCTGTACAGAATGGTTGTGATGATTGTGTTAGCACAGCAACATGTACAGAATGGTTGTGATGATTGTGTTAGCACAGCAACATGTACAGAATGGTTGTGATGATTGTGTTAGCAGAACAACATGTACAGAATGGTTGTGATGATTGTGTTAGCAGAACAACATGTACAGAATGGTTGTGATGATTGTGTTAGCAGAACAACATGTACAGAATGGTTGTGATGATTGTGTTAGCAGAACAACATGTACAGAATGGTTGTGATAATTGTGTTAGCAGAACAACCTGTACAGAATGGTTGTGATGATTGTGTTAGCACAGCAACATGTACAGAATGGTTGTGATGATTGTGTTAGCACAGCAACATGTACAGAATGGTTGTGATGATTGTGTTAGCACAGCAACATGTACAGAATGGTTGTGATGATTGTGTTAGCACAGCAACATGTACAGAATGGTTGTGATGATTGTGTTAGCACAGCAACATGTACAGAATGGTTGTGATGATTGTGTTAGCACAGCAACATGTACAGAATGGTTGTGATGATTGTGTTAGCAGAACAACCTGTACAGAATGGTTGTGATGATTGTGTTAGCAGAACAACATGTACAGAATGATTGTGATGATTGTGTTAGCAGAACAACATGTACAGAATGGTTGTGATGATTGTGTTAGCAGAACAACATGTACAGAATGGTTGTGATGATTGTGTTAGCAGAACAACATGTACAGAATGGTTGTGATGATTGTGTTAGCAGAACAACATGTACAGAATGGTTGTGATGATTGTGTTAGCAGAACAACATGTACAGAATGGTTGTGATGATTGTGTTAGCAGAACAACCTGTACAGAATGGTTGTGATGATTGTGTTAGCAGAACAACATGTACAGAATGGTTGTGATGATTGTGTTAGCACAGCAACATGTACAGAATGGTTGTGATGATTGTTAGCACAACAACATATCCAGAATGGTTGTGATGATTGTGTTAGCAGAACAACATGTACAGAATGGTTGTGATGATTGTGTTAGCAGAACAACATGTACAGAATGGTTGTGATGATTGTGTTAGCAGAACGTGTACAGAATAGTTCTGATGATTTTGTTAGCACAACAACATGTACAGAATGGTTGTGATGATTGTGTTAGCAGAACGTGTACAGAATAGTTCTGATGATTTTGTTAGCACAGCAACATGTACAGAATGGTTGTGATTGTGTTAGCACAACAACATGTACAGAATGGTTGTGATGATTGTGTTAGCACAACAACATGTACAGAATGGTTGTGATGATTGTGTTAGCACAGCAACATGTACAGAATGGTTGTGATGATTGTGTTAGCAGAACAACCTGTACAGAATGGTTGTGATGATTGTGTTAGCAGAACAACCTGTACAGAATGGTTGTGATGATTGTGTTAGCAGAACAACATGTACAGAATGGTTGTGATGATTGTGTTAGCAGAACGTGTACAGAATAGTTCTGATGATTTTGTTAGCACAACAACATGTACAGAATGGTTGTGATGATTGTGTTAGCAGAATGTGTACAGAATGGTTGTGATTGTGTTAGCACAACAACATGTACAGAATGGTTGTGATGATTGTGTTAGCACAACATGTACAGAATGGTTGTGATGATTGTGTTAGCACAGCAACATGTACAGAATGGTTGTGATGATTGTGTTAGCAGAACAACATGTACAGAATGGTTGTGACGATTGTGTTAGCACAACAACATGTACAGAATGGTTGTGATGATTGTTAGCACAACAACATGTACAGAATGGTTGTGATGATTGTGTTAGCACAACAACATGTACAGAATGGTTGTGATGATTGTGTTAGCAGAACAACATGTACAGAATGGTTGTGATGATTGTGTTAGCAGAACATGTACAGAATGGTTGTGATTGTGTTAGCACAACAACATGTACAGAATGGTTGTGATGATTGTGTTAGCACAACATGTACATAATGGTTGTGATGATTGCGTTAGCACAGCAGCATGTACAGAATGGTTGTGATGATTGTGTTAGCAGAACAACATGTACAGAATGGTTGTGATGATTGTGTTAGCAGAACAACATGTACAGAATGGTTGTGATGATTGTGTTAGCAGAGCAGCATGTACAGAATGGTTGTGATGATTGTGTTAGCACAACATGTACAGAATGGTTGTGATGATTGCGTTAGCACAGCAGTATGTACAGAATGGTTGTGATGATTGTGTTAGCACAACATGTACAGAAGGGTTGTGATGATTGCGTTAGCACAGCAGTATGTACAGAATGGTTGTGATGACTGTGTTAGCACAACAACATGTACAGAATGGTTGTGATGATAGTGTTAGCACATCAACATGTACAGAACGGTTGTGATGATTGTGTTAGCACAGCAACATGTACAGAATGGTTGTGATGACTGTGTTAGCACAACAACGTGTACAGAATGGTTGTGATGATTGTGTTAGCACAGCAACATGTTCAGAATGGTTGTGATGATTGTGTTAGCACAACATGTACAGAACGGTTGTGATGATTGTGTTAGCACAACATGTACAGAATGGTTGTGATGATTGTGTTAGCACAGCAACATCAATAGCACAATGCCAGCAAACTAATAAAAGGAAACATTTTGAGAATAGTCATTTTTCTCTGTAACGAACGTACAGATGAGAATGTGGGGAGGGGGGGGGGGGGGGGGGGGGGGGGGGGGTAGGAGGATGTCACATAAGGCAAGACAAAGAACAGACATATGGAGACAGGGAAAAGAAATAAGTGCAGAAGATGGGTGAAAGAAAACTGACTTAAGAAGATATATAAACAAAACAGAAATAAAAAGACCGGAGTACAAAACAGTAAAAAAAACATGCAGGACAACAGAAAGGCCACCATTTAGAGGTTTGCTCAAATCTGACGTGTGGGGGCAGATACCGCAGCCCAGCTGTAGAGCACAACGCAATATGTCCGTGACACTCAGAAGGGCGAATGCAGAAGAACAAGGGAGGCATACAAGGTTCAACATGGACATCTGACTAGTCATATCAACAACATACCCGGAAGATGGACACCTGGGTCTGAGGTTCCACTCCTATGTCTGTCAGAGCATCAACTATCTGTAGCATGGGAACAGTTGCAGCTACAGTGGGCACAAAAAGTGGACAGTCAATGTCAGTGACAGGCATTTTCGTGCAAGCTTTCTTATGTGATTCCTTTCTGTCAATGTGCATATCTGCAATGGTTGACTTCCTTCTCTTTTTTACTCATCAGCAACAGTTTTAAATTTGTATGTGGATCTACCTCACTACACATACCCAGTTTAATTCATGTCTGTTATTTTGTTTCGTCAAATTCTGTATATTTGTATTAGGGGCGGCCGAGGCCTAGCAGCTAGACGCTCACCTGCTGGCCATAAATAATGTTTTGGGTTCAAACCTGCAATTTTACTAGACAAAACCTGGGAAGTAAAGGTGACCAGTATAATGCTAACAACACCAGCCATAAACTGACGACTAGTCAACACAAATATGAGTCTTGCATCACATACCAGATTATTGCTACTGGGGTGAAACAAAATTTCCTTCCATTAAAAAATAATGTGTATTGATATGTGTGTGTGTGTGTGTGCATAAACTGACTTCCCATCCCAGCACAGAAACTCCATGGAACTATCTTAATTGTTGTTAATGCTAAATGTGAATACTCTAGGTGGCTGGTGCTGTAATTCAGGTCCATGTGCCTAAACATGAATGAAATCTTTTTCTTAGCATTCACTGACAGTAAACTCCAGCAGAAAGTTATGGTTGTTCGTTCACTTCTGGACTTTGGTCCTGTTCCAGAACTTGAGTTTTGCATGGATATCATTTTGACAGATCTGGTTTATTTGTATACCAAGACTGTTGGTTGTTTATTTATCAGGCTAGTGCCCTGTGACCTCGAAGTAAACATCCCCAATTAGTTGCCAGGTACCAAGCACAGTGGGTCTATCTACCCACACACACAAAACCAAGGCTCCGGAACCCACAATGAGAAAATAAAATCAAAACCAGCCCTCATTTGAGACATCTCTCTCTCTCATTATATATTTTATATCTAATTAATGCTAGTATCCCTGACTACCTACTGCAAGTTGAGAGTTCTACAACAGCACTGCTGATTGCTGAGAGGCAGATGTGTCAGAGACACATGTAACACTGATCCAGACCTCTTCATCTCCAAGCAGGACATTCTGGCCAGACACCAGTCAGTTTGACTGAATACTTAACAAAGTTCTATGCCATGTAGTATGCCAAGGACTCAAACTGTCCACACTGCTAGACTGCAGGAGAGTCACAGCAATTCCCCGTGATGGTGGTAGACAATCAGTGTCCAATTTCCCGTGATGGTGGTAGGTAATCAGGGTCCAATTTCCCGTGATGGTGGTAGGTATTCAGTGTACAATTCCCCGTGATAGTGGTAGGTAATCAGTGTCCAATTCTCCGTGATGGTAATAGGTAATCAGTGCCCAATTCACAGTGATGGTTGTAGGCAGTGTCCAATTCTCCGTGATGGTGATAGGTAATCAGTGTCCAATTCTCTGTGATGGTTGTAGGCAATCAGTGTCCAATTCTCCATGATGGTGGTAGGTAATCAGTGTCCAATTCTCTGTGATGGTGGTAAGCAATCAGTGTCCAATTCTCCATGATGGTGGTAGGCAATCAGTGTCCAATTCTCCATGATGGTGGTAGGCAATCAGTGTCCAATTCTCCATGATGGTGATAGGTAATCAGTGCCCAATTCACAGTGATGGTTGTAGGCAATCAGTGTCCAATTCTCCATGATGGTGGTAGGTAATTAGTGTCTTATTCCCCGTGATGGTGGTAGGTAATCAGTGTCCAATTCTTCATGATGGTGGTAGGCAATCAGTATCCAAGGCTTGCAGTCCCTGCTCTAGGAGCTCAAGAGCATCCTCTGAATTAGCATATGGCAATGCTGCCAGGAGGCAACCAAACTATCCTCAGTTGCCAGTTCTCTAAGTCAACACCTCAGATGACAATGTTCAAAAACAAACTTTAAGTAACCACCTTGATGCGGTATGGCACACTTCAGTTTGGACTTGTCAACATCTCCTTTGATTCCCTCTAACCAGACTGGAACCGCTGATAGCTCTTGTAAACTCAGCACCTGTCAGATTTACAGAAGAAATGTCACATACATAACACACAAACACATATATATATATATATATATATACACACACCTAATCCCTCACCCCCCCCCCTTTTCTAAGTGTGAAAAGTCAGTTCCTACAGACCTCTTCTCTCACCCCCACCCCACCCCTCTAAGTGTGAAAAGTCAGTTCCTACAGACCTCCTCCCTCACCCCCCCCCCCCCCCCTTTCTTAGTGTGAAAAGTCAGTTCCTACAGACCTCCTCCCTCACTCCCCACCCCACCCCTCTAAGTGTGAAAAGTCAGTTCCTACAGACCTCCTCTCTCACCCCCCACCCCACCCCTCTAAGTGTGAAAAGTCAGTTCCTACAGACCTCCTCTCTCACCCCCCACCCCACCCCTCTAAGTGTGAAAAGTCAGTTCCTACAGACCTCCTCCCTCACCCCCCCCCCCCACCCTCTAAGTGTGAAAAGTCAGTTCCTACAGACCTCCTCTCTCCCCCCCCCCCCCCCCCCCCCCCAAGCGCGGAAAGTCAGTTCCTACAGAACTCCAAAGCTCTAACATGACAGTACTGTAATGCCTCTCTTCTCATCACAAAGCTCTACATGACAGTACTGTAATGCCTCTCTTCTCATCACAAACAAAGCTCTAACATGACAGTACCGTAATGCCTCTCTTCTCATCACAAACAAAGCTCTAACATGACAGTACTGTAATGCCTCTTTTCTCATCACAAAGCTCTACATGACAGTACTGTAATGCCTCTCTTCTCATCACAAACAAAGCTCTAACATGACAGTACCGTAATGCCTCTCTTCTCATCACAAACAAAGCTCTAACATGACAGTACTGTAATGCCTCTCTTCTCATCACAAAGCTCTACATGACAGTACTGTAATGCCTCTCTTCTCATCACAAACAAAGCTCTAACATGACAGTACCGTAATGCCTCTCTTCTCATCACAAACAAAGCTCTAACATGACAGTACTGTAATGCCTCTCTTCTCATCACAAACCAAGCTCTAACATGACAGTACTGTAATGCTTCTCTTTTCATCACAAACCAAGCTCTAACATGACAGTACTGTAATGCTTCTCTTTTCATCACAAACCAAGCTCTAACATGACAGTACTGTAATGCTTCTCTTCTCATCACAAACAAAGCTCTAACAATACAGTACTGTAATGCCTCTCTTCTCATCACAAACCCAAAGAGCACTGATTGTCTCTTTCTTTTAGATGTATGTCATTTTTTGCTTTAACTCATCTTTCCCAGGCTAATGTTATTGTTAATACTGATTCATCTCTTATTTATTCATCCGGATTAGTCTCACACATGATGAGAAATCTCCCATCTGCAAGTTGTAGCATTTAGGCAACACAAAGTTATGTGGTAGCTGGGGTCTAAATATGCTCTTGCAAGTGTGGGCAACTCTGCAAAGTAACAGAGCAGGATGCAACCAAGACATCACACACTTGTCATGCCAGTTAGAAACTGCTGTCAAAGGCAGAAGTAATATAATCCAGAGATAGGAAAGCCCAGGAGAAACCATCACCCTATCTTGTCAAGCTTGTATGAAATAAAACCAATGACAGGTTGGTGAAGATGGTGGCACCTTTCCAGATGATAGTGCTAACTGTGTTCTAGGGAGACGCCCATGGCCAAGGTGAGTAGGACTAGCAACACCCGCTCACTTTCAGAAGCCTTCCACAACTGAAGCAAGGGATCTCAGGGTCATTATTGACATTGTATGTATTTAACATGCTTCATCTTAGATTCTCAGCTCTGAGCCTATCTGTACTCATTTTCTCCTTTATTCCTATAGTCCCACAAATCCACTTCAATAACTGTATCATTCATGACCACACATCTTTATATCACAGGGGCAGAACTGAACATCTTCTACCTATTTATCTTAGAGCAGTGACTCTCAACGTTCCTAATGCCGCGACCCTTTCATACATTTCCCTCATGTTGTGTCCACCCCATTCAATTATTTTCTTTCATAACTTCAATGAATATGTGTTTTCCAATGGTCTTAGGCATGTCAGGGTCGCGCCCGGCAGGTTGAGAACAGCTGTCTTAAAGGATGTCCTCAAGGACTCTACCATCCTCCATGTGTGTCCTAGCCTGGTGAGCTGTAGAAGACTGAATGAAGACAATAAATAAGCAATAGCTAGCACAGGGAGACAACCCTGCAATGAGAAGATTTACCTGATAAAATATGTGAAAGTTATTGGCCCCTGCCCCCTGGTGCACAACTCTGGTCTTCTCCAGCAGGTAGGTCTGTATAGCCCCACCCAGGATGTAGCCACTTCTGTTGAGTCAAATGAGAAAACCAGGCATTGAGTAGTCCACAACACCTTGTACACAGTATCTTAAGAGTGTTATCATCATCATCATCATCATCAGGTATTCTGTAAAAGACTGCTGCCCTCATGACCTGCCAGAAAGATTCACTCTCCTGTCTCCTGAATCTGCATGCTCAATGTGTCCCTTAGGTTCAGTGCAAACCTTCACATTGGCTGACCTGTCTCTTCTACCAGAAGACATGAATGTCCCCTTCTTCTTCAGCAGTCTGAGTCCTTGAGATTCACTGCTGCAGACATCATCTGGCTCTGTTCATCTCTGTGATGAGCCTTCTCTTTTCAGCTTGTTACTCTGAGTGTTACGCCTTCTCTCACCAATTTTGTTTCTCTAAACATCCAGAGTCGACAACAAATAAAAATGTAATACATCTAGAATATACAACATTGTTGTATGCAGAAAGGGAGCTATGTCTCCCATACTTGACAAAGTATCTAGGTGGTAATAATTAGCGTTTACGACACGAGGTGTAACACAGCTAGTTCAGCATGACACAGATAACAAACAGAAATACTAAACATTCAGATGATGACAATACACCCATACGTACAGATAACAAACAGAAATACTAAACAGTCAGATGATGACAATACACCCATACATATAGATAACAAACAGAAATACTAAACAGTCAGATGATGACAATACACCCATACGTATAGATAACAAACAGAAATACTAAACAGTCAGATGCGACAATACACCCATACGTACAGATAACAAACAGAAATACTAAACAGTCAGATGCAGACAATACACCCATACGTACAGATGACAAACAGAAATACTAAACAGCCAGATGCTGACATTACAGCCATACATAAACTAACAGAAGTACTAAACAGACAGATGTTGACATTACACCCATACGTACAGATAACAAACAGAAATACTAAACATTCAGATGATGACAATACAACCATGATGACAAACAGAAATACTAAATAGTTAGATGCTGACAATTCAACCATACGTCCTGAAACTGACCTGTGATACTGAAGCTGAATAAACTTGCCAAACCTGGAGCTATTCTCATTCCTGGGCGTAGCTGCATTTCCTGGTGTCAGCCAAGGAAATCATAGTTACAATTAATGCTTGTGGTTATAACAGTAGGAAAAGATCAAGAAAAGACAACAAAGACACTTGCTGAATAATCAATGTTGCCTAGTTAACTCTTTAAAGCTACAGCAACGCTATGAATGTTGATTGAGAAGTTCCGATTTGCCCAAGCAACACTGTCAGTGTCAATTCAGTGTCCCGTACACATGCTCGGCAAACGGCTCCGCATTTGTTTCTAATGTTCAGAACTACCATTACAGTTTTCAGGGAAGGTATTCTTATGTTTTCCTTTGAATTAAAATCTGTGTTCCAAAACACATGTGCAGATTGGTCCGATTCGTGGCTAGCGCCATTTTCAACAGTTCATTTTCCAAGTTCGAGTGCACTGAATAACAACATTCCAACCACAAGTACAGGTTGCAAAATGTGTCTTTCTCTGAAATTGTTTCAGTCAGATGTTTTTAATTCAGATAATGATAATTTAGATTTGTCAGAAAGTGATTAGGGTGGTGAATGTACGCCAGCAGCAGCAGCAGCAGTGCGGTCAACTGTTAGGGAATCTAGTTCTAGCAGTCCTGATGGGTCTGACACAGAGAATGTTCCAGTGATACTATCTCTAGAGTGTCAGAGAAGGAAAGTGCTTCAAACAAATAGAAAGCCAGTACCATACTATGTCTAAGCAATAGTCAAATCATTGCAGCTACAGTCTGTCTGTACAAAGTCAATATTGTGTGTGTAATGGTCTACTTTTCTGCCAATTTTTTCTGTAAAATTTTGTTCAGCCCTCTGTGAGAACTTCGAGGCTCTGAGTGCTAAACTAACCCAGAGACTTATCATAACTTTAGCATTTTCTCAAAGTGAAATGCCAGAACCAGTTTTGTACATGTCCTATCCAGCCCCGACCCACCCAATTTATTTAGGTCAGCGCTGCTTTAGTCATTCTGCACACCACTTTAGACATTCTGCACACCACTTTAGTCATTCTGCACACCACTTTAGTAATTCTGCACACCACTTTAGACATTCTGCACACCACTTTAGTCATTCTGCACACCACTTTAGTCATTCTGCACACCACTTTAGACATTCTGCACACCACTTTAGTCATTCTGCACACCACTTTAGACATTCTGCACACCACTTTAGTCATTCTGCACACCACTTTAGACATTCTGCACACCACTTTAGACATTCTGCACACCACTTTAGACATTCTGCACACCACTTTAGACATTCTGCACACCACTTTAGTCATTCTGCACACCACTTTAGACATTCTGCACACCACTTTAGTCATTCTGCACACCACTTTAGACATTCTGCACACCACTTTAGTCATTCTGCACACCACTTTAGTCATTCTGCACACCACTTTAGACATTCTGCACACCACTTTAGACATTCTGCACACCACTTTAGTCATTCTGCACACCACTTTAGTCATTCTGCACAATACTTTAGTCATTCTGCACACCACTTTAGACATTCTGCACACCACTTTAGACATTCTGCACACCACTTTAGTCATTCTGCACACCACTTTAGTCATTCTGCACACCACTTTAGACATTCTGCACACCACTTTAGACATTCTGCACAATACTTTAGTCATTCTGCACACCACTTTAGTCATTCTGCACACTACTTTAGTCCATCAGTTGTGTACTAGTTCATCAATATCTTTAGCTTTCCATTAACTGTTTCAGTTGTCCTCCATGATTCCTTCAGCAAAATGAAACCAGACTGAAATCATCTCAGTTTGATCATAGGTTTCATTTCTGTTGACACTCACAAGTATGTCTGGACTTTTGCATTTTATTTACCACTTTCATCTACATGTTATCTTCTTCTTTTCTTTCATCAAAGTGATGCAAATGCTTTGTTTGTGCCTTTCGGCCGACATATGACTTCGTCAAGTTTTTGTTGACTAGATTAACTTTCTGGATAGTTTTGAGGGGCAGAGCCTAATTTGTTTGGCGTTTTCTTTGTCACCTTATCTACAGCTGTTGCCCCTGGAGACCCCGTACAGGGCATCAGCTTGTAGACAGGTCAGCCCTTGAGGGAAGGCAGAGGCAGATCATGGGCATCCAAGGAGGCCTCCATAGACGCAGAGCCCACATATAACGCTCTAGTCCAAGGCTCACACAAGGAATTGTCATGTCCTGCACATGACTGCTTAATCTCACCTCTCTACGTTGAGCTTTCCCTGGCATCCAAGGAGGCTTCCATGGACGCAGAGCCCACATAAAATGCTCTAGTCCTAGGCTCACACAAGGAATTGTCATGTCCTGCACATGACTGCTTAATCTCACCTCTCTACGTTGAGCATTCCCTGCCATCCAAGGAGACTTCCATAGACGCAGAGCCCACATAAAATGCTCTAGTCCTAGGCTCACACAAGGAATTGTCATGCCCTGCACATCATGACTGCTTAATCTCACCTCTCTACGTTGAGCATTCCCTGCCATCCAAGGAGGCTTCCATAGACGCAGAGCCCACATATAACGCTCTAGTCCAAGGCTCACACAAGGAATTGTCATGTCCTGCACATGACTGCTTAATCTCACCTCTCTACGATAAGCTTTCCCTGGCATCCAAGGAGGCTTCCATGGACGCAGAGCCCACATAAAATGCTCTAGTCCTAGGCTCACACAAGGAATTGTCATGTCCTGCACATGACTGCTCAATCTCACCTCTCTACGTTGAGCATTCCCTGCCATCCAAGGAGGCTTCCATAGACGCAGAGCCCACATAAAATGCTCTAGTCCTAGGCTCACACAAGGAATTGTCATGCCCTGCACATCATGACTGCTTAATCTCACCTCTCTATGTTGAGCTTTCCCTGGCATCCAAGGAGGCTTCCATAGACGCAGAGCCCACATATAATGCTCTAGTCCTAGGCTCACTCTATGTTGAGCTTTCCAATCGTCACTGGCTGAACCCTCCTGAGATCAGCAGGGAGCAGTCCGCAGGTTCAAGACTTTGATGGCCACACAAAAAGGTAAATTTGTCTTTTTAGCATAATATAAACTGTTAACAATGTTTCATGTGTGATTTAGCAAGATACAATTAAATAAAGAGACTGATTTTATTATGGCTAAGACAAAAATGCCATCTATGATTCACAGCATGGAATCCAAAGAGGCAGCCTTCATCTATAATCTGGCAGCTTTTCATCGCCGCCCAATAAGCAATCAACAAAGAAGCCACCGTTTTGTTAACCTAGTCAGAGTTGCACATTGTTACGTAACCAGCATGGAGCAAAAAAAAAAAAAAAAAGCTTACATTAAATTCTGTTTAAAACTCAGAAAAAGCGCCATTGCCACAGCTGAATTAATGGGACAAGTTTATGAGGATAATTATTTATCTCATGCACAGATTTTCAGCTGGTATTCACGATTCAAAAGTGGTGTGGAAATGATTACTAATGCAACTAGACCTGGACGCCCAATTTCTGTTTGTAATGAGAAACTCACTGCAAAATTCCGGGAACGGATACAAGCAGATTGTTGTTCGACTGTGAGGATGATGGTAGATATTTTTGGTGTTAATGCAGAGACTTCGTAAAATTTTATTGAAAGATTTGCGCAAGAAAAACGTTGCTTGCCAGTTTGCATTCAACACCTGACAATTTGTTTCTTCTTCATGACAATGCACTGGCTCAAAGGGCAGTAGCTGTACAGGACTTTTTGGTCCAAACACAAGTGTGTGTTCACAACCATTTCCCCAGATTTCTCTCCCTGTGATCATTTTCTATTCTCAAAATTAAAGTTGCCACTGAAAGGACGCCTGTTTGAGGATATGGATGACATCCAAAAGGCCACAACATCGACTTTAAGGGCCACAACAACAGAAAAACTACAGAGGTTGTTCCAGTGTTTGTTAAATCAACCCACTCACTGTATCATTTCACAAGGGACTTATTTTGAATAAAATACAGGTTATTCTTGAACTGTTATTTTAATTTTTATGGAATTAGTCTCATTACTTAATTGTCGGACATTGTAGTACGGCAAAGGAGTGTATCCAGCATGGCTCCCCCTTTTTTAGTCTCCACTCTCTTATGCCAGTTAGGACTTTTTCATTTGGACATTCGGGAATTTGTTTTTGTGCCACAGGACATATATCAGATAGACATTTACCCCGAATCAGCTCACTGACAGTGACAGGTTGTCATGGTGTACCTCAGCGTGATGACAACGAAATTGAGGAACAGCAAGGGATGTACAGTGATAGGACTGTTCCACGAGTTACTGCCCCTAGAAGATGTTGCTCGTCTAAGCTGCAAGCAAATCTCTTGTTATAGGGATGAACCTCAACATTAGTTTTTCACTCTAAAGATGTTTTAACCGAGGGTTGTCAGTAGTATATTCGGCTAGCGGACTTTCCCCATGTTCCAAATAAGGTTTGAAAGACATTTTAACCCATGCATTGGGGGTGGGCTGATGTGAGCCAGATTGGACACTACATCTCTAGAGGCCACCGACGTGAACCCTTATCTGTGGAGCGCTCAAGGTGAGGTATGGAGTAACTCCTTATACCTTTCTCTCATGTCTGTGATCGATATCACCACCCCACTACATGCTATCCCAACCGGTGTATCATCCACTACTTGAAGTTTGCATTATGGGTCTACTTGGTAGTATTCCTGCACATTTCAGATTGGTACAAGCCCCTGTAAACAAGAACAGTGACAGACAGCTATATCCTAGGAAACTATCATAAACAACATAATAATGCCAAACTTGCCAAATGCTTCTAGGATGGGGTTGGAATCTAACACTCTCCTCTCGATGGCACTTCCAGGAATACTTTTCAAGCTGTTAAAAGGATACAGAAAACATCACACACAAATGTTAAACAGCTACGTCACAAGTATCAACTCCAAATTAAATTCAATATAATAAAATTGATAGACAAGGATAAAAGTTATCCACATCATTGCTCCAGGTTATCTCAAACGGCTCTGTCTCTCCTTGCAGAACAGCTAGCTGCCTGCCAAGAGCATCACACAGAGCATGAACTCCATAGCTCCACCATTAATCCCTATGCATTTCTGTAAATCTGCAGGATGCATTGCCGAAATGAACCCACAACATTTACAGTGTGAGGCAAATGGTATCACTACCTTGCTACAGCTAAAAATGTGAAAACAAGGCAAACGGTGTCACCACATCACTATATGCAAAGTGAAAACAAGGCAAACGGTGTCACCACTTCACTGTATGTAAAGTGAAAACAAGGCAAACAGTGCCACCACTTCACTATATGTAAAGTGAAAACAAGGCAAACGGTGTCACCACTTCACTATATGTAAAGTGAAAACAAGGCAAACAGTGCCACCACTTCACTATATGTAAAGTGAAAACAAGGCAAACTGTGTCACCACTTCACTATATGTAAAGTGAAAACAAGGCAAACAGTGTCACCACATTGCTACAGGTAATGTTGTCAAAACAAGGCAAACGGTGTCACCACTTCACTATATGTAAAGTGAAAACAAGGCAAACGGTATTACTACTTTGCTACAGAAAAAGTTGTGAAAACAAGGCAAACGGTGTCACCACTTTGCTACAGGTAAAGTTGTGAAAACAAGGCAAATGGTGTCACCACTTTGCTACAGGTAAAGCTGTGAAAACAAGGCAAATGGTGTCACCACTTTGCTACAGGTAAAGCTGTGAAAACAAGGCAAATGGTGTCACCACTTTGCTACAGGTAAAGTTGTGAAAACAAGGCAAATGTTGTCAGAACTTCACTACAGGTAAAGTTGTGAAAACAAGGCAAATGTTGTCAAAACTTCAGTACAGGTAAAGTTGTGAAAACAAGGCAAATGTTGTCAAAACTTCACTACAGGTAAAGTTGTGAAAACAAGGCAAATGTTGTCAAAACTTTACTACAGGTAAAGTTGTGAAAACAAGGCAAATGTTGTCAAAACTTCACTACAGGTAAAGTTGTGAAAACAAGGCAAATGTTGTCAAAACTTCACAGCAGGTAAAGTTGTGAAAACAAGGCAAACAGTGTCACCACTTTGCTACAGGTAAATCTGTGAGAACAAGGCAAACATTGTCACCACTTTGCTACAGGTAAATCTGTGAGAACAAGGCAAACATTGTCACCACTTTGCTACAGGTAAATCTGTGAGAACAAGGCAAACAGAGAAGGCCAAATGTCAACTTTAGAAGAGTAGGATGATGAATAGCGGAAAAGATATTAAACCTAATGTATTATTTGTGATTGCTGTTCTGTACAGCTCTCCATTTCTTGTTTGTTGTCGCTGTACTTGATAAAGTCAGCATACATTGTTCTTTAGAGAGCTCTCCATTTATAGTTTGTTGTCGCTGTTCTTGATAAAGTCAGCATACATTGTTCTTTAGAGAGCTCTTTATTTATAGTTTGCTGTCGCTGTACTAGATAAAGTCAGCATACATAGTTCTTTAGACAGCTCCCCATTTATAGTTTGTTGTCGCTGTTCTTGATAAAGTCAGCATACATTGTTCTTTAGACAGCTCTCCATTTATAGTTTGCTGTCGCTGTACTAGATAAAGTCAGCATACATTGTTCTTTAGACAGCTCCCCATTTATAGTTTGTTGTCGCTGTACTTGATAAAGTCAGCATACATTGTTCTTTAGACAGCTTCCCATTTATAGTTTGTTGTCGCTGTACTTGATAAAGTCAGCATACATTGTTCTTTAGAGAGCTCCCCATTTATAGTTTGTTGTCGCTGTACTAGATAAAGTCAGCATACATTGTTCTTTAGACAGCTCTCCATTTATAGTTTGCTGTCGCTGTACTTGATAAAGTCAGCATACATTGTTCTTTAAAGAGCTCTCCATTTATAGTTTGTTGTCGCTGTTCTTGATAAAGTCAGCATACATTGTTCTTTAGAGAGCTCTCCATTTATAGTTTGCTGTCGCTGTACTTGACAAAGTCAGCATACATTGTTCTTTAGAGAGCTCTCCATTTATAGTTTGTTGTCGCTGTACTAGATAAAGTCAGCATACATTGTTCTTTAGACAGCTCTCCATTTATAGTTTGCTTTCGCTATACTAGATAAAGTCAGCATACATTGTTCTTTAGGAAGCTCTCCATTTATAGTTTGTTGTCGCTGTACTAGATAAAGTCAGCATACATTGTTCTTTAGACAGCTCCCCATTTATAGTTTGTTGTCGCTGTACTTGATAAAGTCAGCATACATTGTTCTTTAGACAGCTCCCCATTTATAGTTTGTTGTCGCTGTACTTGATAAAGTCAGCATACATTGTTCTTTAGAGAGCTCCCCATTTATAGTTTGTTGTCGCTGTACTTGATAAAGTCAGCATACATTGTTCTTTAGACAGCTCCCCATTTATAGTTTGTTGTCGCTGTACTTGATAAAGTCAGCATACATTGTTCTTTAGAGAGCTCCCCATTTATAGTTTGTTGTCGCTATACTAGATAAAGTCAGCATACATTGTTCTTTAGACAGCTCTCCATTTATAGTTTGCTGTCGCTGTACTAGATAAAGTCAGCATACATTGTTCTTTAAAGAGCTCTCCATTTATAGTTTGTTGTCGCTGTACTTGATAAAGTCAGCATACATTGTTCTTTAGAGAGCTCTCCATTTATAGTTTGTTGTCGCTGTTCTTGATAAAGTCAGCATACATTGTTCTTTAGAGAGCTCTCCATTTATAGTTTGCTGTCGCTGTACTTGACAAAGTCAGCATACATTGTTCTTTAGAGAGCTCTCCATTTATAGTTTGTTGTCGCTGTACTAGATAAAGTCAGCATACATTGTTCTTTAGACAGCTCTCCATTTATAGTTTGCTTTCGCTATACTAGATAAAGTCAGCATACATTGTTCTTTAGGAAGCTCTCCATTTATAGTTTGTTGTCGCTGTACTAGATAAAGTCAGCATACATTGTTCTTTAGACAGCTCCCCATTTATAGTTTGTTGTCGCTGTACTTGATAAAGTCAGCATACATTGTTCTTTAGACAGCTCCCCATTTATAGTTTGTTGTCGCTGTACTTGATAAAGTCAGCATACATTGTTCTTTAGAGAGCTCCCCATTTATAGTTTGTTGTCGCTATACTAGATAAAGTCAGCATACATTGTTCTTTAGACAGCTCTCCATTTATAGTTTGCTGTCGCTGTACTTGATAAAGTCAGCATACATTGTTCTTTAAAGAGCTCTCCATTTATAGTTTGTTGTCGCTGTACTTGATAAAGTCAGCATACATTGTTCTTTAGAGAGCTCTCCATTTATAGTTTGTTGTCGCTGTTCTTGATAAAGTCAGCATACATTGTTCTTTAGACAGCTCTCCATTTATAGTTTGCTGTCGCTGTACTTGACAAAGTCAGCATACATTGTTCTTTAGAGAGCTCCCCATTTATAGTTTGTTGTCGCTATACTAGATAAAGTCAGCATACATTGTTCTTTAGACAGCTCTCCATTTATAGTTTGCTGTCGCTGTACTTGATAAAGTCAGCATACATTGTTCTTTAAAGAGCTCTCCATTTATAGTTTGTTGTCGCTGTACTAGATAAAGTCAGCATACATTGTTCTTTAGACAGCTCTCCATTTATAGTTTGCTTTCGCTATACTAGATAAAGTCAGCATACATTGTTCTTTAGGAAGCTCTCCATTTATAGTTTGTTGTCGCTGTACTAGATAAAGTCAGCATACATTGTTCTTTAGACAGCTCCCCATTTATAGTTTGTTGTCGCTGTACTTGATAAAGTCAGCATACATTGTTCTTTAGACAGCTCCCCATTTATAGTTTGTTGTCGCTGTACTTGATAAAGTCAGCATACATTGTTCTTTAGAGAGCTCCCCATTTATAGTTTGTTGTCGCTATACTAGATAAAGTCAGCATACATTGTTCTTTAGACAGCTCTCCATTTATAGTTTGCTGTCGCTGTACTTGATAAAGTCAGCATACATTGTTCTTTAAAGAGCTCTCCATTTATAGTTTGTTGTCGCTGTACTTGATAAAGTCAGCATACATTGTTCTTTAGAGAGCTCTCCATTTATAGTTTGTTGTCACTGTTCTTGATAAAGTCAGCATACATTGTTCTTTAGACAGCTCTCCATTTATAGTTTGCTGTCGCTGTACTTGACAAAGTCAGCATACATTGTTCTTTAGAGAGCTCCCCATTTATAGTTTGTTGTCGCTATACTAGATAAAGTCAGCATACATTGTTCTTTAGACAGCTCTCCATTTATAGTTTGCTGTCGCTGTACTTGATAAAGTCAGCATACATTGTTCTTTAAAGAGCTCTCCATTTATAGTTTGTTGTCGCTCTACTTGATAAAGTCAGCATACATTGTTCTTTAGAGAGCTCTCCATTTATAGTTTGTTGTCGCTGTTCTTGATAAAGTCAGCATACATTGTTCTTTAGAGAGCTCTCCATTTATAGTTTGCTGTCGCTGTACTTGACAAAGTCAGCATACATTGTTCTTTAGAGAGCTCTCCATTTATAGTTTGTTGTTGCTGTACTAGATAAAGTCAGCATACATTGTTCTTTAGACAGCTCTCCATTTATAGTTTGCTTTCGCTATACTAGATAAAGTCAGCATACATTGTTCTTTAGGAAGCTCTCCATTTATAGTTTGTTGTCGCTGTACTAGATAAAGTCAGCATACATTGTTCTTTAGACAGCTCCCCATTTATAGTTTGTTGTCGCTGTACTTGATAAAGTCAGCATACATTGTTCTTTAGACAGCTCCCCATTTATAGTTTGTTGTCGCTGTACTTGATAAAGTCAGCATACATTGTTCTTTAGAGAGCTCACCATTTATAGTTTGTTGTCGCTATACTAGATAAAGTCAGCATACATTGTTCTTTAGACAGCTCTCCAATTATAGTTTGCTGTCGCAGTACTTGATAAAGTCAGCATACATTGTTCTTTAAAGAGCTCTCCATTTATAGTTTGTTGTCGCTGTACTTGATAAAGTCAGCATACATTGTTCTTTAGAGAGCTCTCCATTTATAGTTTGTTGTCGCTGTTCTTGATAAAGTCAGCATACATTGTTCTTTAGAGAGCTCCCCATTTATAGTTTGCTGTCGCTGTACTTGACAAAGTCAGCATACATTGTTCTTTAGAGAGCTCTCCATTTATAGTTTGTTGTCGCTGTACTAGATAAAGTCAGCATACATTGTTCTTTAGACAGCTCTCCATTTATAGTTTGCTTTCGCTATACTAGATAAAGTCAGCATACATTGTTCTTTAGAGAGCTCTCCATTTATAGTTTGCTGTCGCTGTACTTGATAAAGTCAGCATACATTGTTGTTTAGAGAGCTCCCCATTTATAGTTTGTTGTCGCTGTACTAGATAAAGTCAGCATACATTGTTCTTTAGACAGCTCCCCATTTATAGTTTGTTGTCGCTGTTCTTGATAAAGTCAGCATACATTGTTCTTTAGACAGCTCTCCATTTATAGTTTGCTGTCGCTATACTAGATAAAGTCAGCATACATTGTTCTTTAGGAAGCTCTCCATTTCTAGTTTGCTGTGGCTTTACTAGATAAAGTCAGCATACATTGTTCTTTAGACAGCTCTCCATTTATAGTCTGCTGTCGCTATACTAGATAAAGTCCGCATACATTGTTCTTTAGGAAGCTCTCCATTTCTAGTTTGCTGTGGCTATACTAGATAAAATCAGCTAAAAATTTCTCTTGTAATGAGAATATCTAGCTGACATGCATGAGTGGAAAGCTGAAGTTTGGGTGTTTAAACCTAACTGGATGAGTAGATGTTTAAATGAAAAGCTGAGCGCCCGGGTTGGCCAGCTTGACAGAGGCCTGGGGAAGAGTTCTGGGAGTAAGTGGTGACTGGCCTGAGAGTGGGCTCGTGACTGCAGGAGTCACAGTTAGACAATACAAATGCAGACTTACAGCCAGTCACCCAGAATGCCTAAAGGCAGGTAGAAAGGTTATTATTCTACCCTCCCCGCTCCCAAACAAAGTCTGACACTTAGCCTAGCATCAGCCTATGTATTCTGTCCATTAATGTCACATCCGGGGAATGGTGGTCACAATCTAATGGGCATCATTGTAGAAAGGTCATTAATATAATATAACTCACATGTGATCTGCGGGCAACTTACTGGGCTGCTGAGGACCAGATTCAGTTCGTGGGCCACTCGCTGTAAAGCCCCTACCTATGTTTATCGGCACAGCACATGATGATCATTTTCATGTCTTAAAATGTTTGACCTGCGCCCTTCAAAATGTCAGTTGGATAAAAGGGAAAGCACACCACTGGCAGGCAGCACACCACTGGCAGACAGCACACGACTGGCAGACAGCACACGACTGGCAGACAGCACACCACTGGCAGACAGCACACGACTGGCAGACAGCACACGACTGGCAGACAGCACACGACTGGCAGACAGCACACGACCTGCAGACAGCACACCACTGGCAGACAGCACACCACTGGCAGACACCACACCACTGGCAGACACCACACCACTGGCAGACAGCACACCACTGGCAGACAGCACACCACTGGCAGACAGCACACCACTGGCAGACAGCACACTACTGGCAGACAGCACACTACTGGCAGACACCACACTACTGGCAGACAGCACACCACTGGCAGACAGCACACCACAGGCAGACAGCACACCACTGGCAGACAGCACACCACTGGCAGACACCACACCACTGGCAGACAGCACACTACTGGCACACAGCACACCACTGGCAGACAGCACACCACTGGCAGACACCACACCACTGGCAGACACCACACTACTGGCAGACAGCACACCACTGGCAGACAGCACACCACTGGCAGACAGCACACTACTGGCAGACAGCACACAGGCAAACATGGACAACTCTTACCCTGTCTCTTGTTTAGGGCTGGACACAATTGTTAAATACCTCAGCAGATGTTTGGCAGAGACAGTCTGTGTAAGAGAACAAGATCATTCACTCAGTACCCTCACACAATATTTATTGTTAGGATACTAATATGCATACATTATTTTTATCTACTCAACTCATATGGAAGTGGTTTAATGGCTAGTTGCTTCCCTGTGGATGACAAGGTAAGGGCTTCAGGTCCTGATGGAGCCTGACATTTAAAAAAAAAAAAATACAAGAGCTCCAAGGTCAACCCAGCCTTAAATAAGACTGGTCTAAAAAAATATGTCTAGCCCTATATGCCTAAAGGTTCGAAAAGGTTCTTTATTTCACTTACCTGCAACAACTCATCTGGTGTTTATTCAAAACTAGACCTTAATGCATCTTCTGCTGCCTGTCATCTGCTAGTGGCGTGAAGACTCAACCTACTCAAAGCAAGCTCAGCGTAGGCTTGTTGTTGACTGGCTGCAGTTTGTTTCTACAGTATCAGTTACCACATGAGATAGTCTCACACCAACCTGCCATTGTAGCATTGTATTACACGTATGGTGATGAGTTACAATCTTACTTAAGAAAGGCAGCACTGGACCGCTCCACTAGTTGATGGGGACTGTGCACATACAAAAAGTTCTTTAGCTCTGTCTTGCTGTGCCCACTTATTCAGCTCAAAGATATTCATAAAGTATACTTCATAAAGTATATTTTTTTTAAAAAGGAAACAGTTATCCGACGGTGTTCTACCACACAACAAACAAAAACACAATAATAATGCATTTAATGAATGAATAAATCAAGAACTGACATCACTGCATTCGGGAAAATTCCCACATTTGCTCCATCCCCTTCTTCAGCAACCAACAAAGAGTTGACAATCTAATGGTACCAGTTGCAACCTGATTAAAAGTCTGTCTCTGTTTCCCCTTCAATTTAATCAATATATTGTTTTCAAATGCACACAAGAATACCTTAGTGTTTGACCAAAGAATTGACAGTTTTTTTTCATCTGGGTCGTCAATAGTTTTTAGGCGTACTGGCTTTCCCGTCAACTAATACTGGATAAGTACGCTTTTTTAGAAACAGGAAAGCCCTATCGGATAACTATCTTTAAACAGTATATTTGATTACAAATCACTTGAGAATGCCCACTAACTTATTGCTGAGAAACTTGGGGTAGTTGTCTCTGAAGTTGTATATTAAACTGACCTTTCCAGCACCACTCTCTCCACTGACCACAATGCTCTGGTTGACCTGACCAAGACCCCGGACCATCGATGTGTACGCATTCTCGGCAATCAGATAAATGTGTGGGTCCAGTTCCTGCAACAACAGTCAAGCCATCAGTGATCTCAAGCAGACTCGGTTATAACACTGTCAATTACATTAGGCTATTTCATATGAAAGTTAATTAGGTTATCCTATTGCAGAATGAATTATTTTATGAAATTGTAAAAGGAATTGTGTTACCACACTGTAAAGTGAATTAAAGTAATTGTGTTATCACACTGTAAAATGAATTAAAGGAATTGTGTTATCGCACTGTAAAGTGAAATAAATTAATTGTGTTATCACACTGTAAAGTGAATTAAATTATTTGTGTTACCACACTGTAAAGTGAATGATCTCATCCAGTTGTAAAGTGAATGACATGAAAGCACTACAGTTATGGAAAATGTGAGTGGATTCTCAGACACAGTCTGGGAGAAGGGTTGTTGTGGAGGATACTGGAGCCTGGGAGAGTTGTTGCGGAGACGAGGAGAATGAAGTTTAGAAGGGGAGTTGTGGTAGAGAATGAAGCTTGGAATGGGGAGTTGTGGTGGAGAATAAAGCTTGGTAGGGGAGTTGTGGAGGAGAATGAAGTTTGGTAGGGGAGTTGTGGAGGAGAATGAAGCTTGCTAGGGGAGTTGTGGAGGAGAATGAAGTTTGGTAGGGGAGTTGTGGAGGAGAATGAAGCTTGGTAGGGAGTTGTGGAGGAGAATGAAGCTTGGTAGGGGAGTTGTGGAGGAGAATGAAGCTTGGTAGGGAGTTGTGGAGGAGAATGAAGCTTGGTAGGGAGTTGTGGAGAAGAATGAAGCTTGGTAGGGGAGTTGTAGAGGAGAATGAAGCATGAGAGAGGTTTTTGTGGAGTGATTGGAGCATGAGAGAGGTTGTGGTGGAAGAAAATGGAGCCCTGGAGAGAGATTTTTGTGGACAGAATGGAGCCTTTGAGATTTGTTGTGGAGTGAATGGAACATTGAGAGAAAGGTTGTTGTGGAATGAATGTAGCGTGAGAGAAAGGTTGTTGTGGAATAAATGGAGCATGAGAGAAAGGTTGCTGTGGAATGAATGGAGCATGAGAGGTTGTTGTGGAGGTGAATGCAGCCTGAGAAATGATTTGTTGTGGAGGAGAATGGAGGCTGGGAGATGAATTGTGGAGGAGAATGGAGCCTAGGGGATAAGTTGTGGAGGAGAATGGAGGCTGGGAGATGAATTGAGGAGGAGAATGGAGCCTGGGAGATGAATTGTGGAGGAGAATGGAGCCTAGGAGATAAGTTGTGGAGGAGAATGGAGGCTGGGAGATGAATTGTGGAGGAGAATGGAGCCTAGGAGATAAGTTGTGATGGAGAATGGAGCCTGGGAGATGAATTGTGGAGGAGAATGAAGCCTGGGAGATGAATTGTGGAGGAGAATGGAGGCTGGGAGATGAATTGTGGAGGAGAATGAAGCCTGGGAGATGAATTGTGGAGGAGAATGGAGGCTGGGAGATTAATTGTGGAGGAGAATGGAGCCTAGTTGTGGAGGAGAATGGAGCCTGGGAGATGAGTTGTGGAGGAGAATGGAGGCTGGGAGATGAACTGTGGAGGAGAATGGAGCCTAGGAGATGAGTTGTGGAGGAGAATGGAGGCTGGGAGATGAGTTGTGGAGGAGAATGGAGCCTGGGAGATGAGTTGTGGAGGAGAATGTAGGCTGGGAGAGAGGTTATTGTGGAGCATGTAGAGGAAGACTCTCTTTAGTGTCTGTGTTCATATCACCCAATGTGATCAATCTACGACAGGTTTCCTTTCTGTGTAAATATTTCAGAATTTGTTAACTACTCTGGGCTAATTAAATAATTATAAACTGAAACCTCTTTATGTTGGTGATACTCCTCAATTCTGTTGATGTTGTAGAGCTCTGGAAGATCCTTGAAGGGATTCACAGCAACTATTGTGCTGCCAGCAGACGTGTAGTAAATGTTCGTCAAGAACCGCTGGTGAAGACATTCTAGAACTGGAAAACAAAATCAGTCTGCTAACTAAAGGGATGTTACTCTTAATTTGCAGCAGGTGAAGAAGCATTGATTGTTTTTCTTGCACACACAAAAGCAGTAGAAACAGGTATTAAACAGACAGGTATGTATATTGACCAGATAGATACTGAACAGACATGTGCTGATCAGATAGATACTGAACAGACAGGTACTGAACAGATAGGTACTGAACAGACAGGTGCTGAACAGACAGGTACTGAACAGACAGGTACTGAACAGACAGGTTCTGAACAGACAGGTACTGAACAGACAGGTACTGAACAGATGATACTGAACAGACAGGTATTGAACAGGTAGATAATGAACGGACAGGTACTGAACAGACAGGTACTGAACAGACAGGTGCTGAACAGACAGGTGCTGAACAGACAGGTGCTGAACAGATAGGTACTGAACAGACAGGTACTGAACAGACAGGTACTGAACAGACAGGTACTGAACAGATAGGTACTGAACAGACAGATAATGAACAGACTGTTATTGAACAGGCAGGTTCTGAACAGACAGGTACATCAGACAGGTACTGAACAGACAGGTACTGAACACTATTTAGAAAAGTGGGCAGGAAGACACCTGACTACCCCCACACAATAATGACATGACCTAGAACAGGTCTAATCAACCAAGTATACTGACAACATTCTGACAGTGGGGATCATCATGGGCCAGAGGGTCTGAGCGCTAGTAAAGAGAAATCATTAACATAATGATGTGACCCTCCAGTTGAATACGCCCTGCTGTACATCATCTGCTGGAAACTTGAGCCTCCGTGGGCCAGATCTGGCCCTCCAGTTGAATGAGCCCTGCTGTACATCATCTGCTGGAAATTTGAGCCTCCGTGGGCCAGATCTGGCCCTCCAGTTGAATACGCCCTGCTGTACATCATCTGCTGGAAACTTGAGCCTACGTGGGCCAGATCTGGCCCGCCAGTTGAATGAGCCCTGCTGTACATCATCTGCTGGAAATTTGAGCCTCCGTGGGCCAGATCTGACCCATCAGTTGAATGAGCCCTGCTGTACATCAACACAACACACTTGAGTCTGAATCTGTTTTACCTGACGTACAGCAACTGGTTCTTTCACATGTTGATACAAATCAACTGGCTTGTACATGCAGCTGTTTCCCATCATTTATTCGCAGTCCTTATTTCCTGCGGTCTTGTTCACAGCAAGCGCGTGTGCACATGCACGCATGCACACACACACATCCCACTTAGGGCCTATCCAACAAAAAGCACCTGGGTGACTTTTCCTTCGCTCATGAGTAAGGCAAAATATTGTGGAGAAGCAAGATCACCCAAACAAGTTTACAAAGAACTTGACTGTCATGCCTTACAATTTCTAATTTGTAAAAAAGACACAAATCCTAATTGTTGAAAAAGATACCTGTTGCTTCATTGATTGGAGTCACTTCTGTCAGCTTTGAGCAGTTTATGTAGCTGTAGTCTTCTGACCTCAGATGGACACCTTGGACATGGGTAGATAAAGTCTGCACAGAAAGGAGAGTCATCAGTATCTTCTACCATAGCAGAATTCTGTCAGTCAAGCAACTGTCTAACTAGGGTCCCAAAGAAAGCAACAATGGTATGTAACCTAACATACAATGTCATCCCTGGCCTTAACTGGTCTCTGAAACAATGTCATCCCTGGCCTTAACTGGTCTCTGAAAAAATGTCATCCCTGGCCTTCTGGTCTCTGAAACAATGTCATCCCTCACCTTAACTGGTCTCTGAAACAATGTCATCCCTGGCCTTAACTGGTCTCTGAAACAATGTCATCCCTGGCCTTAACTGGTCTCTGAAACAATGTCATCCCTGGCCTTAACTGGTCTCTGAAACAATGTCATCCCTGGCCTTAACTGGTCTCTGAAACAATGTCATCCCTGGCCTTCTGGTCTCTGAAACAATCTCATCCCTCAACTTAACTGGTCTCTGAAACAATGTCATCCCTCACCTTAACTGGTCTCTGAAACAATGTCATCCCTGGCCTTAACTGGTCTCTGAAACAATGTCATCCCTCACCTTAACTGGGCTCTGAAACAATGTCATCCCTGGCTTTAACTGGTCTCTGAAACAATGTCATCCCTCGCCTTAACTGGTCTCTGAAACAATGTCATCCCTCAACTTAACTGGTCTCTGAAACAATGTCATCCCTCAACTTAACTGGTCTCTGAAACAATGTCATCCCTGGCCCTAACTGGTCCCTGAAACAATGTCATCCCTCACCTTAACTGGTCTCTAAAACAATGTCATCCCTCACCTTAACTGGTCTCTGAAACAATGTCATCCCTCACCTTAACTGGTCTCTGAAACAATGTCATCCCTTGACTTAACTGGTCTCTGAAACAATGTCATCCCTCACCTTAACTGGTCTCTGAAACAATGTCATCCCTCACCTTAACTGGTCTCTGAAACAATGTCATCCCTCACCTTAACTGGTCTCTGAAACAATGTCATCCCCCACCTTAACTGGTCTCTGAAACAATGTCATCCCTCACCTTAACTGGGCTCTGAAACAATGTCATCCCTCACCTTAACTGGTCTCTGAAACAATGTCATCCCTCACCTTAACTGGTCTCTGAAACAATGTCATCCCTCACCTTAACTGGTCTCTGAAACAATGTCATCCCTGGCCTTAACTGGTCTCTGAAACAATGTCATCCCTCACCTTAACTGGGCTCTGAAACAATGTCATCCCTGGCTTTAACTGGTCTCTGAAACAATGTCATCCCTCGCCTTAACTGGTCTCTGAAACAATGTCATCCCTCAACTTAACTGGTCTCTGAAACAATGTCATCCCTCAACTTAACTGGTCTCTGAAACAATGTCATCCCTGGCCCTAACTGGTCCCTGAAACAATGTCATCCCTCACCTTAACTGGTCTCTAAAACAATGTCATCCCTCACCTTAACTGGTCTCTGAAACAATGTCATCCCTGGCCTTAACTGGTCTCTGAAACAATGTCATCCCTTGACTTAACTGGTCTCTGAAACAATGTCATCCCTCACCTTAACTGGTCTCTGAAACAATGTCATCCCTCACCTTAACTGGTCTCTGAAACAATGTCATCCCTCACCTTAACTGGTCTCTGAAACAATGTCATCCCCCACCTTAACTGGTCTCTGAAACAATGTCATCCCTGACCTTAACTGGGCTCTGAAACAATGTCATCCCTCACCTTAACTGGTCTCTGAAACAATGTCATCCCTCACCTTAACTGGTCTCTGAAACAATGTCATCCCTGGCCTTAACTGGTCTCTGAAACAATGTCATCCATCACCTTAACTGGTCTCTGAAAAAATGTCATCCCTGGCCTTAACTGGTCTCTGAAACAATGTCATCCCTGGCCTTAACTGGTCTCTAATGGTCTCTGAAACAATGTCATCCCTCACCTTAACTGGTCTCTGAAACAATGTCATCCCCCACCTTAACTGGTCTCTGAAACAATGTCATCCCTCACCTTAACTGGGCTCTAAAACAATGTCATCCCTGGCCTTAACTGGTCTCTGAAACAATGTCATCCCTCACCTTAACTGGTCTCTGAAACAATGTCATCCCTCGCCTTAACTGGTCTCTGAAACAATGTCATCCCTCACCTTAACTGGTCTCTGAAACAATGTCATCCCTGGCCTCAAATGGTCTCTGAAACAATGTCATCCCTGGCCTCAAATGGTCTCTGAAACAATGTCATCCCTCACCTTAACTGGTCTCTGAAGCAATGTCATCCCTGGCCCTAACTGGTCTCTGAAACAATGTCATCCCTCACCTTAACTGGTCTCTGAAACAATGTCATCCCTGGCCTTAACTGGTCTCTGAAACAATGTCATCCCTGGCCTTAACTGGTCTGTGAAACAATGTCATCCCTTGACTTAACTGTCCTCTGAAACAATGTCATCCCTTGACTTAACTGGTCTCTGAAACAATGTCATCCCTTGACTTAACTGGTCTCTGAAACAATGTCATCCCTCACCTCAACTGGTCTCTGAAACAATGTCATCCCTCACTTTAACTGGTCTCTGAAACAATGTCATCCCTCACTTTAACTGGTCTCTGAAACAATGTCATCCCTGGCCTTAACTGGTCTCTGAAACAATGTCATCCCTCAATTTGACTGGTCTCTGAAACAACATCATGAAATCCAGTGATGTAGTCGTCGAAGACTTGTCCTAATGGGAGAGGGAGGGTGTTGTTGGTGACTCACCATCATCATGGGCTGTGAGTCCATGCATCCCAGTAACAATGTCATCTGGAGAGACAGAAAAGTGCCAACAACAAGCATACTGACTTTGGCTTGGACCCATTTCTGACTTCTTTGTGCCAGTGCTTAATGATACACTGACACGATCAACAGTGACATTTGTATCAGTCTGAGGCTAGAAAAATATGAACCATCTGCAGTAAGAGTGTATGAAATGCCAAATATACACAAGTTTAGGCAGCACAGGGAAGGATTAACAGGGACAGAAAACTGCTGCAGACAGGAAGAGTGTGTTGCTCTCAAACAACTTACCTGGCCACTATCTGTAAGCACTGTAGCTTGATTCTCAAAGGCATCAACAACCGTGCCTGTGATCCAGCCCTCTTTACTGTCCCTCAAGTACACCAGCTGTCCCTGCCAAGTCAAAGTAATTACAATATAACATGCAGAATCAGTACTGGTTGATCCATGAGAAACTGGGAGAATGGTTCAGACAGCTACTTCAAACATTCACTAACTGCTGCCTGCCTGCATAAAACAGATGACATGATACGGTGTGACACAATCACTGGGTGGAGTTTTGGGTGAAAATAAAAACATTCCAGAAAATCAGGAGGTGAGGAACATTGGTACTGGATAGGGGGAAGAGACAAAGAAAACCTGATGATTGTACACCTAGAATGTATTTTCTCTAGAATCTACATGGCAAAACATACAGAGAGAGAGAGAGAGAGAAAGAGAGATAGAGAGATAGAGAGAGAGAGAGACAGAGAGAGAGGCAGAAAAGGTTGGAGAGTAATAGAGAGAAGATTTTTTTTAATACAGGGAAGACATGAAGCAGAAAGGGGAAATATAAGATTATTTGATGTCAGTTGGTTGAGGGCTTATTTGCAAGTGACGGATGAAGGGTGGAAGAAGAAGATACTGTTACAGAACACCTTGCCTGTGTGACTAGTGGTTTGTTCAGATTTAGAGACTTCACTCATATATATATATACAGGAGCTGCAGTATTTAATGCCACAAGGCTAGTGCTGTCCCCATAAGCTGCGCCAGTTAAGACTGTTATCCCCCCCCCCCTTTCACCAAAAAAAAAATCTCCAGCCAATGCAACTGAAGAATTACAGCATCCACTGAATGCTGTTTGCTGTTCCGGTTGCCTCTCTACAATCAAAACTCTTATCATCCTCACATGACACACTGTTGGCACTGTGTTCTCCAATGGCAATTTCACCTGTCTTTGACATTTCTGATATTTTTTAGCAAAAGAGACAATAACTAGAGACATTCCCCAATCACACAGTATGTAACACCAACCTTAGACAACTTCTTCAAGGCCGAACCTTTACTGATGGCTGCGGCCTCCATGTGGTGTTGGTTATCTGCACCGCTGCGACAGTATCTGCTCTCACTTCTCAAGAAGGTTGGCTGTCAACAAAGCACAAACCAAAGCATCATTGCCAGTGAAGTAAATCAGCTTACTGGGTTGATGATGCTAATTTTCTATTTCAAACAACAAAAATCCACATTTCATGGATCATGTGTTGAATGGCTTGTTAGCCCCCTTTACTTCCCAGTACATTTTTTTCTACCTATTTTAAGGCTAATAGTCCTGACTTACCTAGATTGGGACTGAAACCCACAACCATGGAGCAATTGTTGTGTTATTTCAGTACAAGTCGACCATGAATCAGTCCACCAGAACAACATACACAAGTCTCCAGTGGCTCACTTCAACAACTACTGTTTCTTTTGATGGGATGAGGATGAGGAGGATGAGAAGGAGGAGGATGTTGAGGAGGATGAGAAGGAGGAGGTTGAGGACAATGAGGGGAGACTGACACCAAAAAGAGAAATACTGAAAGAGTTCTATATCCAGTGGACATACAAATGTACCTGTGAAATTCAGCCAATAATAAGTTATGCAGTCCACAATTGTAATATCCCCTGAACCATTAACTAACAAAGACTGAGCGTATTGCTAGGAAGAGGAGGAGCAGGAGAGGCTGATACTAAAAATTAATTGAAGTGTTACAATGACATGCTTGAGTAGAAGTGAAACGCATCATTAAGTAAAGTAGAAAAGAACTTTAAAAAGTGTCCAGAGCACTAAGGATGACTACACTGACTACTGGGGGCAGGGAAAGGGCTAACACCAGAAACTTACTCAAGTCTGATAATATAAACAAGTAGAGAAGAAAGCCAGCTGTAACACAAGTCATACAGAACACAAGACAACTACAATCCTCCATGGAAGCTCTGCCACAACAACCTATCAGGATCACCAGAACACACAACAGTACTGATAACAGGGTCTGAATTCCCCTAACACACACAGGCAGCTCAGTGATACATTTCACCTGAAGTATTCACAGCACTGGGCTGTTGTCCTGTGTCACCTGTAGGAACAATCAAATGTGACAGGAAACAGGCCAGTCTTCTGGCTGGGTGAATGGCTGATCTCTGGCCTGCTCAAGGTCATGACAGTCACAGGCGTGAAGTTAGTACAACAGAACATTCTTTGTATGTAGGGATTAGACAATGTGCTAGTGGGAAGCAGAGCATGTCTCTGGTAACTGGTGTCATTAGGTAATATGAATTATATCTCTCCCCCTCTCTCTTTCAAGAGAGAGAGAGAGAGAGAGAGAGAGAGAGAGAGAGAGAGAGAGAGAGAGAGAGAGAGAGAGAGAGAGAAGGAAAGGAGGAAGAAAGACTATTTTAACACCTTTCTTTCTCAATATTTATGTAACTCAGCACACATATGAATCCTTCCTCACAGAGAAAGAGACAGGAGTTGAGGTATGGGAGTGAGAGAGGAGGAAGAAAAAAGAGGGGAGAGGAAAAAAGAGGGAAGAGAAAGAGAGATAAGTTTAATACCTTCTTTCATTATTTCAATATGTCCATAACTCACTCAACAGCATCCTCACTCTGTTGTGTCATTAATGGTTTCTCTTTGACATCTCTGTTTCATCAATACCTTTATTTTCCATTTCAGTGCCTGCTTGGCAATTCTCTGCTTTTTTGTTGTTCTCAGGGTGTGTCCAGTATAATGATACACACACAAGCATGCACATAAACGCATACATCACTAATAACATCCAGCTTGTCATACATCAGTTCACCAACAAATGGTGCAGAACCGACCAGTCTATCTGCCTGCTCATTTCCCAACGATGCTAACTACCCGGAATTATTTAAGTGATGCTTGCCACTCTGCACAGAGTATGCCTGTCTCCACCTTCCTCAACATGCTCTGTGAGTCAGTTACAATTATGCATGGTGTACAGCTGATTCTCAAAGCAGCAGAAGGCAGCAGTGACTGCCTCCACCTCCATTCTCAATGTAGACATTGTGATATCATATGCCAGGCTTTGTTGCACCAAGCGATGTCCATTCGCCTTCGCTATGAAGTCTGCCCCTTAACACAGAGCCATCTGTATCGATAATCACATCACCTTGACGGGAATTGTCATGTATCATTTGTTGAACTTCTGATTCTGCAGCACCAGCTGGCCAGTCCCTGCACTCATGACCCAAAGTGATAAGAACTGTACAAAGTCTGAAAAATGATCGGACACTTTGACCCACTCCTCTCCTCGCCTAAATATATCAAGCCTGCACACGTGTCGAATTGTGTCTTTATCTTGCGCCATCCAAGACTTTCCTCTTTTCAGTCTGTGACCCTTAGCTCTATCCAGGACTTCATACAGGAGGTGCCTCTTGTCAGCAGCTACTCTTTACTTGCAGATCTTTGAGCCTATCTGCAATAGTAGGCAGTGCAAGTATATATTGAATACATACTACCGGGGTATCTCTTGTACATCCCAGAATTACCCGCATAGTTTCATTCAGCTGACTCTTTGATATGCTAAGCATGCCAAATCCATAATCTTTCACCAACAGAATCATATGCTGGAACATTGTGAACAACATTTTTTGTTCCATGTCCATTGCTGCCATAATCATTAGAGCATTGAGTCCTTTCTGGCATTTCACCGCAACTGCCTCCACATGATCCCTGAAGGACAGGCTTCTATCGAAAATGATACCCAGGTACCTCAGTTTGGTTTCTCTTTTGATGTTACTGTTATTAACTGTGAGGTTTGGAATGTTAGCTTTTACAATTCTATTGTCCACAGAGCACCACAAGACAGCTTTTCTGGGTTGATGACAGCACCCTTGACCAGGCAGAGACAGATACATTATAGCCCAATCGGCACCTGGTGGCTAGCATCACACTGGCTGTCTACTCCTAGACAAATATTGTGGCCAAAACAAAAATGTCATCCATGCACCATTCATCTATGATGTGGCTAAATTGTAATACTGCCTGGTCAGCAGATGACAAGTAACTTACCATTTTGTTAAGCTAGTGCGATAATGTATGCAGTATGGAGCCAAGGGTAACCATTAATTCTGTTTCAAACTCAGAATAGTGTTCTTGAAAGTAATATTACATTTAATTAAAGAGCAACATATTTTCTGGTGTGGCCATATGACGAGATTATCCTGGTACCAACTGACCAATTGCCACGAACTAAAGAAATATAATGAACACAGAGCAAGAAGGAAGACCACTGGAGCCCAAAATCAAGAGCAGCTTAACTCTTTGATGCCCGAACAATGCTGTGGGTGTTGACTGAGAAGTTCCGATTTGCCCAAACAACGCTGTCTGCATTGATCGTGTCCCATAATTTTTTTTTTCTGCACACAGCTCCGTATTTGTTTCTGATGTTTGGAACTACCATTAAAGTATTCAGGAAATGTTACCTCTAATGTTTTTTGGGGGTTTTTGTAAACAAGTCAATATTTGTAAACATGTGGGGGCAAACTGATTGTCAGAGGCCAGTTCGGCTATGGGAAGCACAACAGATGTCTTATAGTGAATCATCACGTTTGTACTAGTTGACCTTCAGTACAACTCAGTATGTGAACGAACAGCTCGTTCACGCAATAAGCCGTGCCCAGTTTAGAGGCTAGGTCGAGTTCACTCAGCCTGACACGGAGTGCTGCGGATTTGACCATGAACTCGGCGGAAATACAAAAGGCTTAGTCGAAGCGGGTTTGGGCAGAGTTGTGTGCGGACAGTTGTGGACGACGGTTGTGTGCTGGTCGAGAGAGGGAGACAGGACAAAAGTTTACGACGAGGTAACGTTAGGTTAGTGACGGTTAGGTACAAATAGGATATTCGTATTTAGTGTCTATGATAGGCCGTATTTGTATTTAATGTTGTCGGCTAGATAGTATAGAGAGTTAAGGTTTCTTTGTGTAGTAAGCATTCCATGCAGTATTTGTTTGAGCAGTTAATCAAGGTGACGCGCCCTGTAATGGCGATAACACTGCCCGGGCACGCTTAGGCCATACACCTTACGTGTATCTCTGAGTCCCGTTTGGCAATAGACGGCGGATTGATTGG